TAGGTTCAGTATATAAATGATTATAGATATAGGTTCAGTATATAAATGATTATGGATATAGGTTCAGTATATAAATGATTATGGATATAGGTTCAGTATATAAATGATTATGGATGTAGGTTCAGTATATAAATGTTTATGGATGTAGGTTCAGTATATAAATGATTATGGATATAGGTTCAGTATATAAATGATTATGGATATAGGTTCAGTATATAAATGATTATGGATGTAGGTTCAGTATATAAATGATTATGGATATAGGTTCAGTATATAAATGATTATGGATATAGGTTCAGTATATAAATGATTATAGATATAGGTTCAGTATATAAATGGGTAACTCAGCACGGATGTTCAGAATTCTTTGTTCGGTTTTCATGTAGTTTCAGAGCCTAATAGAGGCTTGATTCGGAGGCTCCGCAAAAACAAACAACTGAGCATGAGCAGCTGCGAGCATCAGCGCCGATGATTGACAGCCCTTGGCATGACTCTATTGGTTAACGTGGACGGCACCGTGGATTCTGAACTATAGCTAAGAGAAGGGAAGGCGGGACTTACACGTTATAATAGAATTAATAAAAATGACTTATTTTATATCAACATTTAAGGCCAGGAGGTCAATTTAATACAAATCTTAAAATTTGTAATTTATTTAGAGTTCCAGACTATGACTTTAAAGCAAATAATAATGACAATAAGAAAACGGAGATGATTGTTCTGTGTGTTTCCAGGTGGAGGTTCACGTTCTACTTGTACATTTTCACCTACGGCGTCCGCTTTCTTAAAAAGGTACGTGGTTCTACTCACTTCACCATCTGAGATATTTGTGTAAAAATGCAAACGGAACTCAAGGCCAAAGAGAAAAGTGAACCGTTCATTATTTAGCTAGTTACTGTTATAGTTTGAATCTCAATTCTCCAAACACAACTTTATTATTTAGATTAGAACATGACAATAACCTCTATTCAAAGTCAGAAGAAAACTGTTGTGTCGTGATTAGTTCAGAGGTCTAACTTCCTGCTCCTTCCCCTCAGTGTCTTCTGCAGCTGTATTTTACTATAAATGCACGTCTTTTGAAAGCTGCAGCAGCTCAGACCTACAACAAATAGGTTTAATGCAGTATCTCCTCAATTTCACTTCAGCAGTAGTGAGCTCTACTCCCCACAGGCTTCGTTAGTGGCAAAGGAGATGGCTAATGCTAGGATAAATGCTAATGCTAGGATAAATGCTAATGCTAGGATAAATGCTAATGCTAGGATAAATGCTAGTGCTAGGATAAACGCTAATGCTAGGATAAATGCTAATGCTAGGATATATGCTAATGCTAGGATAAATGCTAGTGCTAGGATAAACGCTAATGCTAGGATAAATGGTAATGCTATGATTAATGCTAGGATAAACGCTTATGCTAGGATAATGGTCATGCTTGGATAAATGCTAACGCTAGGATAAATGGTAATGCTAGGATAATGCTAATGCTAGGATAAATGCTAGTGCTAGGATAAATGCTAGTGCTGGGATAAATACTAATGCTAGAATAAATGGTAATGCTAGGATAATGCTAATGCTAGGATAAATGCTAGTGCTAGGATAAATGCTAGTGCTAGGATAAATGGTAATGCTAGGATAATGCTAATGCTAGGATAAATGCTAGTGCTAGGATAAATGCTAGTGCTGGGATAAATGCTAGTGCTGGGATAAAGGCTAGTGCTAGGATAAATGCTAATGCTGGGATAAATGCTAGTGCTGGGATAAAGGCTAGTGCTAGGATAAATGCTAATGCTAGGATAAATGCTAGTGCTGGGATAAAGGCTAGTGCTAGGATAAATGCTAATGCTAGGATAAATGCTAGTGCTGGGATAAATGCTAGTGCTAGAATAAATGGTAATGCTAGGATAATGTTAATGCTAGGATAAATGCTAGTGCTAGGATAAATGCTAGTGCTGGGATAAATACTAATGCTAGAATAAATGGTAATGCTAGGATAATGCTAATGCTAGAATAAATGGTAATGCTAGGATAATGCTAATGCTAGAAAAAATGGTAATGCCAGGATAAAGCTAATGCTAGGATAAATGCTAATTCTAGGCTACGTCACGGTAAACCCAGACCCAAAATATGTACGATGGTATGTTAGGACAAGGCTAGTACACTGCAAATGACGTTTTAAAACTCTGGGGCTAGAAAAGTACCTGGAAGAGAGAACATGATGCTTTTATGTAAACGTGATGGTGGGAGAAGGGTGTAGGGTCGGTGAGTTTTGGGCCTGTGTGGTTGTGTTTAATGTTTTGTGTAATTTGTTGTCATGCTGAATGGCTTTGTTGCGAACCTGTAGGTTAGAAATAGATAAATAAACAAACACCGGGGCAGAGAAAAAGTCATTTGGGAGTTGGTTCTGTCACTTTACTTTTCTTTTCCTGACAATGTTTACATCCGCACAGCACGATGCAGGATACAGAAGCTGCTGTTTTGTGCTACCCCCAAGCTTGGATAAATATAATGGTCAAGCCTAAAACTTGATTGTGATATGGTTGGTTGGTTATTCGAAGAAAGGAAATGAAAGGCTTTGAATGGATGTTACACCAGACTCTCTTCCTGGTCTCTCTGGACTCTCTCTCTGTTCTCTCTGGACTCTCTCTCTGTTCTCTCTCTGGTTTCTCTGGACTCTCTCTTTGGACTCTCTTTTTGGTCTCTCTCTCTGGTTTCTCTCTGTTCTCTCTCTAGTTTCTCTCTCTGGTCCCTTTTTTGCATGGTCTCTCATTGTCCACATGGTCCTATTGGTTAGAAGTTTGCTAGGGAAAGAAACTATTGCATAATTATCTGTTCTTGTTCAAACGGCTTCACCGATTTATTTAACGGCTGAAGAAAAACTACAAAAGCCCACGACAGCAGAGTGCTAACAGTCTGCTCTGTCAACTTGTGATTCATTTGGCATCTGAAGTTTTCTCTCAACTTTTTGGACAGAATTATGTTGGAAAAACACTTGAGACGTTGAATTCTCTGGGACATAAAACATGGGGAATCCTGCTACATTCTGAAATGTAGCAGGAACAAATGTCCCTCACACAGAAAGTGAAAGAGATGGATTTTCTCACTGTCAAACCACAAAAGAAAAATGAAAACAGGGATCTTTCTTACTACTGTAGAAAATAGACCATGTTTTCTAAAGAGATGGCATCTGTTGTGGTCTGATCTAGCCTGGCCTTAGTCATCCATAAACAATTATCATTTCCTACATGTACGTCTCGGTCTGACTAGTTTGGCAATGGCGGAGAATGTAATAGTAAAGTAATCCGTTCTGGTTCAAATATCAATAAATTTAAGCCGGAGCAAGAGGAATGTTTAGCAAGTTTCAATGATGGCAAAGATGTCCCCAAGGGCTCCGTTAGTGGCAAAGGAGATGGGTAAGCTCAAGCCCCGGCGATTCAAGATGGCGCTCTATTCAAATGAATGGTTGTGCTCAGTGGCACTTTGTGACGGCATGGGGGCTGAAAATATTAGCGGAAGTCACCTGAAACTCGCAAAGATCTATGGGAAACTCGCAAAGAACTTTGGGAAACTCTCCTGTATTTGGGCATCTTCTGGTCCTCCCGGTTCTGCGCAGTGGATGATCTCCCATAATGCATTGTGCCAAACATGCGTGTGTGGGTCTCACACCGGGTCTCACGCACGTGCACAGAGGGGCTCGGCCGCGCTCTGACCAATCAGAGCAGTTCATCAGAGCGGGAGTTAGAGCGAGAGCCAGACGAGCAGAGTTTGTGGCACTAAAGTGTGGATTTAAACAAAACCGAAGGATTTAAGAAGAAAAAAAGTTCAGGATGAGAAGGGACACTAAAATCCCCACAAAATCCGATCTTTATTAAAGCTGTAGGTTCTCTGTCAGCTGAGGTTGAGCTGTTTTAATATGCATTGAGTTCTATGGGGAAAATTTCTGGGTAGCCCACGTGAATTTAGTCTGGTTCAGTCTGCAGTACCGCGAGAATCCCCTGAGCACATGAGTTATTCAGCTACAAGCTAGTAATACCCTATCCAGTTAATATAATAGATCCATGGTAAAGCTAGGCTAAATGCTGAAGCCTCACCCACTTGGACGCCTTACATACGTCACGGTAAACTCAGATCTGATCGATTCAATCAAAAGGAGTTAACCCCTCCCACCTGTTAACGGAGACCAATAGAGCAAATCCAGACCTTAGTACGAAATGAAATTAGTACAGTGGTGTGGTAAGACAAGGCTAGGTCTGATTTGTTCACGTAAGAATTTCAGTTATCATTGGCAAAAATGATTCTGAATCTGAACAGATTTGCACCCTGCACTCTCTATCCAAATTCTGTTTTCTAACTTGTGACACTATGAATCCTCAGACAATGATCATGGTGCAGTGGTTAGCACTTCACAGCTTCACAGCAAGAAGGTCCTGGGTTTGATCCAATTCAATTCCATTTATTTTTGAGGACTTTACAAACCGTCGACAAACACAGTTCACAGGACATGTTAAAACACATCACCAATGTCCAAACTGTTGTTGAATGTCGAGTGTCCTGGATCATCACCTCTAAGCCTTTCTGTGAGTTTGCATGTTCTCCCTGTGTCTGTGTAAAAAACATGTACAAAAGGTCTGAATGTAATGAGTGAGTGAATGTTTTGAGTGTTTGGTGTCTTCTGTCATCAGCGTGAGGACAGTGAGTGGGAATGACTCACTCTGGCCTTTGATTAATGACGTTTTTCTTAATTATGTGTTTGTGAATTTCTCCAGTCAAAGGATCTCTTTCTTCTTCTGTGTTCCTTCAGTTAGACCCGTCATGTTAGACGTGTGATTTTAAAAAGGCTCATTTCCCACTTAGACCACTAGATGTTTTCTCGCTCTGACCATTTCTTATATTTCTTATTCATCCACATAGTTAACATACTACTTCACATTTTAAGACATGGAACAAGTGTGCTCTGACCTTTTCCCCCTCTTCCTCTAGACCCCCTGGCTTTGGAACACTAAAGAATGCTGGTACAACTATCCATACCAGGTAACTCCACCAACTCACAGCCTCATTCCCATCGCACAAAAACACCAGAATTTCATCCATAAACGCTGGGTCTCCTCTTCCTTCTACACTGAGGACACTGGCTGCTGGGTCAGAACAACTCGGCCTTCAACCCACCTTGCGACTTAGTATTTTTGCCAAGTTATACACAGAAAATTAGAATATTGTAAAAAAAATGTCATTTAATTCTCTATTTATATTTAAAATGTGCTCAGACTAACTCTAGTCTGTCTTTGGTCCCTCTGGTCTCTCTCTGGTCTCTTTCTGGTCTCTCTCTGATCTCTCTGATCTCTCTCTGAACTCTCTCTGGTCTCTCTCTGGTCTCTCTCTGGTCTCTCTCTGGTCTCTCTCTGGTCTCTCACTAGTCTCTCTCTGATCTCTCTGGTCTCTCTCTGGTCTCTCTCTGGTCTCTCTCTGGTCTCTCACTAGTCTCTCTCTGGTCTCTCTGGTCTCTCTCTGGTCTCTCTCTGGTCTCTCTCTGGTCTCTCTCTGATCTCTCTGGTCTCTCTCTGGTCTCTCTCTGGTCTCTCACTAGTCTCTCTCTGATCTCTCTGGTCTCTCTCTGGTCTCTCTCTGGTCTCTCTGGTCTCTCACTAGTCTCTCTCTGGTCTCTCTCTGGTCTCTCACTGGTCTCTCACTAGTCTCTCACTAGTCTCTCTCTGATCTCTCTGGTCTCTCTGGTCTCTCACTAGTCTCTCTCTGGTCTCTCTCTGGTCTCTCACTGGTCTCTCACTAGTCTCTCACTAGTCTCTCTCTGATCTCTCTGGTCTCTCTCTGGTCTCTCTCTGGTCTCTCTGGTCTCTCACTAGTCTCTCTCTGGTCTCTCTCTGGTCTCTCACTGGTCTCTCACTAGTCTCTCACTAGTCTCTCTCTGATCTCTCTGGTCTCTCTGGTCTCTCACTAGTCTCTCTCTGGTCTCTCTCTGGTCTCTCACTGGTCTCTCACTAGTCTCTCACTAGTCTCTCTCTGATCTCTCTGGTCTCTCTCTGGTCTCTCTCTGGTCTCTCTCTGATCTCTCTGGTCTCTCTCTGGTCTCTCTCTGGTATCTCACTGGTCTCTCAATAGTCTCTCTCTGGTCTCTTTCTGGTCTCTCACTAGTCTCTCTCTGGTCTCTCTCTGGTCTCTCTCTGGTCTCTCTGGTCTCTCTCTGGTCTCTCTCTGATCTCTCTCTGGTCTCTCTCTGGTCTCTCTCTGGTCTCCCTCTGATCTCTCTCTGGTCTCTCTCTGGTCTCTCTCTGGTCTCTCTCTGGTCTCTCTGGTCTCTCTCTGGTCTCCCTCTGATCTCTCTCTGGTCTCTCTGGTCTCTCTCTGGTCTCTCTCTGATCTCTCTGATCTCTCTCTGGTCTCTCTCTGGTCTCTCTCTGGTCTCCCTCTGATCTCTCTCTGGTCTCTCTGGTCTCTCTCTGGTCTCTCTCTGATCTCTCTGATCTCTCTCTGGTCTCTCTCTGGTCTCTCTCTGGTCTCCCTCTGATCTCTCTCTGGTCTCTCTGGTCTCTCTCTGATCTCTCTCTGATCTCCCTTTGATCTCCCTCTGATCTCTCTCTGATCTCTCTCTGGTCTCTCTGGTCTCTCTCTGGTCTCTCTCTGATCTCTCTGATCTCTCTCTGGTCTCTCTCTGGTCTCCCTCTGATCTCTCTCTGGTCTCTCTGGTCTCTCTCTGATCTCTCTCTGATCTCCCTTTGATCTCCCTCTGATCTCTCTCTGGTCTCTCTCTGATCTCTCTCTGGACAACACAGCTACCTTTCCCGTTGAGCCAAGTCCACCCACATTTCCACACTCTCAGGCTCCAGTGGCGGCCTTCGTTCTCATGTATTCCGTGCCTTTTTTCAGCCGCTGACCGTGGACATCCATTACTACTACGTCTTAGAGCTGTCCTTCTACCTGTCTCTGCTCTTCTCCCAGTTCACCGACATACGACGGAAGGTACGGAGTTTAGTCTCATTATTACAGAATGACGTGGCGTGTCTTGGCTCGTGCTCAAATGCTTTTTCGAGTGTTGTTTGTGTGAAATGACCAAAAAAAAAACATTTCTAGGGCAATGGGATCACAAGAAAAGTGGTTACATTAGTTACTTTGCATTTCTTTGTGCGATTCTGTTCAGTATCATGATATTTTGGGAGCAATATGTAAAAATCTGGCCAAAGGTGGTACTGCACTCTCTCTGATTCAGGTTGCCAGATATGCAGACGAATCCAGCTGGGACCATAATATCTGAATAGACAAGAGTTTTGTCAACAACAAATCTATAACCAACACCTTTTTCACAAAGATAGAAATCCTGGTTTATTCCTTGTTTTGTCGTTAATGATTTGAGAATCATAATCGGCCCCATGGTACTTTACCAGTGAGATTTTCTCGACGCTGTGAGTTCTGGCAATCCGGATTACGGACTTTCTGATTGGTGAAACGGTGGAGGGCGGGACATTGAAATGAAAACAATAACAAGATTTAGGGGCTGTAAAAGTAATTTTGAAATCCGAATATCTCTGAACGACTGTTATCAGTTAAAGAAGTATTGGAAAAGAGCATGTTTTATTAATTACTTTTGACAGATTAGGGCCCTTTAATGATGACTTTACATGAATATCTTGCATAATGCTACTAATTATCCGTTTCACTTGTGTTTTTTCTGAGTTTACTCTTGTAATTTGCATATGAGGTTTATGTTACTCTGTTATGTGAGAGTCGCCTTCAGAGAATAATCATGTCTTGTCTGTAATAAGAGGGGGCGACAGTGGCTCAGTTGGTAGAGCATTGGCCTTTGAGCCTATAGATCGTGGGTTCGAGCCCACCGTAAGACCTACTTCACGACTCCCACTGATGACTGCTGTCGTTGTGTCCTTGGGCAAGACACTTGACCCCACTTTGCCTGAAGCCCCCACTGAAAGATCTCAGCTCCTGTGGACTCACCACCTGCAGGAGGATCAGTGAGGGGCTGGTGCTGAGTCTACTGGGTGCAGCTCTGACTGCCACCCCCCTGACCCAGAAATGGATTAAGGGGAAGAAGATGGACGGATGTCTGTAATAAGGTCCTGTGTCCTGAATGTTCAAGGAAAACATTTTTACACTTTCCTCCTCATATGTAGTTCATGTGCAGACCATAAGAAATTTTACATTTGATTTTGAGCAGTCTTATTTTCCTCAATTTGTGGAATTCCTTTGAATAATATATCACAGAATCGAATCTCAACCAGTGGGGTGGGTCCCGGCTCAAAAGTGGCCAAAAGTGGCTTGCAATACCACCCCGGGCCGATGGGGGTGGACCCAGAAGAAGAATTAGCCAATGCTAACATATAGCATTAGCAGACCTTCTTTACAGGATGGAAACATCTAGCAAAACATCTTTACAGGATGGACCAAAAGTTGGCTCTTGGCCCAAAGCTCCGTTCCACATGTGTGTCAATGCTAGGGTTGCCAAACGTCCCTTGAAATACGGAATTGTCCCGTATTATAGAAAAACTATGTGCGTCCCGTATTGAACTGATACGGGACGGCTTTTGTCCCGTATTTTCAGAGTCGCCTTAAATGCATCACTCACTCACTGCGTGTCACACAAGCGACACACGCACACACAGTAATCACAGTTTAAGCGTCTACCTTTCGGCCAAACAGTGTCAAAGGGGGCTTAGGCTTGATCACATCCATGGGTTTACCCTTACTGTTGACAAGTGACAGCGTGGGCCGTGCATGGATCTATGGGGCCATGCCCGCAGCATCATCCTGGCAGAAGTCTGGTAAAGTAGCGTCATATTCCCAGATTCGGACTTCCGCGGTCAATAGCTCACGGAAGTTACTTTGTTAAACAAAAGTAATTTGCTATAATGATCACCTCTATGTTGATTTTTCAAATCCAATGCGCTGTTTTTAATGCAAAGAAATCCATTGAATCCAGTGCACTGCAAGCGCCGAGAAAAGCGCTTAAGGACCGTCAACCAATGTCAATACCAGCTTTGTAAACAAAAAATAGCTTTTACTGAAGCCATGTACACGCACTAAACTCTCAGACACTATAAATAATGACCATATCTAACTGCTACAGACTTTGATTTCAACATGTGTGAGTTTTTTTTAATGAATACATGTTTTTCTTTTTTTCTTTTACAGTAAATGGTCTTTACTGTAACATACATAAATAATGTATGTTACAGCGTTTGTCTTTTAATATTTTTTATTACTAATAAGAATGCATGAAGTCCTTAACCAGCCAAAGAGTTCCACCTATTTATGACATTTATTTTTTGCCTAAGAATTTTTTTGATTTTTATATGTAGCCAATAAATTTATATGTAGCCAATAAATTACATTCTAAAAACTGTGATTATGAAATTCCATGATTCCTGTGTAGATTGAAATTAGGACTAAAAAGTGCTCAACCCGATCCACCCAAAGGTTGTCCCTTATTTTTTTGTTCTCGAGTTGGCAACCCTAGTCAATGCTGAGGGGGTGGATTTTGTTGGTCCACTCTAGTTTACTCGCTGTGAATTTTTGAAGTCTCTCGTTCAAATGAATGGAGCTGCGCCGGCTGACGCATGCGCAGATGCGTTTTTTCACAATTTTCTTGTGGGCGGGACCACTCGCAGCCATTTTGGATAGCTCCAGTAGAGCACATTTTTTGGCCCATTAGTTAGAACGGCAGAGATAGGCGTGACTACGTCCATTATTTTTTACAGTCTATGATCTCAACTTGCTGTATCACATTATGTCAAGAATTGCAATAATATAGAATTGCTGTTAGCCAGACTAGCTAGCCTTAGCAACACGTTATAAGCCTGTGCTACAGCAAGTAGGTCCCGTAAAGCAGTTTGGTTTAAACTTTCCAAGATAGCTGGTCTTCTAAACGGCTTCTTCCACATTCGGCAAACATGTCTTCTATGGTCTATGTCCAAACTCAGGCCTGCGGGTCAAATGTGGCCCTTTGTGTCACTGTATGTGGCCCTTTCCCATGCTAACATAATGTAGTCTTTGAGATTATAAACACAAGTTCACAGTGTCATCCACCCAACTTCAGCTTCATCAATATGTATTGATGCTTTACTGATCCCCGTGTCCAGCAGCAGAAACACATCCATTCATCACCTACATCATTCTAAAAGTGACTAACACTGAAGTGCAGTAGCAGCAGCAGAGGTGGTGTAGCCCTGAGATTTTTTTCTCTGGTTTATGTTTGCAGAGTCTGCTTGGTTCGGATCATTTCCCTGCTCTGGTTCAGAGTGAAATTCTGTATCAGAATCATCATAGGCATGGTATACCTCGTTTTAACGATCAGAACCTAGAGTCCTAGAGAATCTAGTTGAGTACTTTTTAAGTACAGACAGATCTGTGTTTTTGATTCTCATCTATGGAGCTAATGTAGCTGCTGTGCAATAGTTTGCGGTTGTGAACATTTCTGTTAAATGTAAATGTAAATTGGACATATCATTTAAAAGCTTAGAGCAGCCTGAATCCAGTCAAGCCAGGGTTCAAATCCATGTTGAGTCTTTTGAACTAAAGTGGTCTTCTCACTAAAAAGTTTAATCTTGATCCAGGGGTTTTGGCTGATATAAAAGACCTTTGATAACATACAAACAAATGAAACGTAAATACTAGATCCTAGCGTTGTGTGTCAGGGCTGGTTTTACACATAAAGCTCTTCATCACGACCCATCCACGTCTGCGACCCACATTCCTCACCCCCCTCCGCCTCCTCTCCCACGGCTGCATTGCTTCATCATGTGTGTGTCGACTGTTGCATGTTGTGTGTTGACTGTTGCATGTTGTGTGTTTTTGTTTCAGTTTGTGTCATGTGCACGGCCACAGGGACGAGGCCCCGCCCCCCACGCTCCCCCAGCGCCGTACGTCCTCCATGTCACACGCTGCTCTTTCTCCTCTCCGCATTTTCTCCTTGTTTCTATCATTTACAAAGTTTGGGGCCACAGTTAAATAGTAATGGAGTCAAAAACGAACTTACTGAGCATTTCAAAAGATGAGGGATCATTTTAATCTAAGGGTGTATTCAGACCTGAAAAGTCCTTTGCTCCGCTTGCTTGATCCGAATCAAAAGCGGACCAAACTTTTTTCTTTTGCTCCGGTTCGTATTCAGACTGTCCTTTTTGCAAGTGAACTTTTTTATATAAACATATCGACACGTGTGACGATCCGCGCTCCTATTGGACAGAGAGAGCTCACGGAGGATAGACGCGAAACCGGAGGAAAACATTGAGGGCTCGTATGTGCAGCATGTCTAATTTAAATATTGGAACAGCGTCGGAGAATGCGTGAGGAGAAAGCCGAAGGAGACTCTGTCTGTGCGCTACGTGTCCTGTCCCACACATGGATCTATGATAATAACGGCCCTGTTCAGCATTGTGGATAAACCATGGATCTATAATAACCACGGGACAAACAGACGCTGAGGATCAGGTAGGAACCAAAGAACACAATTCACTACATGATGTGGAATATTTCTTTTTGAGACGTGAGTCAAACAGTGTCAGGTTTTTAATAATGCAAAGTATTTAAAGATGCTGCCATTAACATCAATGTATACTGTGAACAGTTGTAACTCCATAAGCCTGTTGCACAGCGTCTCCTCACTGCTCCAGGTCTGCACACGGCTCATTGTTGTTGTGTAGCGTTGGCAGCATAGTTAGCAGCATAGTTAGCCGCTGCGTGGCTAATTCCTCAGTTTCTGTCTGCGACTTGTTAAGCCCAAAAAATGCGCACGTATCTTGGAGTTGTGTCGGATCGACACCGGATGTATTCAGACCTGATTCGACTTGGACCAGAATTCGTTTGGAAGCGGACCGAGACCACCTCAAAAAGTGGGTCTCGGTTCGGTTTTTTGGTCCGGACCAGGATTCGTTTGTGTGTATTCAGACCTGCATAAAAGATTCGGATCAGAGTTCCAAACGAATCCTGGTCCGTTTAAAGTGGAGCAAATGTGCAGGTCTGAATGCACCCTTAGGTAAACGTGAACTAAGAGGGACATGTTTTTAAAAGAATTTATTTGAAAATTTAGGGCGGAAAGCAAGTATTTAGTCAATAACCCACAATGACAGAGGTTAAACGTTTTCTGTGTATCTGCCTCGACAACATTACTTTGTTTTGGACGTACGTTTATTAAAATGAACAAAGTTACACAAAAAGGCACCATAGGAGGTGACTTCCTGGTTCAGACCTGGTTCAGACGTGGTTTTGTCCTGAATCAGTCCTGGATCAGTCCTGGTTTAGACCTGGATCAGTCCTTGATCAGTCCTGGATCAGTCCTTGATCAGTCCTGGTTCAGTCCTGGATCAGTCCTGGTTCAGTCCTGGTCCTGACGTGGTTCAGATGTGGTTCCATCCCGATTCAGTCCTGGTTCAGACCTTGTTCAGACGTGGTTTTGTCCTGGATCAGTCCTGGATCAGTCCTGGTTTAGACCTGGATCAGTCCTTGATCAGTCCTGGATCAGTCCTGGTCCAGTCCTGGTTCAGTCCTGGTTCTCACGTGGTTCTCACGTGGTTCAGACGTGGTTCCGTCCCGATTCAGTCTTGGTTCAGACCTGGTTCAGACGTGGTTTAGACCTGGTTCAGCCCTGGTATAGAAGTGGTTCAGACCTGGTTCAGTTCTGGTCCAGTCCTGGTTCAAACCACATAGAAGTAGGGCTGAAACAACTAATCGATTAATCGACGACTAATCGATTATTGAAATAGTCGAGAACTATTTTAGTAATCGATTAATCGTTTTCTGGTTCACACGGACTCAAACAGAGCAAAAATGACGTGAAAATTTAGTATTTTTGATTAAAACCGACTTTGTTTTTATAATTTCATGAATATCTGTCTGTCTCATCCAATCAGAGCAGAAAGAGCCTGTTACAAACATTTACTTTAAGTTTACGCCATCAATACGTCCTCGAGTGTTGCCAAACTTGCCACTTTAGCTTTTTGTGATGAAAAAATAATTTTTTTCTACACAATTCACAGCCAAGCGATTACTCGATTAATCGTAAAAATAATCGATAGATTAATCGATTACAAAATAATCGTTAGTTGCAGCTCCACATAGAAGGCCCTGTCCCCCCAGTTTTAAGTCTGGTCTTGGGCACCACGAGCTGGACCGGGCCCTTAGCTGTGTCTCATGTACAACATCCACACCTTAAACTACACCCATGGTTTAAGCTTTTGTTCCTTTGGGAGGGAAGGGTTGGGGGTGTCCTGTTCTTTGCCTGATGGTGGTTGCCTGGCCTGCCAAACAATATGCTTTTCCAAAGACAAATAGTCTGGGAACGAGCTTGATCTCAGCGAATTCCCGGTGGGCGTGGTTGACAGACTGCATCAACCAATTAGATGCACACAGGATATGACGCAGCAACTAGCGGCACCCAAGCCGTTTCAGTAAACACAAAACAAGGGATGGCGGCATGTCAGCTAGTGCAAATGTAAACGACTGCTGTCAATTTTGTAACAAAAACTTAAAGATACGAGGAGTTATTAGCAACTCAAAGGTGAAAGGAAGTCCCGCCTCTCGGTGCGTGATTGGACCGATGTGGGTAAAATCGTGAAATGATAGGCTAGGAAGAGGTGTCCAGACGGTTCTTCTTTTGAACAGAAAGGAGGAGTGTCTGGCAGGCCAGGCAATGATGGTGGCGCTGCCGAGCACGACGGGTACATCTGCAGAGCCGGTACTGTCTTTTTGTCGTTTCGTCTGCGGCTGGCCTTAAAATCCTCAACCCTCGTTCTGGAGCCGTTTTATTCCTGATTATCTGTTCTCAGGATGAAAAGCAGCAGAATTCGATCGTCTACTTTTACACGGCTTTATTTTGAAGTTCTAAAAATAGATGTGTGGCTTTACATGAGAATATTAAACAGCCTCCTCTGAGCCCGTGTTTCATACAGCTACAAATACTCACTGTATTTACTCACTTAAACACTACACCAGTGTTTCCAAACTGGGGGTTCTTGGACCACAAGACGTACACGAAATTATTTTCCATACTAGCAAATGTGATCGTAAGAGGTTAGAGCGGAATGTTATGGGATGTTAAACACAATCTAACGCTAGACCTGTCATGAAATATAAATAAAATGAATTACATTTGTATGCATAAGGAGTGGGAATTGGGAAAAATGTGATGATTTGATGGTATTGCAATATTTGGACCACAATTCAATATTATTGCAATTTTTAATATATTTCAATACTGCAAATATGGCCATTTTTTGTCCCTCATAATACAAGGCATTACAAAATGTCACTTTTATTATCAGAATCAGAATCAGAATCATTTTTATTGCCACGTAAGTAACAGGAGGTCACAGACTTGGAAATGGCTTTGGCTCAGTGCAACAGTCAGAAAGAGATAATAAAAATAAGAATGGTTTGCACAATAACTAAAGCAAACACAGGAGAGTAGTGCAAAAGCATTATCCTAACATTCAGGACGCTGGACCTTAGTCAGGTCTGATAAAACATGAGGTAATAAATGCTTGAATTGAGTAGGTTTTAACTAATTCTGAGCACATTTTGACTGTTTGAAAACAAGATTCTCCAATGGGATACAGATATTTAGTCTCATTCCAAGGGAGAAATTTCTTGTATCCTTTTAAAACCAGATAATTTTGCTTTGTCCCATCTGCAAATCTTGTTTTAAGGCTCAGTCAGAATGTGCTCAAATCAATGTTAATTTCACCCAATTTGAGCATTTTTTTATTTATTTGTCACACATAAAGTCTCTGAGTAGACGACTCTCACATGAATGGAGAGAATTCTAATACAACAGACTAGAGCCACAAAAAGCAGACAGAATAGATTCACAAATCGTAAATTACCAGAGTAAACTCGTAGAAAACACAGAATTGAAACAGATAATTACTTATTAAATATTGCGATACTTTGCTCTACTGTATTGATTTAATTGCGTGTGCAAAATATCGCAATACTGAACAAAATCTTCTGTTCCGTGTCGCGATTCAAAGACAAGAGGTTATGGCCTCAAACCAGCTCTCATTTTTTTCTTCATGGTCCCAGCCAAAACATGTGTTTGAAACTGTTTATTAAAAGTGGACTGAATGTTTACGGTTTGCCTTAATGTGGAAGAGGCCGATTAGAGCTAACTTAGAGCTAACAGGCCGTTTGAGCGGGAATGTGGAGCATAATGAATTACAATTTTGTTAGCAAGTGCCAATCAGGAGCGGCGTCGTCTGTCCCCATTCACGCTACTTCCTAGCTTTAGCCAAATTCAGGCACAGAAGGCTCCTGATTGGTCGGTCAGTTGGTCAAGATCATATCAAAATCAATGATTGAAAAGAGAGATATCCATAGATTTTAAAAACGCAAAATGATGAGTTTGACACAAATTTGTGAGGGGGAAACATCTGCCCATATAAGGACATTGGCTCCAATTAGCTTATGTTGAAATTGGTACTGGTCGTGCACGGGTCACGTACTGGTCTCAGTGGTGGTGTCTCTGACTGGCCTCTCCGCAGGACTTCCCCATCATGCTGGTGCACCACATGGCCACCATCTCGCTCATCTCCTTCTCCTACGTCAACAACATGGCCCGAGTGGGAACGCTGGTCATGTGTCTACACGACGCGGCTGACGTGCTCATAGAGGTTAGTGTCACCTTTATATGTATAGCACATTAACAACACCACCAACTGCTCTAATAATTTAAAATGCTTGTGTTAGATTTAATCCTTCGACATTAGTCCGTTTGACAGTTGAAGTGCCCCACCCATTGGATCTCTGGGTACTACAGCAGGAGGAAAGCTCACTGTTTGGGAAAGCAATAGGCCCTTACCCCTGTTGGTGTAAATCTGATCTTCAGGGCGTTTAAGAGAATCAGGGTCTGGAAAACTCTCTGGGCTCATCCTAAAGAGGGATGCAGGCGGGAGAGTACCACCAGCTCTCTGCCTGATTCATTCTTCTTCATGTTTCACTTATATTTGCTGTGAGGAGATAGAAACAACTCATCGTACGTCTCCAGACTGAGTGTCAGCAGATCCCTAGAGGCACACAGGGGTATTACAGGGATCTGGGGCCATTACTGGGTTATTACAGGGGTATTACAGGGGTAGTAAAAGTTGTATATGGGAAACCCTGACATGTAGTACCTAATTCTAAAGATATAATTCCCAAGAAATAACCTTGTAATGCAGAGGTCGGGAACCTTCCGGGAGCGAGCTAAAAGAAGTCTTCTACAGAAATACTTTTCCAACATTAAAGTATTTCTGTTGGAGCCAGACACTTTTGAATATGTGTGATTTTTTTTTTAAACAAGATGAGATAGTGATACAGTGAGATATTAGTCTCAGAAGGTATTCTTTTGTTTAAAATTTTTATTCTGAAGAAATCCAACACAACACATTCCGACTGTTAATGCAGACTAAGATTTGTCCCAGAGCCAGACACTATCATCGAAAGAGTCAAAGTTGTTTTAGGATTTGAACATTGTCAGAGAAGAGGCCTGTCTCACATTTTCAGGATGACTGTTCCAGAGTTTAGCAGAATAGATCTGATACGCTTAGTCCTGACTCTGGGACCAGCTGGAGGCCAGTCCCTGTGCTCCTCACATTCTCAGCAGAAGGCTAGTACCATACCTTACACCATACCTGGCGCCCGCAAGAACTCTAAAACATCCCCTTTCCATAAAAATGAGCATTTCTTGAAGTGTACAGTGGAAGTTCGAGTCTCAAACTTGAAACAGAAAATGTGATGGTTTGAATGTGACTGGAACAATCTCACGATGAGGAGTTTGAGGATCTGTTTCCCTGGAGCTCCCACAGCTCTTTAAAGTGCTGCTGTGCTCCTCTTTTTCAGGCTGCCAAAATGGCCAACTACGCCAAGTGCCACCTGTTGTGCAACCTTCTGTTCGCCATGTTCGCCCTGCTCTTCATCAGCTCCCGACTCGGGGTCTTCCCCATTTGGTGAGTGTCCCATATCGCCCACCCCGACATGAAACCCACCCGTGAGAGCGTGTCCCTCTCTCGTTACGGGATCACTCTTTTTTATTACTGTTTTTTAGACAGTGGTCATCCCTCTCCCTATGGACCAATGTGTTTTTTGCTATTGCATTTCCTGTGTTTGAACTGCTTAAAAGGAGCTGAAAGATAAAAAGATTTACCGGTCAATCTTTCTTCCTGTCCTCACCTATGGTCATGAGGTTTGGGTAATGACCAAAAAAACGAGGTCGTGGATACAAATGGTCGAAAGTGGCTGGGCGCTCCCTTAGAGATAGGGTTAGGAGCTCAGTCACACGGGAGGAGCTCGGAGTAGAGCTGCTGCTCCTCCACGTTAAGACGTTGAGGTTGCTCATCTATTCCGGATGCCTCCTGGATGCCTCCCTGGGGAGGTGTTCCGGGCACGTCCCAACGGGAGGAGGCCCAGGGGAAGACCCAGGACACGCTGGAGGGACTATGTCTCTCAGCTGGCCTGGGAACGCCTTGAGGTCCCCCCGGACGAGCTGGAGGAGGTGTGTGTGGATAGGGAAGTCTGGGCGTCTCTGCTTAGACTGCTGCCCCCGCGACCCGGCAACGGATGAAGCGGAAGTAAATGGAATGGATGGATGGATGAACTACTTAATTCTCTGATCTTTTATTAGTGAATTACCAGCTCTGCAAAGTCCTCTACTGTTGTAATTTAGGGCTATACAAAAATCTCTCAAACACCGGTCTTCAGTCCAGTCCTTTGCTGTAACAATTGCCCCTTTCGTCCCCAAACCCCGTCATTTACATTCTTCACAATGCACCAAGTTATTTTTGGGCTCTGGCGCTTGCATCATGCCAGTGTCTCCTTCTGCACTACTCCTTCTACAGCGGAGGAGACACATTGCTGTGAATTTTGTTGCTAAGTAATAGTTTCTATGGATACGGCAGCAGCTTTAACCTTGATGGGGGAAACAAAACAAATTGGCCGGAAAAATCCCGCCACTGTGGTCACTGCGATTGGTCAAAGCAGTCGTGGAATTGTTGAGAATCTATTTGATACTGCTTTCTACGTGTGTGGACATATTTTACACAATGCATCTGGCCAAATATTTGGAACTTCCCCCCACCCCTTCTGTCTCAATGCTCTGTTTTCAAACTTGCTCCTCAGACTGACATGTTTTCTGCCTTTCATTTGCATGCAGGGGTCGCGATCTATACATTTTTCTTCCTCCCACTTCTTTTCGAGTTTAATCATGTACAATATAAGAATGCATTGGTTTTCTGCAGCGCTTTTTAGGAAACGCAAAGACGTTTTACATGTCATTATTCTTTCACTCCATACACTGTGGTGATAAACTACTACAACCATTCACACACACATCAGACTCATTATAGACAATGTGGAGGAAGTGTCTGGCCTAAGGACACAATAGCAGTTTGGCACTTTACAGCCACAGCCGCCCCACTGTGGCATCTGGTGTTTCCAGAGGTCTCCCATCACAGTATTAACCAGGCCCTGTCCTGCTTAGCTTCAGAGGTCTGACAAGGTCTGGCTTTTCACCTGCAAGTATGATCACAAATATTGTAATAGAGCAGAGTTGTGGCTGTAAAGTGGCAAACTGTGGTTGTGTCCTTAGGCAAGACACTTCCCCCACATTAGAATGAGTCTGGGTGGTGGTGGGAGGGGCCAATGGCACAGACTGGTTGCCTCACTTCTGTCAATGTGCCCCAGGGCAGCTGTGGCTACAGAATTAGTTATCACCACCGTGTCTTTAGCCCTCTTCAGGATTAGCGTGACCTGTGGACCTCCGGTAATTTTAAAATGACCGCTCCTCCTCTGTGAAACTTGCAGCGCATTCACAGGGAGCAATGTCTGTAAATGACTGTATTTTCACTGACACATGACAACCGCACGTGTGAGTCTCTCCGCTTCACGCAGCCCAAAGGATCCTCGCCGTGCTGCGTCTCTGTCAAAACACATGGAAATATGTTTGTGCTGATGGTTCTTGGCTCTAGATCAGCTCCACACACACACATACTTATATTTTAAACTTCAAAAACTGCAAATCAACATTTGGACTGCAGCCTCCATGGTTCGAGTCGGTAAGAGATATGAAAAGGTGTAAGATATTGACCAAAACCAACGCAGAAAGTAGAGAAGGCGGCAATAGCGATCACTGACATGCAGATTTGAACGAGATTAGTATTATCACTGGACGTCTGTGTTTGGACAATTACAGGAGGTAATTTGAGGCTGGTCTCTCTCTCTGGTCTCTCTCTCTGGTCTCTCTCACTGGTCTCTCTCTCTCTGGTCTCTCTCTCTCTGGTCTCTCTCTGGTCTCTCCCTCTTGGTCTCTCTCACTGGTCTCTCTCTCTCTGGTCTCTCTCTCTCTGGTCTCTCTCTGGTCTCTCTCTCTGGTCTCTCTCTGGTCTCTCTCTCTGGTCTCTCTCTCTGGTCTCTCTCTCTGGTCTCTCTCGCTCTGGTCTCTCGCTCTGGTCTCTTTCACTGATCCCTCTCTCTGGTCTCTCTCTCTCTGGTCTCTCTCTCTCTGGTCTCTCTCTCTCTGGTCTCTCGCTCTGGTCTCGTTCACTGATCCCTCTCTCTGGTCTCTCTCTCTGGTCTCTCTGGTCTCTCTCTCTGGTCTCTCTCTCTCTGGGATTAGCTTTGGATGAGGAGTTGCAATGGTGTTTTACTTTACAAATTACAGACACAGTGCATTCTCCCAGGTCTAAGATCTCAGACGTCCTCCGTAATTATCACAAATTAGCAGAGGTCTACAGTTAATACTAATCCCGTGCAAATAGGGCTTTTGAGTGTCCTGAAAAGCTTTTTATAAAACCGATGAATTATTATTATTTAAAACAAGTCAAATCACATTCTTCATCCTTTTCATCTTCTTAATTCTCCTGTTTAACATCAGCCACAATGATATGACGCTTAAACATAGGGCTACAGTTGTAAAGTTGTCATCACTGTAAAGCCGTTGCCATGGTTTCCCGTTTCCCAAAAAATGATTCACGACTTTGCCCGGGGATAAAAATAACACTGGACTTAATACTTTGGAGAGAAGAGAGGAGCAGAACCGGTGCGGATGTGTCTGTGACGATGAATAGAGTGTGTTCTGTGAAAAGGTACGAGACGTGAAGGAGGTTTGACAGAGTCGGTGACGATCAGAAACATTCAGCAGGATAACTTTCTATATGGCCCTTGTTGATGGTGCTGGTTCTGGCCTGGTCCTGAGTCAGCTTGGTTTTCCACCAGAGAAGAGCAAGTGGTCGTTACTATAGCAACACACAGTTTCACCAGTTCTGGATCTTTGTTGAATAGAGGTGCAACGGTTCATCACTGATCCGTGATCCGTTCGGTTCAACGTCTTCGGTTCGGTACAGACGTGATCCGCGGTTTAATTTATGAAAAAAAAGTTGTGCGCACGTTATTCAGTCCACACACAGCGCGGTCATTGCGAGCGGAGGAACGGAGATGCTTGAAAGCCCTGCGTCATTTAAATCCCCAGTATGAGAGCATTTTGGCTTCACTGTAACTGCACTGATAATTAATATTCGACAAAACTGTCACGATGTGTAAGCACTGTGGCACAAGAAAGACATGAGTGAAAAAAGCGTCTCAACGACCACCTATTGTCGCGGCATTTAAGCAGCTCCTTTACGCACAGTCAGACCGGGCTAGAGTCAACTCTCCCGCGCATCCTCAGCTGCGCTCACGACTGACGCTTGGACGTCCCGCGGAACCTATAATAGATCCATGAGCAGAACCGCTCACTTCATCACCGCAGACTGGGAGATGAAAAGTCTGGCGCTGCAGACACGCCCCCTCTACGACAGTCACACAGTCACACAGCGCAGGTACTGACACAAGCAGCGGAGGAATGGAAGACAAAGGCCCAGTACTAATATCCCAGTCACAACTGATAATGCCAAAAATTAAATAAATGCAGTGAATGAGGCTGGGCCCAGAATGGAGCGCCTCCTCGAATCAGGAAGGTGGTGTAATATATGAGAGTAAATATCCTCATAAAGTGCCTTCTTATGTTGCACTTTGTGTTGTTTTTCATTAATTATGTTAAATAGACATAATTGGATGGATGGAATATTCCATCCATCCATCCATCCATTTCCTTCCCCTTAATTCATTTCTAGGTCAGGGGGGGGGGCAGTCAGAGCAGGTGCCGAGTCCACATAAGCTGTGTTTATTAAAAAGACAAAACTTTTTTTTTGAAAAATGAACCGAAAAATGAACCGAACCGTGGCCTCTGAACCGAGGTACGAACCGAACCGTGATTTTTTCAAACCGTTGCACCCCTATTGTTGAAGTAGCAATATGTATGTCTTTTCCAATGCTTCTTTAACTGATAACAGTCGTTCAGAGATATTTGAAGCTCAAAATTAGTTTTAAAGCCCCTAAATCTTGTTATTGTTTTCATTCTGATGTCCCGCCCTCCACCGTTTTACCAATCAGAAAGTCCGTGATCCGGGCGCCAGAACTAAACTCCAGGTTCAGACTGGGACTAGACTCCAGGGTCAGACTGGGACTAGACTCCAGGGTCAGACTGGGACTAAACTCCAGGTTCAGACTGGGACTAGATTCAGGGGTCACACAGTTGTTTGTTACATCTGTGTGAATTTTCAGATTTTTATGGTTGTAAATGACAAAATGTGCAGAAGTTCCAGGTGTATGATTACTTTTGCCTGGTCTGGGATTGAGCTCTGTGACCGTGAGTGTTGTGTTGGTCAGGATCCTGAACACCACGCTGCTGGAGAGCTGGGAGATTGTGGGGCCGTACCCGTCCTGGTGGCTCTTCAACCTGCTCCTGCTCCTGCTGCAGCTGCTCCACTCTTTCTGGTCCTACCTCATCGTGAGGACGGCCTGCAGAGCCATCTCCAAAGGGAAGGTGAGCCGCCAACTTCACTTATTCTATTTTCATACATTACAGCTGGAGTACCTCACTTTCAAACCTCCTCGTCAGTAAATCCTCGCTCCCAAAATAGTATTTTGGAGATTTCATGACATTTTGAAGAAATTGTTTAAACCAGATCAAACCGGTGTAAACCAGATTAACCGGTGAAAACCAAATCAAACCTGTGTAAACCAGATCAAACTGGTGTAAACCAGATCAAACCGGTGTAAACCATATCAAACTGGGTTTCGTTTAATTCAGGGAAAGGTGATCCCCTCAAAAGTCATCTTACACTTATACGGCAAGACGGTCCTGGGTTCCACCTCCAGGCCTTTCTGTGTGGAGTTTGCGTGTTCTCCCCGTGTCTGCGTAGGTTTCCTCCAGGTGCTCCGGTTTCCGCTACCACTAAAAACATGTACAATAGTTCAGTATGTTGGCCCTGCTCCCATCTCTGTGTGGAGTCAGCGGAAAAACAACTGTAAAGCTCTTTGTGACTCTGGGCCGTGAAAGGCGCTATATACTTAAATATTACTTACTTAATCATATAAATGCAGTGAATATCAACATAAGTAAGTAATTTCTTACACTTTAAACATGTAGTAAGAGATGACTTCTTGTATATACTTCCCATTTTTTATACACACTACAGACATTTTCTCACATATCACATTGGTACAAAGAAATCTATAGATACTAACCCTGTGTTTGTCCGCCATGCCAACGCCAAGGTGGGGAAATGGAATCCGCTACACGTAAGTACCAAAGCCACCGATGTGTGTTGCTCTGGTGGTGGTTTTTGGGATTGCATGCATCATCTGTTGGCAGAATGTGTGTACAACAGCGTATAACGTGTGGTGGTTTGTAAATGAACTGATAATATCATCTTGTAGCTGATGTCAAACGGCTGCAATGTGGTCTGTGGCTGACGTCGAAGCAGGAAGTGGTGTTCTCAGAGATGGAAGATGGTATTAACAGACGCTGTTCAATTCAATTCAATTCAATTATTTTTTTATAGCCCAAACTCCTAAAAGCAGTTGTCTTGGAGGACTTTACAAAGTTGTAGAATCGCCAACAACAGATCTGAGAATCAAACCGTTTCAACACAGAAAATTAATAACAACAAGCCATTGGTCCACAGTGAGTCCTTAGACCCTCTTGAATGGGCAAGGAATAACTCAACTATGATTTTTGCTCAAATTAACTATATTTATTTTTTACTAAACTTAAAATTACATTATTTACTTTGACATTTAGATTTGACATAAGACATTCGCATTAGAATTTATCCATTCATCCGTTGCCGGGTCGCGGGGACAGCAGTCTGAGCCAACACACACACCTCCTCAAGCTCATCTGGGGGAATCATGAGGCGTTCCCAGCTGAGAGACACCTCTGTGCCCTGGGGTTCCCCTGGTCTCCTCCTGGTGGCACATGCCCAGAAACACCTCCCCAGAGAGGAGAGCAGGAGGCATCCCAAACAGATGAGCCACCTCCACTGGCTCCTCTTGACGTGGAGAAGCAGCTCTACTCCAGGCGCCTCCTATGTGACTGAGCTCCTCACCCTATCTCTAAGGGAGCAGCCACTCAGAGATTCTAACTCCTGCTCACACACTTCAAATATTTGGACTTACAAATGCTGGATAAATACAATAATAAGTATTGAATAGTCAACGTCTCCAAGGCAACTACAGCGACAGCCTCATTATGGCCTTCATCAGCACAGTGTGTGCATATTTTAGCTTTTAAGAGTGTTACAACATTGTTCCCTTATAGAATAACAGACCTGGAGTTGTTTTTAGATCCATTCATGTTAGCGACAGGAACAGTCGGCACAAACACATCCCCCCGCCCTTTCTGACTTCGTGGAGAGAGGCTTTTTATTTTTATTTTTTTAAGAAGTATAACGCATGATGATGAGACCTTGTACTTTGAAATGTCATGTTTTAGAATGAGAAATAATATCTTCAGTAGAACACGTATGGTAAAACAAGTATGAAGGGTAAAACATGCTACCGGCCTGTAACTCCCCACACTAACACCAGAGGGAGGTGTGGAGTTTCTTTCCACACACATGTGATTGTAAAGAACGTTTTTTTCACCTGAGAAATATATGTTCTACTGTTGTTTGGTTCTGGTTCTAAAGATGTTTAAGACGCCCTGATGTGTTTTTTACTGATGGCTGTTTCTCGCAGGTGTCTAAAGACGACCGCAGCGACATTGAGTCCAGCTCGGATGAAGACGAAAGCCCTCCTCCGCCGCTGCCTTCAGCCAATCAGAAGCACCACAGCCACGCCACCAACGGCACCAATAAGAGCCACTCTACCAACGGCTACCTGACGGGGGCGCTATATCCCGATGAACACTGACCTGTGGAGAGCACTGAGCCATGCTACAGACACCTTCCATTATTACAGTGTGTGTGTGTGCGTGTGTGTGTGTGTGCGTGTGTGCGTGTGTGGAGAGCATTGTCCGTCTTTTACGCACATATCAGGGTAGAAATGTTAAGGCGGTCTCGAGTTTTCGCTCAAGTATAATTGTACTAATCACATGGAACTGTTAAAGCTGGGGTACGTAATAAATAATACATATTTTTTGTTCCAACAGAAAGAGTAACTTTTGTGAACAAATCAGACCACAACATGGTTTCTTTGTGTCAATAGAAAACATATTATCTTTGGCATACTTGAAAGAGCCCTGTGAGTCACTATTTGACTCTTCGGGCTGAGAGCTGATTGGCTGAGTGAGGGTGGTCCTCTCTTTTTCACTTTTCTGTCTGAAAAAGCAGATTTGACACAAAATACATGAATGTGAGAAATAGTAATGAAAGCAATCTTGTTAGGATTTGTATACATTTCATTTTTTGTGGTTAGAAAATTAGGTACCCCAGCTTTAAAAGATGATGGAAGTAACACTGACAGTTCATCTGCTGCAACAATTTATTCATTAAGCAAAAAGCTCGAATTGATCATGGTTTTGATGGCGCACTTTTCCACAATAGAATTACACTTTTATTTGTACTGAATCCGTGCTACTCGCTGTTAAAGCTGCTCGCTGCTAAAGCTACTCACTAGCTAAAGCTACTCACTGCTAAAGCTACTCACTAGCTAAAGCTACTCACTGCTAAAGCTACTCACTGCTAAAGCTACTCACTAGCTAAAGCTACTCACTGCTAAAGCTACTCACTGCTAAAGCTACTCACTGCTAAAGCTACTCACTAGCTAAAGCTACTCACTGCTAAAGCTACTCACTAGCTAAAGCTACTCACTGCTAAAGCTACTCACTGCTAAAGCTACTCACTAGCTAAAGCTACTCACTGCTAAAGCTACTCACTGCTAAAGCTACTCACTAGCTAAAGCTACTCACTGCTAAAGCTACTCACTGCTAAAGCTACTCACTAGCTAAAGCTACTCACTGCTAAAGCTACTCACTAGCTAAAGCTACTCACTGCTAAAGCTACTCACTGCTAAAGCTACTCACTGCTAAAGCTACTCACTGCTAAAGCTACTCACTAGCTAAAGCTACTCACTGCTAAAGCTACTCACTGCTAAAGCTACTCACTAGCTAAAGCTACTCACTGCTAAAGCTACTCACTGCTAAAGCTACTCACTAGCTAAAGCCGAATTTGATGACAGAAGGCTCCTGATCAATCAGTGGCTAGGGCTCGGAATTGAAAGTACAAAGAGAATCTCGCTTTTTTCCTTTTAATCTAGGGACTGATACCCTTAAAGCTAGCTAACCTTCAAGCTAAGACGTGACAACATAAGACGTATCAAAGACAGTTTGATTTAGAGATAGAGCATCTGGCAGACTTCAAAAACAAATTTAACTCTTTCTTTGTCGTCAGGATTGTCCGAGAAGTCAGCAAGACGTCTTTCCAGCTTTTCCAAGTCCAGCCCCAAGAAATATTATTCAAATGTAAACACAAAACGGTTAGAAAGAGAGGGAACAAGACAGTCAACCAAAGCTCTCTCAGCGTCTGCTCCCAGATACTGTGGTGCTGCTCCTTCACGCTGAAAAAACTTCTGCATCCTCCACCGTTTCTCTTAAAAATAAAGGTTTTTAGACGGGATCTTTGCGCATGAGAGTAATCTGGAAGTTTTATTTTCAACTTTACAGCTTTTTTCAGGCAATTTGAAATCAGGATATAGACTTAGACTCAGACAGACTTTATTGATCCACAAGAGAAGTTGTGTTGTCACAGTAGCTCGCATAGTATTTCACAATAAAAAATAACATTAAAGTTATAATCTGAAAATGTATCAGAATGTATACTGTTGAATTGAAGTCACATCAAAAGTTGTTCTTATAGTCAAAACAACAGATTCAAAACTGAAGTCGGCTTCATGTCTGCGTTTGTGCAAAGTCCAAAATGGTTAGTGTCACATAAACGGTTTCTGAGCGAGAGGAGTTTACTTTTCAGTGTTAGTCGATTGGAGCCAAACTTTGTCCATGAGCACTTCCTTGATGGGCATCATTGAGCTAGCTGGTTAGCATTGCCCATCTGCAGTCTAAGGCCGTACGCAGCATTGAGATTCATGAGGTCCTTCTCTTCTAATAATGACTATTTGTGAAAGTGGATTAATTTTCATTTTTTAAATGTATTTTTCCGTCGTCGCGTGAAGTAAAATTTGATTAATTCTTTCACCTACGTTTTCAAAATATCTCGTCACCGCTGATCAAAGACACTCCCAGATTGTATACAAGCCCTGTTTCCACCAGCCCTGCTCTACTCGGTTCTACTTTACCTGGTTGAGTTTCCATTACACTTTAGTATGATTTACCTCACCTAACAACCTACACACAACAAACCAGTCTCTGGGCAAATTCCTTGATAACCATGGCTTCCTCAGTACTCTAGTCAATCTCTGTCAGTACTAAAAAAGTATGTGGTACCGCTTAAACAGGGCCAATGGAAACGGTTCCAACGGGGGTAGAGTGGAGACGATTCGGGCCAAGTTGGGCTGGTGGAAACAGGGCTTTATACATATGTACATGTATATAGGCCAGTCCTTGCATCCAAAGTAAGCCCTTTACAAACAGCGCTCACAGAACCCACAGGAGACGGTGCTTGATCCAGATCTCCCTCTGTACGTTACATACAGTATTTACTTTACAGGCCAGTGAGTCTGTGTGACATCAGTATTGAATGTTTTAACACGGCAGTATAAACTCCAGAACAGAGGGAATAACGAAAAGCAAAGATAAGATAAGCTTTATTGATCTCACGATGGAGAAATGTACTTGTCACATTTGGCATTAGAATCACTCAGACTGTGCAAAGAAGACAGAAACGTGCAGCATATGAAGGTTAAAAATATAGACAACGCCAACCCCCAAGCTCGAGGAAGTGCTCATGGTTGAAGTTTTAGCTAACTCACTCTGGCTCCTGTTGACTCACATTGAAAAGTAAACTCCTGTAGCGCTAACCAACCAACGGAAGGATCTGTGGCTCTGTACAAACAGCAGCCGATCCGGATCTCAGCCTGTGGGGCACTAGGACCTGGGAGGATCATCTCTGGATCAGAAAACGGGGCGTGACTGTACAGATCGGCGCTCTGGACATCTGAAAACAAACCAAGCTTCTGTCGGTGGAATAGTGTGTCTTGCCGTCCCTCCCTGTTCTGTGATTGGTCCCCAAATCCTTGCCAACATTTCGGCCCGAGTTTCCAGTTCGAATCATTTGCGTAGTTCGAAATGGTTTGGGAGAACACAGCAGCTTGCAGATTCTCAGGCTCTGGCTACAGATTATTCAGATACTGTTTTTTCTGTAGATTTGCAAAAACGTTATATGCCAGACGTGTCCCATATGTCAGTATTTTTGTCATTCTAATGTCAGAGTCACAGGGAAATGACAAGTATTTTGTTGCTAATAGAAAACTATGTCAGTGTCTGCCGCTCAATCTCAAAGCTAAAACTGATTGCATTTTATTTGAACAGCAACAGACGACTTCAGTAACGTATTATTAACGAGAAATATAAGTTATTATAGGTTAGTGAAGACTACTTTAGCATCATACTTTATTTTTTGGAATTCATAGAAAAAATATTTTAGACTTTGCTTCAACTTTTGACATATATTAACCCTATTTTTTGAGTAATGAATAAATAAATATTGCTCAGTTGCTGATGTCTATCTAAAATTGTATTTACAAGAATTATGTTTTCCATGCCAACAGTATCTAGTTTTTAATGTCTTTCATTTTTAGTATTTCCAACTCAGCCGTTTTGCAACTTAATTCGAGACAACAGTTGTTGCACGTTTGGACTGTACAAAATTGATTATTTACAATTATAAAGTTGGACGCCTTAACTATTTCACCCCGATGTTTTCTTTCCAATGTGTTCTACTTTCACTTATTTTCATTCATCATTTCTCCATATTTTGTTTCCGTAGAATTATATGGTTCTATCTGCGTTCAGGCTACTTCTTTAATATTGAAGTTTTGATAAATTAAACTGTTTTTAAATTATAAAATTGCCCAGAACACTCAAAACAATGGATATATTGTCCCTAAGCCCAGAGATTATATTAAAGAAGACATATTATGCAAATCAACTTTTTTGAGCTTTTAACGAGGTTACAGCATTATTCCTCATCAGTCTAATCCGCCCTTTCTCTCTAAAATCAGGCCTATATTGGTATGATGTCATTGTTCGACTATGACATCACACTCAGACCAGTTTAGTTTAGCTTAGTTTTGGCAGTTTCTCAGGTGATCTGTGTTCACGGCCAGTAATAAAAAATAAAATAAAATAAAAAATTCCCTCTGGTGGCAGCATCGGGAGTTACAGGTCAATTTTTACCCTTCATTCAAATTTCACAAATAGTTTCTACTAAAAAAATAATTTCAGATTCAAAAACATGAGATTAAAAAGTAAATAGTCTCAGTATGATTTTTGATAGATAAAAATAATGCGTAATATTTCTTCTTTAAAAAAACTGTTTGTAATATACTGTGCCTGTGTCCCCAGATACCATGTCATATAAACAAATCATTTGAGCTTTTCGGAACAACATTTTAAGGTGTTGCGAAAAAACACAATGGACGCGATGTTCATAATATTTATAATTTCAAGCAGAGTATCCAATCAGAGCGCAGAAGGCGGCGCTCATTTGAACATAAGCTGCTTTGGTAACATTTAACTGGATCTATTTTTCCTTCACAAACAAAAATGCCACCACTCTTATTTAAAATAAACAAGGTACTACATGTAAGTCATCATGCGTTTTCATCCAAACTCCAGAAGGTGGTCTGCATCAGTAATCAGCCTCAATCAGAAAATTCTGGAAACAAAAGTGTGATTTGATCTGTATTTGACCACTAAAAGAGCATATTAAACACTGTCTCTTTAATGTCACGACAAAACGTCAGATAGAACCTTATAATTGAAATCTGTTGATCCACCGATGGGCATGCTACTTCCTCATCTTACAGGAGTCCTTTGTCTGTTCTCATGTTATTTATTTTTTATACAATGGATTTGCCAATTCTAGTCACACAACTACTTTGACGTGGTTGTTTAAGGATATTATTTATTTTCAGTGCTGGGTTTGCGTTGACCGCCACACCCCTCAAAGATATGCCAAAAAGGTGACAGATATCTCACTCACTACTTAGAATGGATCATGTCATAATAAAGAAAATGTTCACGTTTTGCATTTGTCACATAATGAGATGTCAAAAACAGTATTAAACAGTGAGTTCGGATCACTATATGGCTAGATGCTGTATTCCCTTTTCTGAGCGTTTTGTTAAGTATTCTTGTACAATTCTGGTATGAGCATTTCATTAAAAAGGCCATTTGTTATGATCCAAGAGTCATTTGAGTTATTCGCTAAAAAAATCATGCGCTAATGCTAATAGACTTTCCCAGCATTTGCCCTTAGTATAGTTGTTTTGTCATTCACACACACACAAGTTTAAGTTATTCATATCCTCATATGTGCCCCGCCATTGCTCTCCCCTTAGTCCTCTGACCACCACACATAGCCCCTCCTCCCGGCCCGACACGTAGATAGATACTTTATTGATCCACATAGGAGAAATTCAGGCATCCAGTAGCAGCAGAAATACATCCATCCATATCAGCTTTTCACTCTAGACAAACCAGTAATCTTTTTCACAGCAAGCTAGCAGGCAACAGGCAAAACACAAACCAAACACAAGTTAAGTTGGTCACGCGAATTACCAATGCATTATTATTATTATTATTATTATTACTTAACCCCACATTGCCTGAAGCTCGCACTGAAACACCAAGCCTGTGGCACCACGAACGGAGCAGCCGTCTTCCTGTGGACCCACCACCTGCAGAGGATCAGCGAGGGACGGGTGCTATGACCCCCCCAACCCAGAAATGAACTAATAAAGGGGTAGAAAATGAATGAGAATGAATGTTTGTGGACGGACTGCAGGTGAGGCACTGAGGGAGTGCAGCTAGAGAAGGCTGCTCCCAGATTGTGACACACACACACACACACACACACATACACACACACACACACACACGCACACACACATACACACACACAAGGGGAGGGGGAGAACACAGGAGGATCATGACAGCTTTAGACCCTCTCACCAGAGAACTTACTAAATACAAGTTTTTCACATTGGACCTATTTGGTTAGTGCTGTGATGGGAGACTTCACCCACATTAGAATGAGTCTGGTGTGTGTATGAATGGTTGATGGTGGTGGGAGGGGCCGATGGTCTAGACTGGTTGCCTCGCTTCTGTCAGTGTGCCCCATGGCAGCTGTGGCTACTGTTGTAGTTTATCACCAGTGTGTATGGATTGAAATAATTAAGATAAACATCATTGATCTCACAATGGAGATATTTACATGTCACATTTGGCATAGATATAGTCACTAAGATTGTGGAAAAAGACAGAAGTTAAATGTTAAAAATACAGTCTTTGCAGGATATTATGTACAATAAAAACTTTGAGAAGCGTCTTTGAGTGTCCAAAAAATCAATATCTAAAACCAAATAATTAACTTAGAAGCACGGCTGATGTGTTTTTTCCTCAAAACTGTTTTTATATAGTCATATTCTAAGCTCTAACTTTCTCAGTGCAGCCCACAGGCAACACCCGTCAGTCCTCTCTTGTTTGTGGACACTGAAGCCATGGGGGCATGTTTGTGATGCTCCTGGATATAGGCTTCATGACGTAGAAGAACTGTCATGTTTGCAGTAGCAGCACCGTGTGATTTTCCTTTCCTTTACAACGTCCCGGTGCCGTTCTGCATGAGTGCCCAGCCCACCTGCAGGTCTACCATGTGCAAACGTCAAAGTCCAAAGTCCACAAACAGTCTCAAGATGAAGGACCCAATCAGCACCTGCTCGGTAAGTTGTCCCTTTTGAAAAAAAACACTAAAGACATGCGGGCACTGCACCATTCAAACATGCACTGGAGAATGAGAGAGCACACACCTTCCAGCCAGGTATTTTCCAACGCATTAATCGTCCAAAACCACATATAGACCAAAGTATGTGTGTTTCAGTACAACCAGCTGTACCAAGATGTCAAGAGATTTTCCAAAACCGGGGAGTATTTCTGCAAAGAGCTCATGGCAGTTTATCATCAGAGGTAAGTTCAGTTTTTCATTGAAAGTGTTTGTATTTTTCTGTGTGTGCATTTCCTGATGGGTGTAATGCTGAAGGCGTATCTGACTTTTACGCATACGTCATGGATTTGGAGCTACAGTATGACGTTAATCTCAAACTCACCGATTCTGTCTAATCTGATTACAATCCTGTTATACCCACTGTCCAGGGGGTAGTGTTTTCATGTTCATTCATTTCTGTCGCTTCAGAATCAGAAGTTCTTCATTACCATTGTAAGTAGCAGGAAGTCACATACAAGGAAGTTACTTATGAAAAAATACACTGCAACAAATGATCAAATACAGTATAAGGTCATCAATGCTTGAATTTTTTTTTTTTCTTAATCTAAACACATTGTGACTGCGTTAAAACAAGATTCTCCAATGGGACAAACAGGAACTGGTGCTTTATTTTCTCATTCCAAGGGAGGCATTTCTTGTATTTTTATGAGATCAAGATCATTTTGCTTTGTTCCATTGGCAAATCTTGTTTTATGGCAGTCAAACAAGAGCTTTTAGACAGAAAAGGCAGAAGTTAATGACAGAAGTTCCTGATGTTAGCCTGGATGGGTCTAAAAACAACTCCAGGTCTGTGACTTATAAGGACGTGGTTGAAAGAGAGAACAAGTCCATTTAGCATGATATGTCTTCTTTAAGTAAAATCCAAATTGTTTTTGTTCATTTTGGATTTTTTAATATTTCCAGATCTGAACTTGAGCTAAACTATGCAAAAGGCCTTCAGAAGCTAGCAGGGAAGCTAATACGGGCGTCCAAAGAAATGACCAACAAGTAAGTCCAGAAAATGATGTTAGCATCGTAGCATCGTAGCATCGTAGCATCGTAGCATCCTAGCATCCTAGCATTGTAGCATCGTAGCATCCTAGTATCGTAGCATCGTAGCATCCTAGCATCGTAGCATCCTAGCATCGTAGCATCGTAGCATCGTAGTATCGTAGCATCCTAGCATCGTAGCATCCTAGCATCCTAGCATCGTAGCATCCTAGCTTTGTAGCATCCTAGCATCGTAGCATTGTAGCATCGTAGCATCGTAGCATCATAGCATCGTAGCATCCTAGCATCCTAGCATGAAACATTATAGCATCGTAGCATCCTAGCATCCTAGCATGAAACATTATAGCATCGTAGCATCCTAGCATCCTAGCATGAAACATTATAGCATCGTAGCAGCTCTAGCTAGCATCTAGCATCCTAGCATGAAACATTATAGCATCGTAGCATCCTAGCATCCTAGCATGAAACATTATAGCATCGTAGCATCCTAGCATCCTAGCATGAAACATTATAGCATCGTAGCATCCTAGCATCCTAGCATGAAACATTATAGCATCGTAGCATCCTAGCATCCTAGCATGAAACATTATAGCATCGTAGCATCCTAGCATCCTAGCATGAAACATTATAGCATCGTAGCATCCTAGCATCCTAGCATGAAACATTATAGCATCGTAGCATCCTAGCACCTCAGTAACATAGCATTACAGAAGGGACGTGAAACTCATTTAGATTCAGAGCCAAATTTAAAAATTAGGAACTGTTCGGGGCCGAAAGAATGAGAATTACAAATATTTTCTGGTTGATTTTTCTGAAAACCAAATGTGTTTATGGTTTTGATTTAACCCAAATTCACCAATTATAAAGTTAAACACATAGTTTTATATTTAACTATAAATTTTAACTTCTGGTGATGTTTTGGGTTACATTTTAGAATACATTAAATGTGATGGTTTTTCTCAGAACATAGAGTATGTATAACATGCCTTGGCAGCCCATTACCATCAATGCGCCAAGTTAATAATAGTAATTGAAATATAATTGCCTGTATTATAGCATCACGGCATTTCATTTTTGGAAGTGTTATAACTCAGCATATGCACTTTTTTGGTCTTCTTAACTTTGTGACTTTTCTGTTTATATACGTAGTTTATTTCTATGTAAATGTTTAGATACAACTATTTTATTGTTACCTTCACAACACACTGTTTACTTGCAGCAGTTAGCATTTGGTAGCCTTTCAACAAACAGTGTTTGCATTATTTCACAGCATCATAGCATTGTAGCATTGTAGCATCACAGTAGCATAGAAATATAGCATGTGTGTTAGCATCATAGCATTATAGCATGTGTGTTAGCTCTATGATGCTACTCTGTATCTTACCTCTCTGTGTCTGTGCTCAGCTCCACCTACACCGCCTGGTGCCATGTGTCTGATGAGATGTATTCAAGAGCCGACGCCCACAGGTCAGAAACACCTGAGAGGACAGACCCGCTGGAAATCACCATTTCATACGTTCATACGTTCATACATTCATACATTCATATATTCATACATTTATACAACACTGAGTCAGGAAGGAGGGAGAAAGACTGAAATATCTGTGCCACATTATAGAACATATAAATAAATACATGAAAAAAGAGAAGGTGTTTGAACCTCCATCCACGCTATGATCAAAACTCAGGGTTTTGTTTTATCATATGTCATTTCATGCCAGAGGTTGTTCCCATTTTAGAGAGAGACCAGAGAGAGACTAGACAGAGACCAGAGAGAGACTAGACAGAGACCAGAGAGAGACTAGACAGAGACCAGAGAGAGACTAGACAGAGACCAGAGAGAGACTAGACAGAGACCAGAGAGAGACTAGACAGAGACCAGAGAGAGACTAGACAGAGACCAGAGAGAGACCAGAGAGACCAGAGAGAGACCAGAGAGAGACTAGAGAGAGAACAGAGAGACCAGAGAGAGAGGCTAGAGTTACACAGCGCCGCAAATGGCGAAGTGGCACGCTCTCTGCCAAGACAATTTCCAAGTGATAACTTTGTTACTCACGTGGCAATAAAAATGATTCTGATTCTGATTCTGAGTTAGAGACCAGAGAGAGACCAGAGAGAACAGAGAGAGGGATCGACCTGAGAGAGAGAGACCAACAAGAGACCTGAAGAAGATGACATAGTCTGGGATCGCGTCTTAAATTCAGACAGAAGACATGTTTTATTGTCGATGGTAGAGACAGCACGAACACAGATACAACAGAATGCAAGTGTATTATACAGAGCGGAGGCATGGAGACCTCCAATCAGCAGCTTCCACGTTGTGCTTGTAGCTTGGCCTTCAGATAGACAAAACATGAAGTGGAAAAGTACTGGCTTCTGCACCTTGATAGAATGATGAGTTTAACTTTAACAAAAGTTGCTTAAAAGTGTTATGAAATCTCACAGACCAACAAAAGACCAGCGAGACACCAGAGAGAGACTAGAGAGAGACCAGAGAGACCAACGAAGACCCGCGAGACATGAGAAAGAGACTAGAGAGAGACTAAAGAGAGAAACCAGAAAGAAACCAAAGAGACCAGTGTCATGGTGGTCTTTGGGCCAAACTCCAAAAAGCAAAAGCGTTTAAGTCTCTTTAGTCCTCAAACAGCCAGAAACAGCCCTGATACAGCCCCCTTCTGCCATTTACAGTGCCTTGCGAAAGTATTCGCCCCCCTTGAACCTTTCAACATTTTGCCACATTTCAGGCTTCAAACATAATAGATATAAATTTACATTTTTTGTCATGAATCAACAACAAGTGGGACACAATCGTGAAGTGGAATGAAATTTGTTGGATAATTTAAACTTAAAAAAAAAATTTAAAACTGAAAAATGGGGCGTGCAATATTATTCGGCCCCTTTACTTTCAGTGCAGCAAACTCACTCCAGAAGTTCAGTGAGGATCTTTGAATGATCCAATGTTGTCCTAAATGACTGATGATGATAAATAGAATGCACCTGTGTGTAATCAAGTCTCCGTATAAATGCACCTGCTCTTTGATAGTCTCAGGGTTCTGTTTAAAGCGCAGAGAGAACCATGAAGACAAAGGAACACACCAGGCAGGTCCGAGAAACTGTTGTGGAGAAGTTTAAAGCCGGATTTGGATACAAAAAGATTTCCCAAGCTTTAAACATCTCAAGGAGCACTGTGCAAGCAATTATATTGAAATGGAAGGAGCATCAGACCACTGCAAATCTACCAAGACCCGGCCGTCACAGACAATGCAGTTACGTAATATTGTGTACAGACAAGTATGTAAAGCTCATTGAATCAGTGAGTTGCATGTAATGATTTATCAGATCCACCAGGCGTCAGTATAGAGCAGCACAAGCAACACTGTTGCGGCACAGTATCAATACAGTTCGTTGGATGTGCCGAAACGATACGTGAGGTTTCATTTACCCATCACTAGTATCTCGGACCTGCCTGGTGTGTTCCTTTGTCTTCATGGTTCTCTCTGCGCTTTAAACAGAACCCTGAGACTATCAAAGAGCAGGTGCATTTATACGGAGACTTGATTACACACAGGTGCATTCTATTTATCATCATCAGTCATTTAGGACAACATTGGATCATTCAAAGATCCTCACTGAACTTCTGGACTGAGTTTGCTGCACTGAAAGTAAAGGGGCCGAATAATATTGCACGCCCCACTTTTCAGTTTATTTGTTAAAAAAGTTTAAATTATCCAACAAATTTCCTTCCACTTCACGATTGTGTCCCACTTGTTGTTGATTCATGACAAAAAATTAAAATTTTATATCTTTATGTTTGAAGCCTGAAATGTGGCGAAATGTTGAAAGGTTCAAGGGGGCCGAATACTTTCGCAAGGCACTGTACTACACTGCCGTGTGTTGGGCTCCGGGCAGCACAGAGCGGGACAGAAACAGACTGAACAACCTGGTCAGGAGGGCCAGCTCCACTCTGGGCTGCTCCCTGGACTCTGTGGAGGAGGTGAGGGACAGGAGGGTGCTAGCCAAAGCCACCTCCATCATGAACAATACCTCCCACTGCACAGGACTGTAGAGGAGCTGAGGAGCTCCTTCAGTGGAAGACTGAGGCACCCTCAGTGTAGGAAGGAGCGCTACCGCAGGGCCTTTATCCCCACCGCTGTCAGACTGTACAATAAGTCACTTTAAATGATCACTGTGTGAAAACCTGCACTACTATTGACACTGTTTCCAATTGAAACTTGTCACTTTTGTTGCACATAATTATTGTCACTTTATTGTACATATATCCTGCATGTAACATGTTTGCACATTTCCTCCTTTTGCACAATCTGAGTGTTTCTATCCATGCCAAATGTGACATGTACATTTCTCCTATGTGAGATAAATAAAGCACATCTTATCTTGATACTAAGATCCAAATTTGCGTGTGTGTGACGGGAGCTGTTAAGTGCTGTAAAGGGTTGCAAAGTGCTGCAAAATGTTATAAAGTGCTGTAAAGTGCTAACTGTGAGCTGGCGTCAGGTCGTTGGGCATCGCCTTTCAGCAGGAGGCCACAGAGGAGCTCCGGCAGGTCCTGGACGAGCACAACAAGAGGAAGAGGCCTGTAAGACGACTTCCAAATGATCAAAAATGATAAAAACAAGTTTGTGTTGAACAAGTCTCCGTCTCTCGCAGCTCGACACAGCCATCGAAAGAAGCGGGAAAGCAGTCACCGCAAACTGGACGGACCAACTCAAGGTAGAGAGAGTGCTTCACGGATGACAGCTTTCTATGTCCGAGTCCTGCTCTGTCCTCAATTGATAAAATCTTGTTCAGCTCAAAAAGAAACTGATGGGACTGACCCGAGAACACGAGGCTTTGTTCAATTTTGTGGAGAGCAACAAACAGATGTCCACAGAGAAGGAAAAGCAAAAGGTCAGATTTCAATCTGTTTCTTTCTGTTGTTTGAGTTTTTTGTATTTTACAGCCTAAATCACAGCAGCAATGAGAGACTAGAGAGAGACCAGAGAGAGACCAGAGAGAGACCAGAGAGAGACCAGAGAGAGACCAGAGAGAGACCAGAGAGAGACCAGAGAGAGAGACCAGAGAGAGACCAGAGAGAGACCAGAGAGAGACCAGAGAGAGAGACCAGAGAGAGACCAGAGAGAGACCAAAGAGAGACCAGAGAGAGACCAGAGAGAGACCAGAGAGAGACCAGCGAGAGACCAGAGAGAGACCAGAGAGAGACCAGAGAGAGACCAGAGAGAGACCAGAGAGAGACCAGAGAGAGACCAGAGAGAGACCAGAGAGAGACCAGAGAGAGAGACCAGAGAGAGACCAGAGAGAGACCAGAGAGAGACCAGAGAGAGACCAAAGAGAGACCAGAGAGAGACCAGAGAGAGACCAGAGAGAGACCAGAGAGAGACCAGAGAGAGACCAAAGAGAGACCAGCGAGAGACCAGAGAGAGACCAGAGAGAGACCAGAGAGAGACTAGAGAGAGACCAGAGAGAGACCAGAGAGAGAGACCAGAGAGAGACCAGAGAGAGACCAGTGAGAGACCAGTAAGAAACCAGAGAGAGACCAGAGAGAGACTAGAGAGAGACCAGTGAGAGACCAGAGAGAGACCAGTGAGAGACTAGAGAGACACTAGAGAGAGACCAGTGAGAGACCAGTGAGAGACCAGAGAGAGACCAGAGAGAGACCAGAGAGAGACCAGAGAGAGACCAGTGAGAGACTAGAGAGACACTAGAGAGAGACTAAAGAGAGACTAAAGAGAGACTAGAGAGAGACTAGAGAGAGACTAGAGAGCGACCAGTGAGAGACCAGAGAAAGACTAGAGAGCGACCAGAGAGAGACCAGAGAGAGACCAGAGAGACCAGAGAGAGACTAGAGAGCGACCAGAGAGAGACCAGAGAGAGACCAGAGAGAGACTAGAGAGAGACCAGTGAGAGACTAGAGAGAGAGACCCAAAAAAACAAGGTTCTGTTTTAAATATTTTAAAATGTACCTTTATAAGTTTTGTAAATAAACATAGATTTATCATAAATACATATAACTAAAACAACAATAAGTATAAAAAAGTAATCAAAGGTATTACTTTTTCCAAAGTAACGGAATACTGTACAAATACAAAGTAGGTCATGTGTTCAGTATTCTGGAACAGGATTAATTTTCAAAGTATTCTACCCAAAGAATCATAATAACAAATCAACAAATGAAACTGTTCAATCACAGGAAATACAATAATAACAAAGCCATTGGTCCACAGAGAGCGTACACAACTATACATACAGACACACAACTATACATTTATTCTCCTGGAATATACAGTATTATATATTTGCTTTTTTATTATGCTATAGTCAGAGATTTGATTCTTCTTTCTTTATTACGCTAAAGCTAGAGATTATATGTTAGTGTAGAGCAAGCCCCTGTGATCCAAGATGGCGCCTTAGTCAAATGAATGGCTTGTGCTCAGTAGATCATGGGACTTCACGGAGACCGGGAGATTAGCTGAACTCTCCTATATTTGGGCATCGTCTGGTCCTCCCGGTTCTGTGCAGTGGACGAGCTCCCATGATGCTTTGCGCCAAATACTTGTGTGTGGGTCTCATGCACGTGCACAGAGGGGCTCGGCCGCGCTCTGACCAATCAGAGCTGCTGATCAGAGTGGGAGTAAGAGCGAGAGCCAGACGAGCAGAGTTTGTGGCAGTAAAGTGTGGATTTAAAGAAAACCGAAGGATTTAAGAAGAAAAAAAGTTCAGGATGACAAGGGACACTAAAATCCCCACAAAATCCGATCTTTATGAAAGCTGTAGGTTCTCTGTCAGGTTCTCTGTCAGCTGAGGTCAAGCTGTTTTAATTTACATTGAGTTCTATGGGACTTTTTTCTGAGTAGCCCAGGTGAATTTAGTCTGCAGTACCATGGGCGCCCCCTGTGGCCATGGGTGGAACAGCTATAAGCTAGTAATACCCTATCCAGTTATTATTTGGGCGGCACGGTGGCTGAGTGGATAGCACTCTCGCCTCTCAGCAAGAAGGTCCAGGGTTCGAATCCCGGTCGGACCATGGCCTTTCTGAGTGGAGTTTGCATGTTCTCCCTGCGTAAGTTGTCTGCGTAAGTTTCCTCCGTGTGCTCTGGTTTCCCCTAGCACTAAAAATATGTACAATAGGTCTGGCATGTGCCTCCTGTTCGGCGACCCCGCTCCCATCTCTGTGAGGAGTGAGAGGACAAGTGCCCAAAAAATAATAACAATTGTAAACCGCTTTGTGACTCTGGTCTGTGAAAGGCGGTATATAAATAAACATTACTTACTATTATAGATCCATGGTATAGAGTTATTGTTCACGTATCTTTTGCTATGTGCTCCTTATTCCTACTGTTCTGTGACTGGTGATGCAACACTGATATTTCCCCATTGTGGGACAAATGAGGGATCTCTTATTCTTGATAAATATGAATAAATGTCCATAAATGTCCCGGATCATCACTGTCCTAAGACCCAGCTGTGATGGAGAGACTGAGCGTTCTCATGACCTCTGGAATGCACAGATAAATAGACTGACTATGTTTGTGATTGCAGATGCTGATGCGGCTAACCAAGTCGGCCGAGCTGCAGGCGCGGGTGGACGAGGAGTATTTCCAGATGAACATGGAGGGCCACGAATCCAGACTGAAGTGGGAGAACACGCTCCGGACGTGCTACCAGGTGAACCTCCTCCACACCAGGGGTCATACTTTTTATCTTTTGCAGTGGCGTTTATGAATGATGACAGGCAGCTCAGGAATTTACATGAAATGGAGGCAGCTTTACCATCAGAGAGAAGGGTATCAGAGAGAGACTGTGAGACCAGAGAGAGTCCGACCCACGGTGATCCAAGATGGCGGCCTGTTCAAATCAATGGCTTGTGCTCAGTGGCGCAACCCACCATAGGCCCCGCCCAGACATGTATACAGTATATATCATAAATATACAATCAGGCAACAGTATTTGTCATAGTTTACACCATGTATGTGATTTATTTACAATTTCACATTTTGCATATCGCTGCTAACTCTGTATTGCACCTTATTAGCCTTAGACTTTATTGATCCTCAAGGGAAATTACGTTGTCACAGTCGCTTGCATAATATTTCACAATAAAGTAACAATCTGAAAATAAGAATACCATCCATCCATTTTCTTCCCCTTAATCCATTTCCGGGTCGCGGGGGAGGTGGCAGTCAGAGCTGCACTCAGTCCACAGAGCTCCAGCCCCTCACTGATCCTCCTGCAGCTGCTGAGTCCACAGGAGCTGAGATCTTCCAGCGGGGGCTTCGGGCAAAGTGGGGTTAAGTGTCTTGCCCAAGGAAAATAAGAATAATAATAAGATAATATTATGAGAACAGAATAATCTGGATATACTGTACGTGCTCAGATTATAATGTACATACTGTATCTGTGAATATGTACACATTGAATTGCACCTTATTGAACTTTATTTTAAAATGTATCTTGGTCAATTTGCACTTTTATCAAACTTTATTTTATATATATTTTAGTAACTTTTCCTTTTTATTTAAACTGTATATTAATATGCAAGTTATATGATTGTATCACGGAAGGACTGCAGGTGGAAAGTAGCTTGTGCTAAATCTGGTGGAGCATCTTTTTAATGCAACTGCTCATTGTCCTTCATAAATTAAACTTCAAACTTATATAATTCATTAAAATATATTCACAAATGTATTTTTATTTACAATTTGTTAGCTCAAAATGGGAGTGATAAAGACATAAAAATGTTTAGAATCCCCATGATCATAATTTGTGTATTTAAATGATGATCATGGCGAGTCTATACCTGTTTTTGAATGAATATTAAGTTAGAATGAGCCTGAAGGTCGTGGGTTCGAGCCCACTATGGAACCTTCTCCACCAACTCCCACTGATCTCTGCTGTCCTTGTGCAAGACACTTAACCCCACTTTGCCTGAAGCCCCCACTGAAAAACCAAGGTTGTGTCGTCACTGACAGAGCAGCCGTCCTCCTGTGGACACACCTCCTGCTCTGACTGCTGACTTCCACCCCAACCCAGAAATGGATTATGGGGAAGAAGATGGGTGGATGGATGGAGAAACAATGGTTCAAAGCTCAAAATGTTGAAATGGAGCGAGAACACTAGTTTGAATTGTTATGAACATGTGTTGGTCAGATCCTGCAGGAGATGGAGCGGCAGCGAGTGGAGGTTCTGGGAGAGGCCCTGAGCCGGTACAGCCTCCACATGTCCAGCTGCGGGGAGGCCCTCAAACACGTACGTCTGCATTCTACCTTCTGTGTCTGCATTCTACCGTCTGTGTCTGCATTCTACTGTCTGCGTCTGCATTCTACCGTCTGCATCTGCCGTCTGCGTCTGCATTCTACCGTCTGCGTCTGCATTCTACCGTCTGCGTCTGCATTCTACCGTCTGCGTCTGCATTCTACCGTCTGCATTCTACCGTCTGCGTCTGCATTCTACCGTCTGCATTCTACCGTCTGCATCTGCCGTCTGCGTCTGCATTCTACCGTCTGCATTCTACCGTCTGCATCTGCCGTCTGCGTCTGCATTCTACCGTCTGCGTCTGCATTCTACCGTCTGCGTCTGCATTCTACCGTCTGCGTCTGCATTCTACCGTCTGCATTCTACCGTCTGCGTCTGCATTCTACCATCTGCATTCTACCGTCTGCATTCTACCCTCTGCGTCGGCATTCTACCGTCTGCGTCTGCATTCTACCGTCTGCATTCTACCATCTGCATTCTACCATCTGCGTCTGCATTCTACCACCTGCATTCTACCGTCTGCGTCTGCATTCTACCGTCTGCGTCTGCATTCTACCGTCTGCGTCTGCATTCTACCATCTGCATTCTACCGTCTCCGTCTGCATTCTACCGTCTGCACTCTACCGTCTGCGTCTGCATTCTACCATCTGCATTCTATCGTCTCCGTCTGCATTCTACCGTCTGCACTCTACCGTCTGCATTCTACCGTCTGCGTCTGCATTCTACCGTCACTCAAACACATCCTCTCCTGTCTTTCTCCTAGTGTTATTCCGGTCCTCTCCTGTCTTTCTCCTAGTGTTATGCCGGTCCTCTCCTGTCTTTCTCCTAGTGTTATGCCGGTCCTCTTCTGTCTTTCTCCTAGTGTTATGCCGGTCCTCTTCTGTCTTTCTCCTGGTGTTATGCCGGTCCTCTTCTGTCTTTCTCCTAGTGTTATGCCGGTCCTCTTCTGTCTTTCTCCTAGTGTTATGCCAATCCTCTCCTGTCTTTCTCCTAGTGTTATGCCGGTCCTCTCCTGTCTTTCTCCTAGTGTCGTGTTCACGGGTTCAGAAAAGAAAGTTGTTAAATTTCTTTGTGTCATCTTTGCTCTGCATTGTGCTGTTGTGTGCAGGGCCAGAGGCAGATCGAGCAGACATTGCAGAGAGTGGATGTGGAGCGCGACATAGAGACGCTGCTCTCAGACCACCGGCTCCCTCCAGACGACAACCAGGCAGAGTTCCTCATGCTCCACTACTTTGTACGTTTTTTTTCATTGATTCCTTCAAGCTTTAGTTGGAGAGGGGAAGTCTCGAGAGGAAGTGAGTAGGAATCTAAGTAGTTCTTAAAAAACAGGGAAAATAATACACTATAAATATGCTGTTTGTTGTCAAAAGATTTGTTTTGATAATAATACTAAAATCCAGGCAGAGGAGCAGTCTCTGGATCAGCCTGTTTGAGTTGAAGTCACCTCTGTGCAGGAGATGACCATAGACTCACAAGTTTAAAAGACCTTATGCCGGGTTTAAAAAAAAAAAATGGTGGATATTAAAATTGCATGACAATGTTGATGTAAAATAGATTCCTGCAAAAAAAATCCTATATTTTATAAAAAGAACGTGTTTTTCATGAATTTAAGTTGTCTATGCTCTAACCTGTGTGTGACGTCATAGCGGGTAACGCCCATGCATTGAAAACCATGGATCTATGCCACAGGACTGCCTTTTCTCTCTTCTCTCCACTGATGCCCAACACAATACTGCACTCTACAGGTGACAATTGCTCACTACACATAAATTGCCGTTTTGAGAGTGAAAAAGTGTCTGAGGTGGGATTTGAACCCCAGTATCTGGATTGGTAGTCCATCGACACAACCACTGGACTATCTCAGTGCCAACCAAGAGTTACAATTTAGTAGTTATCTCAGACTCGCTGTACACGGCCTTGTCATCTTGAATATCTGCGAAAAAAGAACGAATACCAAATTGTAAACAACTTACAGCGTTGAAACGTACCCACTCTGACGTCACCAAGGGCTGTGAAGTTTTTTCGTCTCTAAGGGCGTTGCTATGGGGTTATTTCGATTTGGGGGGATCAGACAAAAAAAACAACAACTGATTTTGAAACCTTTAGTAGTTCTCTTCTAATATAAAATGGTATTAAAACTGTATTTCTAAATAAATCAAACCCGTCATAAGGTCTTTAAGTGCTGTATGGTGTATAACAAAACAATCAAAACCACAACATTATTATTATTAGTATATTATCACACATGTGCATAGGATGGACTGTGACACATGAAGAAGAGCAGAATGTGGCACCTTTAAAGCTGGATACACTGTGCGATATTGTCCTAAAAAACTAGTACAAGACAAAAGACCTTTCTGTGTGGTAGAAGTGGAATCTACTTTTCCAACATCTACTCAAAGAGCCTGTGAGTCACTATTGGACTCTTTTGCTGAGAGCTGATTGGCTGAGCGAGGGTGACCTATTCTTTTCTCCTTTCTGTCTAGAGCTGATCTAAAGGCGTGACCATAGACTGTATATATTAACGGACAGAGTCACGCCTATCTCCACCGTTCAAACTAATGGGCCAAAAAATGTGCTCTACTGGAGCAATCCAAAATGGCCGCGAGTGGTCCCGCCCACAGGAAAATGGTGAAAAAACGCATCTGCGCATGCGTCAGCCGGCGCTGCTCCCTTCATTTGAACGAGAGACTTCAAAAATTCACAGCAAGTAAACTAGAGTGGACCAAAAAAATCCACCCCCCTCAGCATTGACACACATGTGGAACGGAGCTTTGGGCCAAGAGCCAACTTTTGGTCCATCCTGTAAAGACGTTTTCGAGAGGTCTGCCAATGCTATATGTTAGCATTGGCTAATTCTACTTCTGGGTCCACCCCCATCGGCCCGGGGTGGTATTGCAGCATGTCAGCGCACGTCATTTAGGCCACTCTTGAGCCGGGACCCGCCCCCACTGGGCGTGACAGAGGCCAAAAATACATGCAAGGGAAAACTAGTGGTAGAACCAAACTGTGTTAGTGCCAGGAACAAGTTAGATTGTTTTTGTAATGACCTGCGTTCTATACATTATTCCGCAACCCGTTACTTCCGGGTTTCTCGCTTTTTGTCACATTAAAACAGTATTTTTGTCATGAAAACCTTATGGCATATTTCTGAAATCCTCTGTGCACGTGTGTGAATTTTTTTAAATGAAAATATTAAAATTAAATGAAAATATAAAATTTTTAAATGACTATCAAATCAATGGAGCGTTCTCCTGCTGCTGTGAGGAGCTGTGCAATAAAGTGGTTTAATGTTGTTTGCGGGTTGAAAGTTAGGTAACCCAGCTTTAACTGTGAGTTGTAGGTTTCAGTCATTTCTATGCTACAACTTTTCTTTCTATTATGAATATTTATTTGAGCATTTAACTATTGCATTTGTGCATAAAAAGTCTTGCCGACTTCCCAAAGACTCATCAACATTGGATATTAATGTTTTTCCTCTGGTTTGGACGCACAGGAAGAGGACAGCAAGTCACTGATGGGGAGAGAGCGGAGGAGAGAGGCGCTCAGAGGCAAACTACAGCGTCTGCAGGACACAGTCGCCAAGACCAAGAAAGACATCGAAGGTAAAAGCTTTTAGAGGACACACGATCGCTGGCTTCCCCACCATGCGATAGGCAGTCCTCCTTCTATAATCATAATAATAATACATCCTACTTATATAGACACTCAAAGACGCTTTACAGAAGAATAAAAAAGAAAAAAAATAAAAAGAAAAAAATCACTTTTTTTTAGAAGTGATTTAAAGTTCTGTAGTGAGTCACAGTTCCTAATGTGTTCCTAAACTCTGGTCAATTATCGTTTCCTACCAGTACGTCTGGGTCTGATCCTAGTGGCTGCTGTTTCCTCGGTTAAATCACCTCCGACCAATCAGAGAGCGGAGGAGGCGGGTGCTGTAGGGAGGTGTCGGTGACGTCAAGAGTTTGCGCGGAATTTGCTGATTGTATTTGGCAATGGCGGCGAATGCGATAGTAAAGTAATTTGTTCTGGTTCGGCTCCAATATCAAGAAAGTGAAGCCAGAGGAAGAGGAATGTTTAGAAAATGTCATTGCTGCAAAGATGTTGTAGCTCTACTCTCCACGAGCTTTGTTAGTGGCAAAGAGATGGCTACATGCTAAATGCTAAAGCTAGGCTAAATGCTAAATGCCTCACTCACTCGGGCGTCACGGTAAACTCAGATCCAATTGTTTCAATCTGCAAAAGGAGTTAACCCCTCCCACCTGTAAATGGAGTCAATGGAGCAAATCCAGACCTTAGTACGAAAATAAATTAGTATGATGGTGTGGTAAGGCCAGGCTGGTGGAGTGGGAAGCACCTCCAAATCCAAGGCAAGTTTCTTACTTTTTTCCCACTGTTTTATTTGAGTGGTTCGTCTCTGACGCAGGTGGGTCTAAGGACAGTGATGATCCGGGACATTTCTGCACATTACATTTATTAATTTTAAAGACATTTATGGTCATCCTGCTCGTGAGTGAATGGTATGTCCCATTTTGTCTTTGTAGGGATACGACGGCTGATGAAGACGTACTCTGAAAACCCGTCTTTTTCCAACGAGCGAAACATCGAGGAGACGGAGCAGCAGCTGGACGAGGTTTGAAGTGAAAAAGCTCCATGTTAGACTTTCTAAACGCTGCAAATGCCTATTCACTTCAGTTCAAGCAGTGTTGAACGTTCCATTCTATCGGACCCCTTAGGGCAGGGATGTCAAAGTCAAATACATCAGAAAACACAAATTTGCTACAAGCCGAGGGCCAGACTGGTTAAAGAAAGTGTTTCAGACATTAAAATGATTGCATAACATTGCATATGTGTCTGAATGTATAGCTCCATGTATTTATACATAGTTTTTTCACTATGATTGAGTCACACTGGTGATTTTTGTTTCACAAAAATGTTCTGTCAAATTTTCTGTCACATGTTCTTCCTGTCATGTGACAGCCTTGCTTTTAAAAGAGGTTCACCTGCTGGTGATTATTTATGCCCTGACGAAGACCGCTGTTGGTCGAAACGCGTAGGCAGTCCACTTCATTAAAGGACTTTTAATTTTTTCACTAAAACAGAGTGCCTCAGACTACCTTTGTTCTCTTCTGACTTTCTACATGCTTAGATTGCCCCGTCTTCGAAGAGCACTTGTTTTTATTGCCTTCTATCACACGTACCCTCTGCAGCACTCACCTTTTTTACTTTTAACTAAATGCTGAGACCACTGGGCGGTGGATTTGCGGTGAGTTGCTCCGCTCAATTTTTTTTTGAGCGTCTTTTTGGGGAACCCTGCTATGTCACAGACATCAAGTAACACCTTTTGTTTCACTCATGAAGAAGGCAACAACATCATTGTTAAAGACTCTCTTTTTAATATGGACAACCCTCAGGCAGCCGAGGAACAAACATCCTACAATGAATTGAAAAAACTAATGGAGAAAGAAAAGAAACTTGAACTGCATGCCATCACCCTATCCGACTACTGGAGGGAGGGAATAATCCCCAGAGGACTACGTATAAACAAATTTCCCTCGTTCGGAAAAGAAAATGTCACCTTTAAGCAAAAATGGGAAGCAATTCTAAACAAATGTTCTTTCGATTTGATGTTGCTTCTCATAGAAGAAGCCAAGCATCAAAGAACGGAAATACGTCAACAAATTCCGGAAGTGAAACAGAAACTTTCAGACCTAAACAAAACACCTGAGCAAAAGGAGACTGCAGCGGAAACCGAGGCAAAGATGTCAAAAAGCCTAACTGAGCTCAACAGATTGGTCACGAGAAAAAAGATGGAAAAGTTCCAAAGAGACAAAAATGACTACAGCACAGGTGCAGTTTACTCTTGGCAACGGCGCTTTACCCGGGCGCCTGCTAGGAAACCTCGATCGGTCTCGTTCAGTCTCCCGAGCAGCGCCAGCGAAGAAGATGATTTCGCACCACAGAGCCAGACCAATTCTTTTTTGGACAACACCCCAGATGCAACGCTTCACACACGAGAAAAACGAGACGGGGGAGAAAAAAGAGGAGGTCGCTTTCATTTACGACCACGGCAGCCACACCGGAAACGGTAATTAATATCTCAGACATACAACTCCCCACGGACTGTATTACGCTTTTGTCCAAAGGCCTTACTTTCGCACCAACATACAATACAAGCCACTTCCAGACTAAGGTGGATCTATTCCGCTTTTACCGTAACTTACATCTCAAAGCATGGTATAGCACTTGTCCCACTCAAGTGGCCACCACACCTGCTAACCCCACACAGACTCAAGGCACGAGCTTTAAGCCGAAATCCACATTCTTTCCACTCAGCAACAATGCTTGTTTGAACGCATTTATGAAAAAAGTGAACCACGATGTTGAAAACATTATAAATAATGACATAAGGATGCGTTCAAATTTGTCCCTAGGTGAAAGACATGCTATTACATGGCTCAGGAGCAATGATGACATCATCATACGGAGAGCGGACAAAGGAGGCGCCACAGTCATTTGGGGTAAGGCTGATTATGTGAAGGAAGCCCACAGACAGCTTCATGACACACAATATTACCTTCCACTCAAGTCGAACCCCTCCGAAACTGTTAAAAGAGATCTTATGGATATCTTGAATACTGCTCTTGACCAAAAATGTATTACAAAGCAAGAATTTGATTTCCTATTGCCCCCTAGCCCTAAACTGGCTACCTTTTACCTCCTCCCAAAGATCCATAAAAACTTGAACACTCCCCCTGGCAGACCAATTATTAGCGGAATCGACACCATGACTGAGCCAGCCTCCAAATTCATTGACTTTTGCATTAAACCTCTTACTAGTTCTCTAGAGTCCTACCTGGAGGACACTACACAAGTCTTAAATAAACTAAAAGATCTACGGGCTCCCAACGCTTTCCTTGTTACCATGGATGTTGAAGCCCTCTATACCAATATTGACCATCAAGATGGTCTAGAGGCACTACAATACTTCTTACAAAAGAGAGAAACCCTCTGGCCACCCACAGATTTTATTGTATGTCTGACAAAATGGACACTTCATAATAACATTTTCCTTTTTCAGGATCAACTTTTTAAACAACAAAAAGGCACAGCCATGGGTGCAGCATATGCCCCAAACTACGCAGGACTTTTCCTGGGACTATGGGAACAGCGATATATATACGGAGACAACAACCCATTCAGACAATACATCGCATTCTATGGCAGATATATTGATGATCTCATCTTCATATTCACAGGCTCCGAAGAACAACTACTCAGCTTCCACGCTTTTCTTAACAATACTAATCCCAATATCAAGCTGAGCCTAGATGTCAGTAAGGAGCAAATAAACTTTCTAGACCTCAAAATCACCCTGGAGGAGACTGGACAGATGCAGACTTCCATTTTCAGAAAAAGTACGGACCGAAACACTATTTTGAGAGCAGAAAGTTTTCATCCAAAGAATCTGATCTCCAACATTCCGTTTGGGCAACTCCTAAGAGTAAGAAGAATATGCAGCTCTGAATCGGACTTTGACCACCAAGCGAAGGACATGTAAAGCAGATTCAGACAGAGGGGCTACACTAAAAAGACACTTGATCCAGCCCTTATGAAGGCAAAAAGCAAAGACCGGAATGCTCTTCTGAAAAGGAAGAGTTCCACTCCTCCATCAAATAAAATGTTTTGCCCTCTACAATACAGCAGCACTGCTCACAAAATAAAACAAACTATCACAAAAAACTGGAGTATTTTATCTTGTGACCATTCTCTGGGGCCACTGTTTTCACAAACGCCAACTTTCTCATTTAAGCGCCCTCCCACTCTGAAGGACAAACTGGTGAGGAGCTACTTGCCCCCTCAAAAATCGACCGCCTTCTCCTTCAAAAAAACAGCCGGTACTTTTATGTGTGGTTCCTGTAAACATTGCCCACAGATTAATCGGAGCACTACATTTACCGATGCTAAAAAGGAGAAGACCTTTAAAAGCCTTAGCTTTGCTAACTGCAACTCAACATATGTGGTGTACAGAATTGACTGTGAATGTGGTGGCTTTTATGTGGGACGCACCAAGAGAAAGCTGAAAGAGAGGTTTGCAGAACATAAATATGCAATCAGAACTCAGAATCTGGACTATCCGCTGGCCAAACATTTTAAAACTATGGGCCATACCAACATCAATGGACTCAAAATCATGGTCATAGAGACAATCAAAATGGACCTCAGGGGAGGAGATAAACTCAAAAAACTGCTCCAGAGGGAGACATACTGGATAGATACGCTTGGAGCTATGCATCACCCTGGACTAAATGAGGAACTAGACTTTACCCCATTTTTGTAGTTTTTTGTAGTTGTTTGGAATAATGTGTTATGGACAGTGGTTTAGTGATCCGGTTTGAAAATGTATACTGATGAGAATATAAACTGGCATTTCACTGCTCTTGTTATATCAGTGTTTTACAGTTGGTGCCTTCATCTATATGCTCGCTCGCTCTTATTTTCCTGTGGCGCTTTGTGCGTATGTGTCTGAATGTATAGCTCCATGTATTTATACATAGTTTTTTCACTATGATTGAGTCACACTGGTGATTTTTGTTTCACAAAAATGTTCTGTCAAATTTTCTGTCACATGTTCTTCCTGTCATGTGACAGCCTTGCTTTTAAAAGAGGTTCACCTGCTGGTGATTATTTATGCCCTGACGAAGACCGCTGTTGGTCGAAACGCGTAGGCAGTCCACTTCATTAAAGGACTTTTAATTTTTTCATTAAAACAGAGTGCCTCAGACTACCTTTGTTCTCTTCTGATTGCATAACCTATTGAACCAAGACCTAACACAGTGGACCGTATTTTATTTAATGATTAAATGAATAATACAATATTTTTGTATGGCTCTGTGCAGCTGGTTCTAATACTAAATATCATCCTGGGGGCCAAGATCATTCATTTTGTGGGCCGGATCTGGCTCCCAGGCCTCGACTTTGACACCTGTGTCTCAGGGGTTCGTGATTTCAAGTCTCAGAGGTTGCTCATTGTGCTTTTGTCTCGTCTCCCTCCAGGCGCTGCTGAAGCTGGACCTGCTGGAGGCCACTCACGCCAAAGTTTCCGTGTCGCTGTGTGAGGCGGAGGGGAGGCCAAAGTCACGACATCGCTTCAGTGACAGCATCTCCACCTGGAAAGATAAGGTGAGACCATCGTACACGAGCAGCAACTTCCTTATATGGGCATTTGTTCCTGTTGTGGAATTTCAGCACAGGCCGAGAGCATTAAGAGCAAAAACAACCAAGGGCTGTGATACAATCAAAGTGTGGGTTTATTCTTTGATAAATGTGCACATATACAATGAAAAACAGCGCTCTGAAGCCGTCTGCCTCCAATGATCAAATCTCCCAGAATGAATGAGCCGGAGAAAACACAGCCTTTCTACTGATGGCGCCGCTCAGCCCAAGTTCTGGGTCGCTCAAGCCTCCTCCGTCTGCTTTCTTACTCTGATCCCACTCTGATATTACTAAAACAATCAGTGTGACCTGGACATTGGGCCTTATTCACAAACCGTACTTAAGAACAAATTTGAGCGTAAATCCTACTTACGAGGATTTTACGAAGATTGTGGCATTCATGAAATTTTCTCGTAACCAGAATTTCTCTTGGGTAAATACAAATCCTACGAATGCTCAGGAGCACTCGTACGCACATTCAGTGCCGACATGTTCGCACGCTGTTGTTATGAAGTTCAATAAAACACAACATTACAGTGATATGTCCGTCATATTGATGTATGTATTTATTTATTTAATTGTTAATGGTAATTTAGCCTATATTTTTATTCATTTTTAAATGAAATGTGCCAATGCTTTATCAAATACATTGGAAATCTTGCTGTGTATTAGTGACCCCTTTATAGGGGGCATTTATTTATCCACGGGCCACAGAACAACGGCATATATACTGCTGCTGCAGGAGGTTGCGGGGTCCGCGCTGACCCTCTGCGCTGGTCTCTCCAGTCTATGGTCTCTCCAGTCTATGGTCTCTCCAGTCTATGGTCTCTCCAGTCTATGGTCTCTCCAGTCTATGGTCTCTCCAGTCTATGGTCTCTCCAGTCTATGGTCTCTCCAGTCTATGGTCTCTCCAGTCTATGCAGTCTCTCTTCGGTCCACGCTGGTCTCTGCGCGCCGGTCTCTCCAGTCTATGGTCTCTCCTCGGGTTTGCATTGGTCTCAGCGCTGATCCACGCTGGATCTCCTCCCAGGGTCCAAAACATTTTAAGATAAATCTCATAACATTTTGAGATTCCTTTTTAAATTAATACATAATATATTTTTAAATTATTCTCATAAAATTTTTAGATTAATCTCATAATTTTGCTAGTTCGACTTTATTCTCATAATATTTCGACTTTAATGTCAGCATTTTATGACTTTATTCCTAGTCTGGCAAAAGAAGAAAAAAGGGTGACTCTTTTGCTCCGTGTAACTCTTTGCTTTAGGCCTGTTGCTGTTTCCTCTGGCGTCTGCACACGGCCCTGCAGTCCCTTTTATGGGCATTAGTGGGCGGTTACCTATGCTAAGTACCTATGCTAATGAAGCACCGGGCACGCGCGCTGTACTTACGAGGAGTTGGCATTCATCAATCTGAGAGAACAGCTGCGAACAATTCAGCGGCTTAAGAGCGCGTTGATGAATCCCACGTAGGCTCTTCTTAGAAATCTACTTAAGAACGACTTGAGAAGAAATTTAAGAAGATTCTTAAGAAGATATTGGTGAATGAGGTCCAATTGCCAAAGACATGTGTCCCGTCTAACAGAACAGATCATGTGGGCTACATTTGGATCAAGAGTTGCAGATTTGCTAATAATTTAGTCTTATGTCTATTTCATGATAATTCAGATTTCTTTACTATTAGATTTCTATAAGATTCCGACAAAGCCTCACGCTGTAACAGGGGCAGATCTGTCAACGTTCTGTAGTCCTCTCCAACTCTCCCTGACTCAGGTTGCCAGATATGCAGATGAATCCAGCTGGGACCATAACAGCTGAATAGACAACAACAAATATACAACCAAAAAATCTTTCGCAAAGGCCCCGATCGAAATCCACGGTTTATACTTTACCAGTGAGACTTTCTGATTGGTTAAACGGTGGAGGACGGGACATCGAAATGAAAACAACAAGATTTATGGATTGTACATCTAATTTTGAAATTTGAATATCCCTGAACTAATGTTATCAGGTAAAGAATTATTCGAAAAGAGCCTGTTTTATTGATGCTTTGTGACAGATTAGGGCCCTTTAATGTCAAGCAAATCTTACATATTTCTACTTTAAAGCGTCCGAAGCGGTGAATGTGACACTAACAGTTACTGAACTAGAAGAGTTTACTTTTAATGTTAGTGATTAGGATCCATACTTTGTCTATGAGCACTTCCCTCTTGGACTTCATTGAGCTAGCGGGTTAGCATTGGGGGGCCTCAAGAGGGACTACAGGGGGGCCTCCAAAGCTTGTCTGCAAAACAAGTACAATGAAAGAAGTTCATTTTGAAAGGAAAAATACATTTATCTGGACAAATGCACCAGTTTAAACCAGTATTTAGCCTACTGTCATAGCTAGATGTTACTTTTAATGTTATTTTATCTGTAAAATAATAACAAATTCTTTTGAATGGAGTAAATTATTATGATTTGGGGGGCCCCGAGAGATTTTCCGATCAATAAGGGGGCCGCGATGTCCCAGACTTTGGGAATGGCTGCTGTAATGTATAGAGCCATGTGTGGTTGGAACACTTTGCCCAGTGACATTACTCATGCAAACAGTAAGTACCAATTTAAGGCCCTTCTGAAAAGACATCTGTTTCATGTAACTGGTTGATTTTAAAAAGTTGTGTTATGTGACCAAATGTTTTGCTGCTAAGAGTCAGATTAATCTCCTTTTTGTCAGAATATTTCTAGGTCCTTTGTACAGTTGCGTGTGTATGTAAGAATGTATGTTGTGTGTGTGTGGGTGGGGGGGTGTTGTTTATTGTATCACTTGTTGGTGAAAACTGGTGTAAAACATGTTTTGTGACCAGCTGGACTGACTCCAGGAAGAATAGATGTACTTGTTACAACTAATGAAGATCAAATAAATACAAATACAAAAGAGCAGAGAGGATTCATGGTTTTACACTGGTCCAGACCAGAGCAGAGAGGATTCATGGTTTTACACTGGTCCAGACCAGAGCAGAGAGGATTCATGGTCTGAAACAAGCAGAGATCCACTGGAGGAAGGCTAACTTTTTAGGAAAAATTCTAACAAAGAATTAAGAATGTTACTCTGGACCGTGCAGAGAAAATGGTCTGAACCAAGTGCTGTTGCATTTTAACACTACTAACATTAGCTACTTTTAGAATGATTTATTAGTTTTGTTTGTTTGGACACATGTGTTTCTGCTGCTGCTGGACACCTGAACTTCTCCTACGGCAGTGGTTCTCAAACTTTTCACACCAAGTACCCCCTCAGAAAATACTTGTCTCTCCAAGTACCACCACAAATGACCAACACCACACAGTAGCGTAGTAAACCTAAGTATTTATCAAAAACAAGGCAGAGGTTTCATTCCTAAAGAAGTATATTTAATGCAATATTTTACACAATTTCAACAGTAAGACTGCGCTTAAATATCCCTCTATGGCATACTGTTGCCCTCGGGCAACAAACCAATCTTTTGGCTCTTACACTGGCCCTTTAATGTTTTTTTTTGTTTTTTTTTTTTTATAAAATTACTAGACATGTTTCTGTCCAATTAAATCAAGTTCTGAAGTGGGTGGGGGCAATTGTCTGGGGGTGGAGCAGTCCTTTCAGGAAGCAGAGTCACAAGTGACACAGTGCCAGAAAAAGGTAGGATAAATATAACTTTTCTACATGTTTAAATTCGAAAAACTTGATAAAATAAATATGTGACTGTGCATGAATATGTTAAGAAGCATATTTGATTGTTAATATATGTTTTTTGTTTCCATTTATATACAAAAACTGCACGTTTAGGTTTGTTTCCTCAAGGCAACATCATGCAGTTGTAGCACTTTTGTTTGGGCAGTGTAATGCTGCTGGTTGGGGATGTGCTTGAATGGATAATCAACACCACACTCAATGTTTTTTGCTGTTCTATCTTCCATTCTGATCTATCTACTATTGCTTGTAGGAAATGGATGCAATAACGTTTTACGGGTCCAAGAATGAAGGAGTTAGGGACATTCCAATCGATAGTCCTGGTCTCAGGTCTCTGTCCTGAAGTCCTCTCACATTAGTCCTGGTCTCAGGTCTCTGTCCTGAAGTCCTCTCACATTAGTCCTGGTCTCAGGTCTCTGTCCTGAAGTCCTCTCACATTAGTCCTGGTCTCAGGTCTCTGTCCTGAAGTCCTCTCACATTAGTCCTGGTCTCAGGTCTCTGTTCTGAAGTCCTCTCACATTAGTCCTGGTCTCAGGTCTCTGTCCTGAAGTCCTCACATTAGTCCTGGTCTCAGGTCTCTGTCCTGAAGTCCTCTCACATTAGTCCTGGTCTCAGGTCTCTGTCCTGAAGTCCTCTCACATTAGTCCTGGTCTCAGGTCTCTGTCCTGAAGTCCTCTCACATTAGTCCAGGTCTCAGGTCTCTGTCCTGAAGTCCTCTCACATTAGTCCTGGTCTCAGGTCTCTGTCCTGAAGTCCTCTCACATTAGTCCTGGTCTCAGGTCTCTGTCCTGACTCCTGAAGTCCTCCCACATTAGTCCTGGTCTCAGGTCTCTGTCCTGAAGTCCTCTCACATTAGTCCTGGTCTCAGGTCTCTGTCCTGAAGTCCTCTCACATTAGTCCTGGTCTCAGGTCTCTGTCCTGAAGTCCTCTCACATTAGTCCTGGTCTCAGGTCTCTGTCCTGAAGTCCTCTCACATTAGTCCTGGTCTCAGGTCTCTGTCCTGAAGTCCTCTCACATTAGTCCAGGTCTCAGGTCTCTGTCCTGAAGTCCTCTCACATTAGTCCTGGTCTCAGGTCTCTGTCCTGAATCCCTCTCACATTAGTCCTGGTCTCAGGTCTCTGTCCTGAAGTCCTCTCACATTAGTCCTGGTCTCAGGTCTCTGTCCTGAAGTCCTCTCACATTAGTCCTGGTCTCAGGTCTCTGTCCTGAAGTCCTCTCACATTAGTCCTGGTCTCAGGTCTCTGTCCTGAAGTCCTCTCACATTAGTCCTGGTCTCAGGTCTCTGTCCTGAAGTCCTCTCACATTAGTCCTGGTCTCAGGTCTCTGTCTTGGCTGTGAAACATCTATGTTTCACAGCCACTAGCAACTGCTTCTTGCTGTTCCATACACAATAGGCTACCGAGACCCGCAGCTGTGTGACTTACTAGAGGCTCAGAACTGTTTTTGCTTTTGTTTTTGCAATCTGGAGTGCTCTGTACCCGTTTAAAAAAGTTGAGCTTGAAAAATAAAAGAATAAAAGCTTCTCTAATGTATTTGTTTTATTATTTTCCTAATTCAATGTAATATTGAAAACCTTGGTGTTTTAGTACCCTCGTTGCACAATGTTGCCCTTAAGCAACAAACCATTATCTGATTGGGGGGGTGGGGGGTCAAATGTAAAGATCAATGTTATTAGAGACCCACGAGCTCTTAAAAAGTGTGTTGAAATATTTTTTTCCCCCTAAAATAAAAAGTCATGCCATAGAGGGATATAGGATTTTTTTTTTTTTTTTTTTAAATGTTTCATTCATTACGAACTGCAAAGCCTCACTGTGAGTGATAATCTGGATCTTTGTCCACAGAAGGTTTGGACTCTGGTGCACTTTAGTTTCTAAGGCTTGGTCTGCTGCCCTCGTACATCTGTCGTTTACTCACAGAGACATGTTCATGTTTGGATCAAATGATCTTTTGTTGCTCTCTGTTCCTTTTGCACAGAACTGGGGAAAAAAAGTTTGTTTTTGCCGCTCCTTCTACATGGAACGTGTTGCAAAAAGACTAGAAATGATCTGATCTTATTTCCTTGAATGCTTTTAGATCCAGATTGAGACATCTTCAGTGAAATGTAACTGTTTTTATAATCTGTAATTTTACATAATTTTTTTACACAAAAAAGAGGTTCTCATTGACTCTCAGCCATTTTTGATGACTTCACTGATTTTTAAGACTCACAGAATATTGTGTGCTATGAAAAATATGAACCCAGAGTCTGAAAGACAGGACTGTCTACTTTCAGCAGCAAAAACAAGGTTTGTTCTTAGTTTGTTTCGTTCTCCTGTGATCTCCAGTCGAAAAGAGGAGAGTGTGACAAAAAGCACCAGTCTTTGAAAAAAGCTGAGAAAATGAGGTGTTTGTGAAAACAGACGAACTGCAGAAAAGTGATTGTAAAACTATTTAGTTTGACTTTAGCATCTCCTCAAACATGTCCAGGATCACATGTTAGAAAACAGCAACAAGTTATGAGAAAGTGTTTTTGATGTAAAGTTTTATGGCACTCACATCCACAAAGTGTTGCTCAAATATTTCAAAATGCACACATCCAAAAAATGTCAAAATGTACATATTGAAAGTAGAGCCCATGACAAACTCTGGCAGATAGAATGGCCAGTATTCATCCATTAGGTGGCGCTATATTCATGTCAATAAGAGTAAATCAAAGAATAACAAAATTACAATGATAAACACTATAAATGACAATAAATCAAAGTGAATACTTATACTTATAGTATAAGTACAATAGAATACTGTTGTGTGTCTTTGTGTGTTTGGGCGTGCATGTATGTGCGTTTATGCGCACGTTTGTGTGTGTTTGTGTGGTTACATCTACAGAGCGTCTGTTTAGTCCAGCGAGCGCTGTGACCATAACTGGACTTTATCGCTGGCTCCTGGTGTTGACTCAGTGATAGTTTTAGCAATAGTCCACTTTTCTGTGGCTTTTTTGGGGTGCACCACTGGTCTGCTGTCCTAACCCTCCACATGGTCTGCTGTCCTAACCCTCCACATGGTCTGCTACTCTGACCCTCCACATGGTCTGCTGCTCTGACCCTCCACATGGTCTGCTACTCTGACCCTCCACATGGTCTGCTGCTATGACCCTCCACATGGTCTGCTGCTCTGACCCTCCACATGGTCTGCTGCCCTGACCCTCCACATGGTCTGCTGCTCTGACCCTCCACATGGTCTGCTGCTATGACCCTCCACATGGTCTGCTGCTCTGACCCTCCACATGGTCTGCTGCTATGACCCTCCACATGGTCTGCTGCTCTGACCCTCCACATGGTCTGCTGCTATGACCCTCCACATGGTCTGCTGCTATGACCCTCCACATGGTCTGCTGCTATGACCCTCCACATGGTCTGCTGCTCTGACCCTCCACATGGTCTGCTGCTATGACCCTCCACATGGTCTGCTGCTCTGACCCTCCACATGGTCTGCTGCTCTGACCCTCCACATGGTCTCTGTCAGTTCTGGAGACACATTTACTGCTCAAACTGCCTCCAAATGTAGCCTGACCCTGACTATATTACTCCATGTCTGCTTCTCCTCTGTCTCTCCTGCTCAGAGTACTCAGAGTGATCTTTGACCAAGCCACGGAGTTCTGCTGCCACCTGCTGGCTTAATAAAATACTGTCTACAGCCAAACCCCAGACTGTATGACACAGGGGACACAGACTGACAGGAAAAGATTGAAAAACAGTGTTGTCCTCAAATGACATCCATGGCTGTCAATTAGTTAATCTCAATGGGACTTTCCTGGTAAAATAAAAAAATAAATAAGTAAACAAAAAAAGGATTTTTTTTTTCAGATTCTTTTGCGTACCCCTAGAGGGCGCCCGCGCACCACTAGGGTACGCGTACCCCAGTTTGAGAACACTGTCCTACGGGATCAATAAATTATCTATGACTTAAAATGTATTTTGTATAATTTTCTCTTACTGTGGAAAAAGTAGTACCTGTATTCCGAATACTTATGTTTATACTTTTAATTATTATTTATATTTACTGTTAATGACATTAGAGAGTTTATACTTACTTTTAATGACGCTAAAGTCAGAGATGTTACACTTGCGTCCTCATTGGGCCAAAGTTAGAGATTTTATTTTGCTGATCTCTCTCCCTGTCGCTGGTGATGCAACACTGACATTTCCTGAGTGTGAGACCAAAGCTCGGACAGAAACACAGACTGAACCTTTGCTTCCTCAGGACAGTGAACACAGCGTGGTGCACTTGAGGCGCCCGGTGAAGCTGCGCAGGTCTTCGTACCGATCCCGCCGCTCCCTGAGGGCCTCCATCATCTACAAGGGGCCCCAAGCCGCGGTGGAGCCGGCCTCTTCCGTCACACCGACCCAGGAGACGGGAGCTGCACAGGGGGACCAGGCTCCAGCGGGGCGTCGGCACAACCATGGTAACCACGGTAACCACAGCAGCGGGTAACACATGTACAGGCTGTTCTCTTTAAAGCTAGGGGACCCAACTTTGAATGCATGTAGCTGTTACCTTACATAGTTTCTGGACTTTAAGCAGATAACTTGTCTATAGTATTTTTATAACCATGCGGCTTATGTAGCTTAACTCATCGACTGCCATCGACGTATTTGTCTAAGACCGGTGATTTCTGTCAAACTTCCCTCTACTCGACTGGGGATTACAGGAGAACAAAACTAGCTAGAAACCAACATATTTTTGCTGATGAAAGTAGACAGTCCAGTCTTTCAGAATCTGGTTTAATATTTTACATAGTCACAGCACGTAATATTCTGTGGGTCTTGAAAGTCAGTGAAATCATCAAAAACGGCGGGCAGTCAATGCGGAATATATGGATTTTTAGGATTTAAGATTTTTTTTTAGAGCAGGTTCTGGATTTAATATTTTGAATCTGTCAAGTTTGTGTAGCAACAGGACAAACATTTATTGTCAAAAGAGATGGAGATGAAAGAGTGCAAGCATGGAAGCTAACGGTTAAGCTGTTAAACACTATTTAATGGGCAACACGGTGGCTGAGTGGTTAGCATCTCACTTCTCAGCAAGAAGGTCCTGGGTTCAAATCCTAGTCAGAACAAGGCCTTTCTGAGTGAAGTTTGCATGTTCTCCCCATGTCTGCGTAGGTTTCCACTACCACTAAAAATGTGTACAATAGTTCAGGGTGAGTGAGTGTGACTGTGGGACAAATTAGCCCATTGCTACAATCCGGAGTGATGTGTTCATTATCATGTGCTGTTCCCACCGAAAAAATAATCTGATACTTCTACTCATTATTATTATTATTATTAGTGATTGTGATGAATGAGAACATGTGTGTGTAATAAATATGTTGTGAATCTTCAGGTGAGCCTCTGCTTCAGTCCTGCAGCGTGGGACAGTGCACCGCTGTGTACGACTTCAGCCCAAAGCAGGACGACGAGCTGAGCTTCAGAGAGGGTAACACACAAACTACACACAACAAACACACACGACACACAAACCTACAAACACACATACACTAGACACAATACAAACACACACGACACAGTAAAACCCTCTGTAAGCGCCTCCTGCTGACGACGATCATTCAACCAGCTCCATCTTATTCCTTGTATTGAATGAAACTGTTTTATTTTAAACGCTGGATCCTATTGGACGTGTGCGTTCTCTCTGCTCCTATTTTCTTATATTCTGCTGTAATGTGTGTAACGCTCCCAACTGTGTGACGAAAAAGGTCAATCTGATCTTATTTAGAACAACGACCCACCTGTATCTCGCCAGACCCTTCAGGTAGATCACCAGGATTTAGAAAGGAAATCAAATATTTCAGATTATATTATTATTATTATTGGTAGTTTAAATATTTTCTCCAGTTTTAAAAGCATGTGACTTTAGGCCCGCCCACTGATCATGTGACCAGCACCATTAAACCTGCACTGAAGGAGGCGCCTCTGTGAAGTTGGCCCCTCATTGATCACGCACAAAAACTACACTAATTGTTTGTGTTGCCTTATTCTTTGAAAAGTTATCAGCAATTATACTTTCGATGACGATATTGAGCAGTCTGGGAGGCTACGTTTTAATTTTAACAACCAAAACTGTGTGTATATATATTCATGTTTTTCTTCTTGTCTGTGCTGTTACGTTTTGCTTGAAACAGCCAAAACAGTGATTTCTTTATCAATAATTGTATATATATTTAAGTTCTAATGTAATGTCCTGCCTAAGTTTGTATTTGTTTATTCGTAATGATAATACCACTTAATTAACTGCACGACAAAATAAGTACTACAAAATAAATGCAGCAGGGGGCGCCAGACACATTCGCATACATTGATTACCTCCTTGGTGTTTTATTCATTTTTATCATGAATTCACAAGTACAAATCAAGGCAGGAAATTACATCAGAACTCCAAAGAAAAGCATAAATACAGTGCCTTGCGAAAGTATTCGGCCCCCTTGAACCTTTCAACATTTCGCCACATTTCAGGCTTCAAACATAAAGATATAACATTTTAATTTTTTGTCATGAATCAACAACAAGTGGGACACAATTGTGAAGTGGAACGAAATTTATTGGATAATTTAAACTTGTTTAACAAATAAAAAACTGAAAAGTGGGGTGTGCAATATTATTCGGCCCCTTTACTTTCAGTGCAGCAAACTCAGTCCAGAAGTTCAGTGAGGATTTTTGAATGATCCAATGTTGTCCTAAATGACTGATGATGATAAATAGAATGCACCTGTGTGTAATCAAGTCTCCGTATAAATGCACCTGCTCTTTGATAGTCTCAGGGTTCTGTTTAAAGCGCAGAGAGAACCTTGAAGACAAAGGAACACACCAGGCAGGTCCGAGATACTGTTGTGGAGAAGTTTAAAGCCGGATTTGGATACAAAAAGATTTCCCAAGCGTTAAACATCTCAAGGAGCACTGTGCAAGCAATTATATTGAAATGGAAGGAGTATCAGACCACTGCAAATCTACCAAGACCCGGCCGTCCCTCCAAACTTTCATCTCAAACAAGGAGAAGACTGATCAGAGATGCAGCCAAGAGGCCCATGATCACTCTGGATGAACTGCAGATAACTACAGCTGAGGTGGGAGAGTCTGTCCATAGGACAACAATCAGTCGTGCACTGCACAAATCTGGCCTTTATGGAAGAGTGCCATTTCTCAGATATCCCCAAAAAGTCTTGTTTAAAGTTTGCCACAAGCCACCTGGGAGACACACCAAACATGTGGAAGAAGGTGCTCTGGTCAGATGAAACCAAAATCAAACTCTTTGGCCACAAAGCAAAACGATATGTTTGGCGTAAAAGCAACACAGCTCATCACCCTGAACACACCATCCCCACTGTCAAACATGGTGGTGGCAGCATCATGCTTTGGGCCTGCTTTTCTTCAGCAGGGACAGGGAAGATGGCTAAAATTGATGTGAAGATGGATGGAGCCAAATACAGGACCATTCTGGAAGAAAACCTGTTGGAGTCTGCAAAAGACCTGAGACTGGGACGGAGATTTATGTTCCAACAGGACAATGATCCAAAACATAAAGCCACATCTACAATGGAATGGTTCACAAATAGACGTATCCAGGTGTTAGAATGGCCAAGTCAAAGTCCAGACCTGAATCCAATCGAGAATCTGTGGAAAGAGCTGAAGACTGCTGTTCACAAACGCTCTCCATCCAACCTCACTAAGCTCGAGCTGTTTTGCAAGGAAGAATGGGCAAGAATTCCAGTCTCTCGATGTGCAAAACTGATAGACATACCCCAAGCGACTTGCAGCAAAAGGTGGCGCTACAAAGTATTAGCGCAAGGGGGCCGAATAATATTGCACGTCTCACTTTTCAGTTTATTTGTTAAAAAAGTTTAAATTATCCAATAAATTTCGTTCCACTTCACGATTGTGTCCCACTTGTTGTTGATTCTTGACAACATTTTTAATTTTTATATCTTTATGTTTGAAGCCTGAAATGTGGCGAAATGTTGAAAGGTTCAAGGGGGCCGAATACTTTCGCAAGGCACTGTATGTACACACATTTATTATAAAGTAATGATTTTGTTTTGGTTGTTAAAAGCAAAACGTAGCTTCCCAGAATTGCTTAAAACTTTTAAAACAAAAGCAGCACTAACAAAACTTTGAAAAGCAGAAACAAAGCATTATCCATTGACCTCAGTTTGGATAATTGACCACAATTTGATTTATAAAAGATTTGTTAATATCTCAAAAACAAAGGCAGCACGAACAAACTTTTTAAAGCACCAACGATTGGTACCGTTTTGGTTCGTGATCAATTCTGGGCCAACATCACGGAGGCAAAGAAGACCAGAGGCTGAAACGCTTATTTACAGTGCCTTGCGAAAGTATTCGGCCCCCTTGAACCTTTCAACATTTCGCCACATTTCAGGCTTCAAACATAAAGATATAAAATTTTATTTTTTTTGTCATGAATCAACAACAAGTGGGACACAATCGTGAAGTGGAATGAAATTTGTTGGATAATTAGCTACCTACAGCTGAGGTGGGGATGGAGTGTTCAGGGTGATGAGCTGTGTTGCTTTTACGCCAAACATATCCTTTTGCATTGTGGCCAAAAAGTTCGAGTTTGGTTTCATCTGACCAGAGCACCTTCTTCCACATGTTTGGTGTGTCTCCCAGGTGGCTTGTGGCAAACTTTAAGAGACTTTTATTGGATATCTTTGAGAAATGGCCACTCTTCCATAAAGGCCAGATTTGTGCAGTGCACGACTGATTGTTGTCCTATGGACAGACTCTCCCACCTCAGCTGTAGTTATCTGCAGTTCATCCAGAGTGATCATGGGCCTCTTGGCTGCATCTCTGATCAGTCTTCTCCTTGTTTGAGATGAAAGTTTGGAGGGACGGCCGGGTCTTGGTAGATTTGCAGTGGTCTGATACTCCTTCCATTTCAATATAATTGCGTGCACAGTGCTCCTTGAGATGTTTAAAGCTTGGGAAATCTTTTTGTATCCAAATCCGGCTTTAAACTTCTCCACAACAGTATCTCGGACCTGCCTGGTGTGTTCCTTTGTCTTCATGGTTCTTTCTGCGCTTTAAACAGAACCCTGAGACTATCAAAGAGCAGGTGCATTTATACGGAGACTTGATTACACACAGGTGCATTCTATTTATCATCATCAGTCATTTAGGACAACATTGGATCATTCAAAGATCCTCACTGAACTTCTGGAGTGAGTTTGCTGCACTGAAAGTAAAGGGGCCGAATAATATTGCACGCCCCACTTTTCAGTTTTTTATTTGTTAAAAAAGTTTAAATTATCTAATAAATTTCCTTCCACTTCACGATTGTGTCCCACTTGTTGTTGATTCATGACAACAAATTAAAATTGGATATCTTTATGTTTGAAGCCTGAAATGTGGCGAAATGTTGAAAGGTTCAAGGGGGGCGAATACTTTCGCAAGGCACTGTACTTTCCCCCTCGTTTAAAGTAGCATTATGTAAGATTTTCATGTAAAGTCATCATTAAAGGCCCTAATCTGTCAAAAGGCATGAATAAAAACATGATCTTTTCAAATACTTCTTTAACTGATAACAGTAGTTCAGATATTTCATTTTTAAAATTACATGTCCCGCCCTCCACCGTTTCACCAATCAAAAAGTCTGTAATCCGGGCGCCAGAACTCACCATGTCAAGCTAATCTCACTGGTAAAGTACCATGTGGCGCAGAACTAAAAAAGGTCTCATTATGATTCTCAAATCATTAACGACAAAACAAGGAATAAAACCAGGATTTCTATCGTTGTGAAAAAGGTGTTGGTTATAGATTTGTTGTTGACAAAACTCTTGTCTATTCAGATATTATGGTCCCAGCTGGATTCGTCTGCATATCTGGCAACCTGAATCAGGGAGAGAGCAGTACCACTTTTCCCCAGTTTTGAACATATTGCTGCTTTGATCAAAAGTTTTAAACATTTTTGCTTTTTTTGAGAGCTTCTCGTTTGTCTCAGTTTTCCATCTGATCTTATCTTTTTTTAAATTTATTTTTACTTCCAGGCGACGTTCTGAGCATATTGTCCAAAGACGACAGCGGCTGGTGGTTTGGGGAACTGCGAGGCCACCGAGGACACTTCCCCGCGACGTATGTGGTCGAACTGTCTCCGGAGAAGAGTCTGGGCCCGAATGACGAGACAGAAACTTCGGCAGATTCATCAAAAAAACACATTTAATAAAGAAGCAGAAGTTTTACAAGTTTAAAATGAGGCGTGTGATAAAAACGGGTTAAAAAGTTTGTGTTGAAACAGTCGGAGAAGGCGTTAATGTGGAGCGAGGGCCTGGAACTCTCGGCGTGTGTTGGACAGAAACGCTGCCAGGTTGTTGCTCTCCTGAAGACGCTGCTCCAGACTCTGCAGACGCTCCAGAGGCGGGTCGCTGCTCACCACTGCAGCACAGGACCAGCGTTGGAACCAGCGTTGGAACCAGCGTTGGAACCAGCGTTGGAACCAGCGTTGGAACCAGCGTTGGAACCAGCGTTGGAACCAGCGTTGGAACCAGCGTTGGAACCAGCGTTGGAACCAGCGTTGGAACCAGCGTTGGAACCAGCGTTGGAACCAGAGAATGACTGTGGGACCAGAGGACAGAACCAGAAAGAGCCAGAGCAGGATTGTGGTACCAGAGGGCAGAACCATAGAGGGACTGTGGTACCAGAGGCAGAACCAGAGAGGGGCCGTGGTACCAGAGGACCATTGTAAGAACAAGGGGAACCAAGGAGACGCAGAGAGGACTGTGGTACCAGATGACAGAACAGAGAGAAGGACTGTGGTACCAGATGACAGAACAGAGAGAAGGACTGTGGTACCAGATGACAGAACAGAGAGGACCGTGGTACCAGATAGGGCTTCACGATATATCGGGAAAATATCGTTATCGCAATATTGGCGCGTGCAATATCCATATCAAAAATATCTGCAATATTTTTTAAACACAACAAAACAGACAAACATCAACATCCAACGAGAACAACAAACAAACAAAAAAGTATATAAATATATGCATTTGAATTTGCGTTTCAATGAAGATTGCAATTTTAGGTGAAAGACAATATCGCAATATTGTTATCGAAATACTAAACACATATCAAATATCGTGCAGCCCTAGAACCATATGATAGAACAGAGAGAGGGACTGTGGTACCAGATGACAGAACAGAGGGACTGTGGTACCAGATGATAGAACAGAGGGACTGTGGTACCAGATGACAGAACAGAGGGACTGTGGTACCAGATGACAGAACAGAGGGACTGTGGTACCAGATGATAGAACAGAGAGAGGGACTGTGGTACCAGGTGATAGAACAGAGAAGGACTGTGGTACCATGTGATAGAACAGAGAGAGGGACTGTGGTACCAGATGACAGAACAGAGGGACTGTGGTACCAGATGACAGAACAGAGGGACTGTGGTACCATGTGATAGAACAGAGAGAGGGACTGTGGTACCAGATGACAGAACGAGGGACTGTGGTACCAGATGACAGAACAGAGGGACTATGGTACCAGATGATAGAACAGAGGGACTGTGGTACCATATGATAGAACAGAGAAGGACTATGGTACCATATGACAGAACAGAGAGAGGGACTGTGGTACCATATGATAGAACAGAGAAGGACTATGGTACCATATGATAGAACAAAGAAGGACTATGGTACCATATGATAGAACAGAGAGAGGGACTGTGGTACCAGATGATAGAACAGAGAAGGACTATGGTACCATATGATAGAACAAAGAAGGACTATGGTACCATATGATAGAACAGAGAGAGGGACTGTGGTACCAGATGATAGAACAGAGAGAGGGACTGTGGTACCAGATGACAGAACAGAGAAGGACTATGGTACCATATGATAGAACAAAGAAGGACTATGGTACCATATGACAGAACAGAGAGAGGGACTATGGTACCATATGATAGAACAGAGAAGGACTGTGGTACCATATGATAGAACAAAGAAGGACTGTGGTACCATATGATAGAACAGAGAAGGACTGTGGTACCATATGACAGAACAGAGAAGGACTATGGTACCAGATGACAGAACAGAGGGACTGTGGTACCAGATGACAGAACAGAGAAGGACTATGGTACCATATGATAGAACAGAGAAGGACTATGGTACCATATGATAGAACAGAGAAGGACTATGGTACCATATGATAGAACAGAAGGACTATGGTACCATATGATAGAACAGAGAAGGACTGTGGTACCATATGACAGAACAAAGAAGGACTATGGTACCAGATGACAGAACAGAGGGATTGTGGTACCAGATGACAGAACAGAGAAGGACTATGGTACCATATTATAGAACAGAGAAGGACTATGGTACCATATGATAGAACAGAGAAGGACTGTGGTACCATATGACAGAACAAAGAAGGACTGTGGTACCATATGACAGAACAGAGGGACTGTGGTACCAGATGACAGAACAGAGAGAGGGACTGTGGTACCAGATGACAGAACAGAGAGAGGGACTGTGGTACCAGATGACAGAACAGAGAGAGGGACTGTGGTACCAGATGATAGAACAGAGAGAGGGACTGTGGTACCAGATGATAGAACAGAGAGGACTGTGGTACTAGATGATAGAACAGAGAGAGGGACTATGGTACCAGATGACAGAACAGAGAGAACCAGCGAGGTCCATGGTTTGAACCAGGAAAACTAGAGGAGAGCAAGTGCGTTCACAAAGCTCCAGAGAAATCCAAACCCTCCTCCTCCTCCTTTTTAAAACAATTTAAAAATAGAGACCCATGTAAACGTGTGTGTGCTCTGACCTGCTGTTCACATAAACAGATCCTGATGAGAAACAGCAGTGAGACGTTTCAGAGACTGTTGCATTGCGCTGCTCACTCCTTCGCTCTTTACTTTTGGTTTATTTTGTAAATATTTAGCCATTTCCGAAGCATTCACAGCTTCTTATCTCTGTATAGTTTGTGTATAGTATCTGTTGTCCTGTATGTGCGCCGCAACACTGACATTTTCCGCTCTGTGGGCTGCATTAAGGTTCTCTTAAACGCCACACTGGTAGATGTATGTACGTTTCAGATCCATAGTGATTTCTGTTGCAGCGGCTGAGCGTGTGTGAAAATCAAACACACAAAGTATACATCATGTTGTGTGGTTACGATTGCCAAGTGTGTGTCTGTAAAGTCTGTATAAGAGTGGTTTTACTAAGCAAAGGGTCATCGGACACGTTAGCATGTTAGCCTAACGCTGCTAACATGTACAGATGTAAACATGCAGCTACACATTTATGCACTAGATAGAATATACAGGATTTTACACTTCCTACTTTATTATGCTAAAGTTAGAAATGTTATTTTAGTATAGATGTATTGTTTATTTACCTGCTGTGTGCTCCTCATTCCCATTGTTCTGTAACTGCTGATGCAACACTGACATTTCCCCACAGTGGGACTAATAAAGGATTTAAATGTTTATACTTTATTGTTATTATGTTCAAGATAGATTTTATACTTGATCTTTGATGCTAGAGTTAGAGATTTGGTTCTATTCTAATTAGTAAAGTTACAGTTCACACATTCCTACTGATCTGTAAATTTCCCCTCTTAATCTTAAAAGTTACGAGATGCCTTTGAAAGCGTCTTCAGGTCTGGTCTCAGATGGGACCAGACCTCCTCAGACATGTTTGAGAATTGTGTTTCTCTGTGAACGCACTCACTCAGAGGCAGATTTGTGAGCACAGGTACCTTGGTAGACGCCCTCTGCGTTGATCCCCAGCGTCACGATGTAGGCGCTGGTTAAATCGGAGCGGTTGATATTCCGGAAGATGAACTGCAGTTTTTCTCCTGAACAGAACAGTCGGTATTCACAAGGTCAGAAGGAAAAACTTAAAACTTGAAAAGCTTCGAGTCGCACACAAAAGTTCCCGATCTAAATTTAAGAAAACATGGCAACCCTTTCTGTCATTGGTAAATTCAATCATTTCGACGCTGAAAGGGATTGAATTTTTTTATTTTTGTTTAGGTTTTGTATTTTATTTTTTTATCCTTTAAATTATGATTACTATTGATTTTCAATTTTATTCTTTGTTTTTGTTTTTATTGGACCTGAACAAGGGTAGGTGTGTGGGTGGGGTCGGAGGGGGAGTTTAGATACCACTCTACAATGTATCATGTTGTTAAAGGAATGTTGGAATAAAACAAGTTAAAGCAGCATTATGTAAGATTTTCATGTCCAGTCATCATTAAAGGGCCCTGATCTGTTCATAGGCATTCATAAAACATGCTCTTTTCCAACAATTCTTAAACAGTAGTTCAGAGATATTTGGATTTCAAAAATAATTTTACAGCCATACACCAAGCCTGGTTCACACGAGACGATTTTAAAATTGTCGGCCGATTTTTTTTCTCTGTGTGAGACCCGACACACGGAGATAAAAAATCACGGGTCTAACCACTTTGGTCGTACAGTGTGTGGTGCGCAGCCACACGGCAAAATCACGCAAACTACACACATCACACACGAACCGATTTCACCCCGAGCATTCCCAGGTGACTTCAGAGTAAACAGTGTGCGGGCCTCTCTGCTTCACGCAGCCTATAGAGACTCGTCTGACCACAGCAGCCACAGACACCATGAGGACAAACACATGTGGATTTTACTGCTCTACAGTTCTCTGGCCCGTACTGTCTGCGCTGTTCAACAATACAGTTTGTACGGACGACCTGTGAACGCATCACACACACTGCTAGACATGAAACTTTACATACGCGCAAACCAACAAGCACGACTGCAGTAACGGCTGCATCAACACGTCTGTGCTGTATTAGGACAGAGTGCAAAGTAAACGTACAAACACAACCATCAGTCTGATCATTTAGTACTAATCCCGTCCGAACAGGGCTGATGCCAACACTACCTGTGCAGCAGCCATTTCTGCCCAATTCCTCTCCTTGTCATTTCGATGATGATGTTCTTTACACGACACGTCACATACATTCACGGTGTTGCCAGAGGTCAACTGGTGCCTCCATCTCTGATGTCCACTGAACTTTCTGGTGCACCATGCCGCTGACTGTTTTTTTTTAAATTTTTTTTTTTGGGTCAAATCGGGTCAAAACAATCCAACATGTTGGATATCCCCGATATTGAGATCGGAGCAGTCCTGAAGTCCTTCCGAGCGACGAGCACAGTCTTAACACACCACACACGGCAGGAAAATCCATCAGATTTTTTGTTACGATATTCGGAGCGTTCTTACGATTGTCGTAGCGGTGAATTGGGTCCAAAATCGGCCTAATTATCCTGCCGTGTGAACCAGGCTTTAGGAAGACATACACACTGTTGCTTGAAAGTGAGTGGGGAGAGGTTGTAAGACCCCACCCCGAGGAAAAAGTAAATAGCAGCTGCTTTCTTGTTCAATTATCAAACAATAGAAAAAGTAATGCATCATTCGAAAATAATGTTGAAGATGTACACTTAGAAAACCATACGCCAAGTAATAATCTAAATAAAAATTCATTATTGTTTCCTAGTTTAGAACCCAGAGTTAGCTTGGTGATGTGAGTATAGTAGTCATTCGGTTACAGAGAAGATAAGATAGACTGTATTGATCTCATAGTTTACAGTTAGAGATAAGACACCAGTACCTGTTGAGGCCTGGTGGTTCCCGGTGATGGCGCGGATCTCCAGCCCCAGATGCTCCTGGAACATGTGGCGGGCCGCCTGCAGGTTCTTCAGCCTCTTCTTGTTGGCCTTGTTCTGGGCTTCGATGGCGTCTCTCCTCTTGGCCTGCTCCTCCCTCACCTTCTCCATCTTGAGCAGGATCTGTTCTTTCTGCAGCTGCTTCTGCTGCAGCCCGGACGTGACCTCGGAGATGGCCGAGCGTTTGTCCTGCAGCGACTTGTTCTTCTGTTCCAGGTCTGAACACAGAACAATGAATGAGGCGCCATAATACTACAGTAATGCAGATGTTTTTTAGGAAGACGAATCTGAACAACTAATCCAAAGAATAATAAACCTGGAGGAATCCTACACAGACACGGGGAGAACATACAAACACTAAATTACTGGGATCGGAACCCAGTGTGTTAACCACTCAGCCACCATGCAACCCAAACTTTAGCAACAAAAAGGTTTTAAGCTGTGTCCTAATCCCAACCTGAGGGACACGCTAACAAAATAAAAATACATACAGCCTCAGTCCTGGATCTACAGCCTCAGTCCTGGGTCTACAGCCTCAGTCCTGGGTCTACAGCCTCAGTCCTGGATCGACAGCCTCAGTCCTGGGTCTACAGCCTCAGTCCTGGGTCTACAGCCTCAGTCCTGGGTCTACAGCCTCAGACCTGGATCTACAGCCTCAGTCCTGGATCTACAGCCTCAGTCCTGGATCTACAGCCTCAGTCCTGGGTCGACAGCCTCAGTCCTGGGTCTACAGCCTCAGTCCTGGGTCTACAGCCTCAGTCCTGGGTCTACAGCCTCAGTCCTGGGTCTACAGCCTCAGTCCTGGGTCTACAGCCTCAGTCCTGGGTCTACAGCCTCAGTCCTGGGTCTACAGCCTCAGTCCTGGGTCTACAGCCTCAGTCCTGGGTCTACAGCCTCAGTCCTGGGTCTACAGCCTCAGTCCTGGGTCTACAGCCTCAGTCCTGGGTCAACAGCCTCAGTCCAGGGTTGACAGCCTCAGTCCTGGGTCGACAGCCTCAGTCCTGGGTCTACAGCCTCAATCCTGGGTCTACAGCCTCAGTCCTGGGTCTACAGCCTCAGTCCTGGGTCTACAGCCTCAGTCCTGGGTCTACAGCCTCAATCCTGGGTCTACAGCCTCAGTCCTGGGTCTACAGCCTCAGTCCTGGGTCTACAGCCTCAGTCCTGGGTCTACAGCACATGAATGAAGACAAAACCACAAACCTTTTTTGAACGGCTCTATTGTATCAAACAGCATCTCGTCCTCCTTACACTTCTTCATACAGGTATCTGCAAACACACAGCCCTGGTTACACTAGAAAATACTATAATACTATACAAAATAATAACAGTATAATAATTAATAATAATAATATTGCAATGATTTTATATAGCACTTTTCATGACACTCAAAGTCTCTTCACATGTCATTACTCATTCTAGGCAGTGTGGGTGAAGTGTCTTGCCTAAGGACACAACCACAGCGGTTAATACATGGATTATGCATGTACTACACATGGATTATACATGTGCTGGTGCTGGTCCTGGTCCTGGTGCTGGTGCTGGTGGCTCACCCTGTGCAGACTTGATGAAGTGCTTGTGTGTCTGGAACAGCTCTGAGGCCATCTCTGTGATGTGGTCCTGGGCTTTCAGGTGCTGTCTGTGGGTCTCCTCCAGGGCTGAGGTGAAGCGCTCCGCAGAGCCCGGCTCAGAGATGGACATCCTGGTCTGGACGGGACAGCAGCAGGTACAAAGTCATGAGGTAATGTTTTCATCGGGGTTTGTGTGTTAGTTTGTGAACAAGATCAGCTATTATTTCTATATCTGATGTAGCTATCAGGTTTTGTACTTGGTATCCAATTTTGAATTCAATGCTTCCCGTGCTCAAATTGAAATAAAGTTAAATATGCCTAATTAATAACTGCAGAACTTAAAGATGTTGATACGCCAACGACAGATCAGAGAAACAAATAGTTTGAACACAGTAAATTCAAAAACCACAAACATGAATCACTGTCCATTAATGTTAAAGGTATATTTGAGGATTTCCCACATTTTAGGAAAGAATTGCCTCCTTCACTTTTTGAGCAAAACTCTCTGGTCTTATTGGACGAGCACGTATCACCAGAATGATTGACAATTGGGAGGACCAATAGTCTTGATGATCCACCCGGAAGTAGAAAATCCTCCTATATACCTTTAATATAATTTTAATAATGTTGATAAATATGAACCGCCCTCTCCACTTTTTGAACAAAACTCTCTGGTCTTATTTGATGAGCACATATCACCAGAGAGATTGACAAGAAGGAGAACCGATATTTTTGATGATCCACCCCGAAGTAGAAACCTCTCCTATATACCTTTAATAAATGTCCTGGATCAGCCCTGTCCTTAGACCCTTGAGAAGAACTGTGAGAAACCTGGAGAGGCCCATATCCATATCATGACAGATGCGTCAGAAACGTAATGTTCTGGGAAGATCATTGCAGCTCCTCTCTGAAACAGCAGAATCCAACAGCTTTCACCCCCAGGCTGTCAGACTGCTCAATGAACCTCCTCACCCCCTCGGAACCCCATTATTTTCCACTTTTCTATATCTTCCATAAATAAACTGGTAGTGCATTGTTGCAGCTAACATACTCACATCATGGATCTACAGACTCACATACTGTCACCGTTCTGATAATCTACAGCCTTGTACTTGTTTACATCCTGCGCACTTCATACGCTCTATCATCACAGTGATGCTCTAAATGTAATTTCGTTGTTTCTGTGACAATGACAAAAATGATTGAATGTTCTTTGACTGCTGTGCTTCATGCATTAAAACATATTATAGTACCATATGTATGATGAGAACAGAGCTCCGTTTAGCTGCATGCAGAGCTCTGCTAATGTCAATTGACAGGAAATTACACAATTAAACTGTATAACACATATTCGGAGAGACGGGGGAACATTCCATGTGACTCACGGTGATTATGAGCAGATTTCAGTCCGTTTTGAAGCAGAAATCAAGAGAAGAGTCCACAGAGAACCGTCCGCTTTTCAAACCTGCGCGCTCTCGGCACTTCCGTATTCACTTCCGGGTTCTCTGTGGGCGGGGCTACCAGGCACCAATAACTTATTTTTTTATTAAGATTTCTCAATCGTTTAACAAAATAAAATATTATAAACAAATATATAAAAATACATGAGTGTTGTAACTATTGAATAAAATCAAAGTTGGAAAAGTCATTTCGGATAGGGAAATAAAACCAATCCATTTGTTCCAAATTGAGTAGAAAAGGGGTCTCCAACCTGTGGCTCAGGAGCTACCAGTAGCTCTCCACCCCCAAAGGATTCAGGAGTTTAACATGATCCAGAATCATTCACCTTTGACTCATTACAAACTATTCTAACTATAGACATTATCATGATAGAAAGTATGTTTTTTTAGGGCATATGTTCAGGTTTTCACACCAGTCCATCAGCTAAAAGTTCTGGAACAGTTTTGTGTCAACCCTTTGAACCATTGGATGTCTCATGAAGGGCCTCAGGCCGAAACGTTACAACGCGGTCTGTAAATAAAAGACACTGAGAGCTACATAGCTGTGCAGACTTTTTTCACTGTTTTAACCCTTTGAACCAAGACATCCCTTATATTTGTATTTGTTCATATTTTAAAATCTGTACTTACAAATACAACAATCACATCATTCCCCGACTCCAAACTAATATTTCAACATTTGAATAATGACGTGTCACTATACGTATTATTATTGTTGTAATTATTATGATTATTATCATCATCATAAAATAATAACAATTATTATTATCATCTCATATATGAGACTAAAGATCATGGATATTAAAGAGCGACTAAACACCAAATCAACTTTTTTCAACTCATAAACTGCATACATATGTTTATTGTAGTGCTGTCTACATATCCTGGTCATTTTTTTGACATTTTAGTTCAAATTAGATAAAATATCACTTTTGAGCCAAAAAACGTCTGTGTGGCGCCCTCTCAACCTTTTTGGTGGTACTACATTTGAATTTGGTTCTGGCCTCTCCATTGACTCTGAAGTTCTCTATGACATCAGTTGTTTTGTGTGACGTCAGTCTGTCAGAGCCAGTGATGGGAACCCATCCAACTCTCACACACGCCCCAGCTGCAGTTTGGAGTATTCTGGCGCCATCTAGTGGATTCAAATTAAATTACATGAGTAATTCTGAGATTATTGAGTGTGATTAGGTTCAGGTGTGTAGCTTTACAATTATCTTAGTGTGTAAACAAGGGTGGAATGAGACTTTCTGGTCTGTAAACTATTGTTTTAAGCAGCAATGACAACTGTCTGTTTTTTTTAGTGAGACAAGTGAGCTGTCAATCACAGCCCAGACCACGCCCAGCTCTAAGCCCCCCTTATTGTCCCTTGGTCCTCCAGGCAACGCCCTTTTAAAAGAAAATTTTCAAATGTTCATGTGGGCGGACTAAGGCTGGGCACAGGTGTTTAGTCGCTCTTTAAAGATGGAAGCAAAGCGCCCTCTTGTGGTTATGATGAGACTGTCACCAAGAGTACTGAGTGCGCATGTGCAGTGTTGGGGAGAATACTGTGAAAATGCATTTAGTTACAGACTACCACAGACAAAGAGCACAGAAAACTGTATTTGTAACATATATTCCATTGCCCGACGAGAACTCCCGGAGGAATGACTCAGCTCATGTACATCCTCAGTCTTCATAACTTTGTGACTTTTTCTGTTTCTATGAAGATTATTTCCATGTCATTAATGTTTATGAAATTAACTCGACCCTAGACTGGTCCTGGACTGATTCAGCGCCATCTCAGCTTGGAGCCAGTGCTTGTTACTGTAGCAACACACCACTGATTACCAGAGCAACACAATGCTAGTTACCAGAGCATCAACAACAAATCAGAGAATCAAACAGTTCGCACACAGGAAACACAGGTCCATTGGTCTACGGAGAGAGGGATGACCAGTGTCTATAAATGTTCATAAATGTCCCGCTCTGACTGTCCTTAGACCCTCCTGCATCAGAAGAACCAGTGGAAAACCTCAGAGGGGGCTACATCAAGAGGTCCAAATCCATATATTTTTCATTTCTGAGACCCTGGCACTGTAGTATCCCGCTCTGATGATTTGAGTTTGTAAGAGTAAGAATTAAAGCCTATTTCTCTCTAAATATGGACAATAACTTTATTTTTCATACAAAAATACATTATCAAAGAAGATAATGCACAGTATTTGTTCTTTTACAAATGTATAATCAAACATAGTTTTGAAGAAATGCCCACAATTGTAAAGCGCTTTGAGAAAGGCGCTATATAAATAAACATTACATACTTATTGTTGCATACAATACACAATGAAATACATCATCGGCAAAAGAGTAGAGTAGAGTAGAGAAGAGTAGGGTAGGGTAGAGTCGGAAAGAGTAGGGTAGAGTAGAGTAGAGTAGAGTAGAGTAGAGTAGAGTAGGATAGAGTAGAGTTGAGTAGGAAAGAGTAGAGTAGAGTAGGGTAGGGTAGAGAATGGTAGAGTATAGTTGAGTAGGATAGAGTATGGTAGAGTAGAGTAGAGTAGGAAAGAGTAGGGTAGAGTAGAGTAGAGTAGGAAAGAGTAGGGTAGAGTAGAGTAGAGTAGAGTAGAGTAGGGTAGAGTTGAGTAGGATAGAGTAGAGTTGAGTAGGATAGAGAAGGGTAGAGTAGAGTAGGGTAGGATAGAGTATGGTAGAGTAGAGTAGGGTAGAGTAGAGTTGAGTAGGGTAGGGTAGGGTAGGGTAGACTCGGAAAGAGTAGGGTAGAGTAGAGTAGAGTAGGATAGAGTAGAAAAGAGTAGAGTAGAGTAGAGTAGGATAGAGTAGAGTTGAGTAGGAAAGAGTAGGGTAGAGTAGAGTAGGGTAGAGTAGAGTAGGGTAGAGCTGAGTAGGATAGAGTAGAGTTGAGTCGGAAAGAGAAGGGTAGAATAGAGTAGGGTAGGATAGAGAAGGGTAGAGTAGAGTAGGGTAGGATAGAGTATGGTAGAGTAGAGTAGAGTAGGAAAGAGTAGGGTAGAGTAGAGTTGAGTAGGATAGAGTAGGGTAGGAAAGAGTAGGGTAGAATAGAGTAGAGTAGAGTAGGAAAGAGAAGGGTAGAGTAGAGTAGGGTAGAGTAGAGTAGGATAGAGTATGGTAGAGTAGAAAAGAGTAGGGTAGAGTAGAGTAGAATTGAGTAGGGTAGGGTAGAGTAGAATAGAGTAGAGTAGGGTAGAGTAGAGTTGAGAAGGAAAGAGTAGGGTAGGATAGAGTATGGTAGTGTAGAGTAAAGTAGGGCTATTGATAACAAGGCTACAGTTCCGTTCCAGCACCACAGCACGCAGGGCCCTAGCTGACAGGGGCCCCGGTGGTGACCAGTTTGTAGTAGGCCCCCCTCTTGGCCATGAGTGTGTGGTGGGTGCCCTGCTCGATGACAGCCCCCTGGGACATGACGGCGATGATGTCAGCATTCTGGATGGTGCTCAGTCTGTGCGCGATGACGAGGCACGTGCGGCCTTTCCTCGCCGCGTCCAGCGCCGCCTGCACGGTCTGCAAACACCAGAAGAAGAGCGTTTTAAATATGTGTAAAAATAAGAGGGCTTTTTATTCTTTCAATACACGGCTCCTCACAGCAGCAGTAGAACGCTCCATTGATTTTAATGTAGTTTCGAAACGTTCTATCGATCATTATTTCTTGATAACTGACCTCTCAAAACCATAATGACCGCTGCCCATGGCAACGCACTCTCTGCTTGTAATTCAGGTGTGTAGATTACTCCGCAAATAGTCCGGCCACTTCGTCACAACGGGCTACGTCACTACTACTCATCTGTATTAATAAGGTGGATTTCTTTACAAACACAGTGGATCTTATAGAGTCCCATCATGCACCTGCTCGCTCTCTGTGTCCAGGGCAGACGTGGCTTCGTCCAGCAGCAGGATCTTTGGGTTTCGGACGATGGCGCGGGCGATGGCGATCCTCTGCTTCTGTCCCCTGGAGAGCTGGGAGCCCTGAGCACCCACTTGAGTGTCGTATTTCTGCCAAAAAGAAGAAGATATCGATATTGTTAGTGTGAAGGGGCGTTCAGACCGGATCATGCGTTGTGGCGACTTTCAATGCAAAGTCAATGGTTATGTCCGTTCGAGTGTGGAACTGCGATGCATGGACTGTGCGGCAGAGGTGCAATAGCAGAACGGCAGAGGCGCAGGAGTGGAAAATCGACGCAAGCAGGAGAAAAACATTGTTGAACTTTTTCCGCCGGTTGCACGTGCAGCGACCAATCAGAGAGCCGCAAAGTGGTTACGAGCTCACTAGCGGTCTAGTGAGATGACTGAAAATACTCGTAAACAGCCAAAACAGGAGCTAAACCAGGACTAAACCAGGACTATGGGGAGAAGTGTGGACTCTGTGGGAGCTGTGCTGGAGAGAAGGATGAGGGCTCTAATGCAGTGCATCCTGGGTAACTCCAGACACCTCTGCATGACACTATGGCCGCTCAGAGGAGTAATCGAAGTAACAGGCTTCTATCACAACGCTGCCGAACGGAACATTTCAAGAGATCCTTTTTTCCTTCGGCTGTCAGACTGTACAACGAACCTGGATGAGTCTTCTGCTGCTGGACACATTAGTTTCTCCTACGAGGATCAATAAAGTATCTATCTATCTATTTATCGATCTATCTATCTACTAAACTAGGACTAAACCAGGATTGCCTCCAGCCTGAGTTCTCATTCTCCCGTGACAGTAAACAAGTGCTATATGCTTATCACGATGATTCTCTAAATGGAATTTTTTTGTTTTTGTGACAATGACAATACATTATTGTATCTTGAATATTGAATAGGCTAATGTGTTCACATTTTTAAATGGTTTAGACCCGTGTATATCTGACAGAACTGTCTGGTGATCTCTCTCTCTCTGGTCTAATAATAATAATAGGCTGAGTCTTTTTGTCGAGCCTTTTTGTGGCTGTGGGACAAATAAAAGTCTATCTTATCTGTTTTAAAAAATAAATGTCTTTGTGTTTTCTTATAAGAAGAAAAGAAAGCTTGCTTTATTCCTCTTCTTTTTAGCTTGTTTAATGTCTATACTTGTCTTGTTGCACGTGTATTCCAATGAGGTTTTACTGCAAATAAGTCCAGTCCCTGACCTCAGGCAGCGTCATGACAAAGTCGTGCAGGAAGGCCTTCTTGGCGGCCTCCACCACCTCCTCCAGGCTGATGCTGCGGCTGTTGTCTCCGTACTGAATGTTCTGGAGGATGCTGCAGTCGAAGAGCACGGGCTCCTGGGACACGAGGCCCATCTGAGAGCGCAGGAACGGGACGCTGATGCGGGGAGAGGGCCGGCCGTCTATCAACTGCACACACATCAGGGGAAGGTGAGACGCTCGGAAAACAGGAGAAGAAGAAGACGTTTGTTCTATACCAGACGGTGGGAAGACAGAAATAATAAACAAATCACTTCTTTACTAAGATGAAGCGTCCTGAGCACAGTCTGTAGGAGCATCACCAAACCTGCAGAGGGTCACTGTCCTGGGGGCCACACATTTACTGAGAGTTTGTACAGACGTCAGAAACACATGAGCCTGTGTAACCGTCAGTGTTGAGTTGAGCACCTTTTTGTAACAAAATTACAATTTGAGAAACGTAGTGTGACGTGTTACTATGCTCCCATTTCTATAGTGAGGGGCTGTCTTCCACAAACATTTCACGCAGAAAAACAGCCACAGAAAGCCACAGAAAAACAGAGTTCAGACAAGAGTTCACAGACGAGAGTTCTCAGACGATTGAAATTAAGTTATTCTGCCGTTATGTGCACACTGGGGCGACAGAGGTTCAGTTGGTAGAGCATTGGCTTTTGAGCCTGAAGGTCGTGGGTTTGAGCCCAACACAAGACCTTCTCTACCGTCTCCCACTGATGACTGCTGTCGTTGTGTCCTTGGGCATGACACTTAACCCCACTTTACCTGAAGCCCTTGCTGAAAGATCAAGGCTGTGAGCAGCCGTCCTTCGGTGGACTCACCACCTGCAGGAGGATCAGTGAGGGGCTGGTGCTCTGTGAATTGGGTGGCAGCTGATTGCCACCCCCCCAACCCAGAAATGGATTAAGGGGAAGAAAATGGATGGACGGGTTATCACACTGACCACTGTGCCCTGGTCGGGGTCGTAAAAGCGCTGCAGGAGCTGGACACTGGTGCTCTTGCCGCAGCCGCTGCTCCCCACAAAGGCCAGAGTGTTGCCAGGTTTGACCGCCACCGTCAGCCCCCTCAGCACCTGGGTGTCCGGCCGCGTGGGGTACGTGAACTTACAGTCCTGGAACTCAATGTTCCCTTTGAAGTCGTCCTGAGGAAACAGCCAGAGTCAGGTCATCATTTAGAAGATAAATATTAGTGACCCTGTATTGTGTCTATTAACACTGTAAATCCCAGGCATACAAATAATCAGTGCTTTATATTGTATATTCTTTCTTTTTAATGTACTGTGATTATTATGTTGTTTTTTAAAGCCTTATGTGATTGTTGCACTTTGAGTTGCCTTTTGTATGAACTGTGCCATACAAATAAACTTGCCTTGCCATGTGCTATTTTTGGAAAGCAGTCTTCCATGACCAAATTTGGCATGTAGCATATTAGCTTCTTTCTGATTCATATTTTTAACATATTTTTAACACATTTGGGTGCCACGGGATACATTTTTATTTTTTTATTTTTTTATGAGAGCTTAATTCTGGTCTCTGATTGGATAATCTGCTTGAAAATTATAGAGTTTATAAGAGATATATAGATTATAAGAGTTAGCGTTAGCACTGTTCAAATACTGGATTAGCGTTAGCACTGTTCAAACACTGGGTTAGCGTTAGCACTGTTTAAACAATGGGTTAGCGTTAGCACTGTTCAAACACTGGGTTAGCGTTAGCACTGTTCAAACACTGGGTTAGCGTTAGCACTGTTCAAACACTGGGTTAGCATTAGCACGGTTCAAACACTGGGTTAGTGTTAGCACTGTTTAAACAATGGGTTAGTATTAACACTGTTCAAACACTGGGTTAGCGTTAGCACTGTTCAAACACTGGGTTAGTGTTAGCACTGTTTAAACACTGGGTTAGCGTTAGCACTGTTCAAACACTGGGTTAGCGTTAGCACTGTTCAAACACTGGGTTAGCGTTAGCACGGTTCAAACACTGGATTAGCGTTAGCACTGATCAAACACCGGGTTAGCGTTAGCACTGATCAAACACTGGGTTAGCGTTAGCACTGTTCAAACACTGGGTTAGCGTTAGCACTGTTCAAACACTGGGTTAGCGTTAGCACTGTTCAAACACTGGGTTAGCATTAGCACGGTTCAAACACTGGGTTAGTGTTAGCACTGTTCAAACACTGGGTTAGTGTTAGCACTGTTCAAACACTGGGTTAGTGTTAGCACTGTTTAAACACTGGGTTAGCGTTAGCACTGATCAAACACCGGGTTAGCGTTAGCACTGATCAAACACTGGGTTAGCGTTAGCACTGTTCAAACACTGGGTTAGCGTTAGCACTGTTCAAACACTGGGTTAGCGTTAGCACTGTTCAAACACTGGGTTAGCATTAGCACGGTTCAAACACTGGGTTAGCATTAGCACGGTTCAAACACTGGGTTAGTGTTAGCACTGTTCAAACACTGGGTTAGTGTTAGCACTGTTCAAACACTGGGTTAGTGTTAGCACTGTTTAAACACTGGGTTAGCGTTAGCACGGTTCAAACACTGGATTAGCGTTAGCACTGATCAAACACTGGGTTAGTGTTAGCACTGTTTAAACACTGGGTTAGCGTTAGCACTGTTCAAACACTGGGTTAGTGTTAGCACTGTTTAAACACTGGGTTAGCGTTAGCACGGTTCAAACACTGGATTAGCGTTAGCACTGATCAAACACCGGGTTAGCGTTAGCACTGATCAAACACTGGGTTAGCGTTAGCACTGTTCAAACACTGGGTTAGCGTTAGCACTGATCAAACACTGGGTTAGCGTTAGCACGGTTCAAACACTGGATTAGCGTTAGCACTGATCAAACACTGGGTTAGTGTTAGCACTGTTTAAACACTGGGTTAGCGTTAGCACTGTTCAAACACTGGGTTAGTGTTAGCACTGTTTAAACACTGGGTTAGCGTTAGCACGGTTCAAACACTGGATTAGCGTTAGCACTGATCAAACACTGGGTTAGCGTTAGCACTGATCAAACACTGGGTTAGCGTTAGCACTGTTCAAACACTGGGTTAGCGTTAGCACTGATCAAACACTGGGTTAGCGTTAGCACTGTTCAAACACTGGGTTAGCGTTAGCACTGATCAAACACTGGGTTAGCGTTAGCACTGTTCAAACACTGGGTTAGCGTTAGCACTGTTCAAACACTGGGCTAGCGTTAGCACTGTTCAAACACTGGGTTAGCCTTAGCACTGTTCAAAAACTGGGTTAGCGTTAGCACTGACCCATCGCAGACCCTCGGAGCTGCTGATGCTGATCTTGGGAACGCGGTCCAGGAGTTTGAAAAGCTGAGCGGCTGCGATCTTGGCTTTGGCGTAATCCGGAGTGAAAGAGGAGGCTCTGCCCAAAGCGGTGCCACTGATGACCACGGCCGCGATCACCCTGCAGACCATCAAAGACATGAGAATCTAAACTATGTGAGTCCAGCTGTATGTTTGTTTTAAACTCTTAACATATTATTCTTCTGGATGTCTCAAAAATATTGACCATTTAATTTGGCATTTGATGTCAGTGTATAGAAATGATCCATCCTAATCCGTCAGGGGAACCAGTGAGTGTTATAAAAGATGGAACGGTCACATGAAAACCATAAGTTACCTGAGGACCAAGAGCAGAATAGATGGTACCTGAATGCATAGGTGTAGTTGATGGTACGTAGAGCTGCAACTAACGATTATTTTGTAATCGATTAATCTATCGATTATTTTTACGATTAATTGAGTAATCGCTTGGCTGTGAATTGTGTAGAAATTTTTTATTTTTTCATCACAAAAAGCTAAAGTGGCAACACTCGAGGACGTATTGATGGCGTAAACTTAAAGTAAATGTTTGTAACAGGCTCTTTGTGCTAATTCTGCTCTGATTGGATGAGACAGACAGATATTCATGAAATTATAAAAACAAAGTCGGTTTTAATCAAAAATACTACATTTTCATGTCATTTTTGCTCTGTTTGAGTCCGTGTGAACCTGAAAACGATTAATCGATTACTAAAATAGTTGTCGACTATTTCAATAATCGATTAGTCGTCGATTAATCGATTAATTGTTTCAGCCCTAATGGTACCTGAATACATAGGTGTAGTTGATAGTACCTGAATGCATAGGTGTAGTCGATAGTAACTGAATACATAGGTGTAGTTGATGGTACCAGAATGCATAGGTGTAGTCGATGGTACCTGAATACATAGGTGTAGATGGTGGTACCTGAATACATAGGTGTAGTTGGTGGTACCTGAATACATAGGTGTAGTTGGTGGTACCTGAATACATAGGTGTAGGCCAGTCCTTCGCTGCTAACCAGGTATCCTCCAAACCTGTAGGAGGCAGCGTAGGCCATGAAGATGACGCACTGTGAGAACCCGAAGCTGAGGCCGTAGATGTGGGCTTTCTTCATGGCTGATTTAAACGGCGGCTCCAGCTGCTGCTCGTACGCCTCAACAAACGTGCTCTCTTTGGCCAGGCCTGCCACGGTGCGGATGTTGGACAGAGCCTCACTGGACACCTGCACACACCACACACACACACACACACACACACACACCGCACCACACAAACACACACACACACACACACACATCAATGTTATCCCAGTCACAACAGGAGGCAGTGGGCAGATCTGGACTAATCTGGGCGGGCTGAATGATGCATGAAGGACCCAGTATAGCACTCACTCGGCCCGCCGCCTCCATGGCCGCCTTGTCCTCGTTGGCGAAGCCCGTCAGCATCTTTGCCTGGAAGACTCCGGAAAGACCCAGCAGCGGCAGAAAGCACATGATGACCAGCGACAACTTCCAGCTGAAGTAGAAGGCGATGATGAAGGACACACCGATGCTGGTCAGGGAGTTCACAATCATGCCGATCTGAGAACCTGTGGCCTGCAGAGACACACACACACAAGTTTTTATAATTGTGATGTGTTTATCCATGTGTGTTCACCCGGCCAGTGACCACAGATGGAAAGTAGCTGTAGCCAAATCTGGTGTCATCTCTTCTTTTGTAAAGACTAATGGTTTTGTACATTGTCCCCGTTTTATACACAATAAACTAACCAACACACAACAGAGACACACGAGACACCCACAGAGACACACAACAGACACACGAGACACCCACAGAGACACACAACTGAACAAGGAGAATGGTTTTAGATTCATCCCCCTCCTTTTCTCATGGAGCCTTTCCCACCAGAGACCTGTGGTTGTGTGGTTTCTCACCCCCTGCACCATGGAGGCGTCTGTGGCTAGCCGTGTGGTCAGAGCTCCGGGACTGTTCATGGGGTCATCAAACCAGCCCACCTCCTGCCGCAGCATGGCCTCGAAGCCCAGCCGCCTCAGCCTCCGCGTCAGCAGCTCTCCAGACTTGGCGAACGCGTAACCCTGTATGTGTGGAGGAAGCAAACGTGTGAATATCAGGATTCAAACCACAGACTGTAAACAGATGGACAATGCTAACCCGCTAGCTCGACAAAACCCAATAAGGACATACAGTACTTATGGAATAAAAGTTTTTGCTCCAACTTGCTCTGGCTCCTATGGACTTACATTGAAAAGTAAACTCCCTCAGTGCAGTAACAGTTTGTCGCACTCATCTTTTTGGGCTTAAAAAATTGGGGTTATCCGCTATGTGTGATCCTGTGTTTATATTTTTGTCTTTTTAAGTTATGAGCAATAAGGACAGACTATTCAGATGCCTTCATTTGTGGGGGAAAGTCCAGCTTGTCTTAGCTATACGTCTGCCCCTGTTATGACTCAAAGCTAATGTTGCGGGAATTAATGCCCATTTAAGGAAATTGGCTCCCGCTAGCTAATGTTCCAATCTGCTTCTTCTGCATTCGGTCAGTCCACTCCTAATACACCGTCCATGATTCAGACCTGTAAAAACTGGGAGAAGAAGCTGAAGACGGCCACGATGCAAAACAGCACACACACTCCATTGATCTGTCGCCTCTGCTCCGCCACGTCTGGGATCGCAAACGTCTGAGGATTTAAACACACAAAAACATAGGTTACACAGGAGCCAGCAGAATCTACAGCCTCAGTCCTGGATCTACAGCCTCAGTCCTGGGTCTACAGCCTCAGTCCTGGATCTACAGCCTCAGTCCTGGATCTACAGTCTCAGTCCTGGGTCTACAGCCTCAGTCCTGGGTCTACAGCCTCAGTCCTGGGTCTACAGCCGCAGTCCTGGGTCTACAGCCTCAGTCCTGGATCTACAGTCTCAGTCCTGGGTCTACAGCTTCAGTCCTGGATCTACGGCCTCAGTCCTGGTTCTACGGCCTCAGTCCGGGGTCTACAGCCTCAGTCCTGGGTCTACAGTCTCAGTCCTCGTTCTACAGCCCTAGTCCTGGATCTACAGCCTCAGTCTTGGATCTACAGTCTCAGTCCTGGGTCTACAGCCTCAGTCCTGGGTCTACAGCCTCAGTCCTGGGTCTACAGCCTCAGTCCTGGGTCTACAGCCTCAGTCCTGGGTCTACAGCCTCAGTCCTGGGTCTACAGCCTCAGTCCTGGATCTACAGCCTCAGTCCTGGATCTACAGCCTCAGTCCTGGATCTACAGCCTCAGTCCTGGGTCTACAGCCTCAGTCCGGGGTCTACAGCCTCAGTCCTGGATCTACAGTCTCAGTCCTGGATCTACAGCCTCAGTCCTGGATCTACAGCCTCAGTCCTGGGTCTACAGCCTCAGTCCTGGGTCTACAGCCTCAGTCCTGGATCTACAGCCTCAGTCCTGGGTCTACAGCCTCAGTCCTGGGTCTACAGCCTCAGTCCTGGGTCTACAGCCGCAGTCCTGGGTCTACAGCCTCAGTCCTGGATCTACAGTCTCAGTCCTGGGTCTACAGCCTCAGTCCTGGGTCTACAGTCTCAGTCCTCGTTCTAAAGCCCTAGTCCTGGATCTACAGCCCTAGTCCTGGATCTACAGCCCTAGTCCTGGATCTACAGCCTCAGTCTTGGATCTACAGTCTCAGTCCTGGATCTACAACCTCAGTCCTGGGTCTACAGCCTCAGTCCTGGGTCTACAGCCTCAGTCCTGGGTCTACAGCCTCAGTCCTGGGTCTACAGCCTCAGTCCTGGGTCTACAGCCTCAGTCCTGGGTCTACAGCCTCAGTCCTGGGTCTACAGTCTCAGTCCTCGTTCTACAGCCCTAGTCCTGGATCTACAGCCTCAGTCTTGGATCTACAGTCTCAGTCCTGGATCTACAACCTCAGTCCTGGGTCTACAGCCTCAGTCCTGGGTCTACAGCCTCAGTCCTGGGTCTACAGCCTCAGTCCTGGGTCTACAGCCTCAGTCCTGGGTCTACAGCCTCAGTCCTGGGTCTACAGTCTCAGTTCTCGTTCTACAGCCCTAGTCCTGGATCTACAGCCTCAGTCTTGGATCTACAGTCTCAGTCCTGGATCTACAGCCTCAGTCCTGGGTCTACAGCCTCAGTCCTGGGTCTACAGCCTCAGTCCTGGATCTACAGCCTCAGTCCTGGATCTACAGCCTCAGTCCTGGATCTACAGCCTCAGTCCTGGGTCTACAGCCTCAGTCCTGGGTCTACAGCCCTAGTCCTGGATCTACAGTATCAGTCCTGGATCTACAGCCTCAGTCCTGGGTCTACAGCCCTAGTCCTGGGTCTACAGCCTCAGTCCTGGATCTACAGCAACAGTCCGGGATTATGTATATGTGTAATTACCCCCAGGATCTGGCTGAAGAGCACGGCATAGATGGGGTTGATGGACCCGTTGACCGCGGCCCCCAGAGAGCCCAGCACCATGTGGGGCCACTCGGGCTGGTTGTACTTCAGGATGCGGGCGACTGGGGCCGACTCCGCCGCCTGCTCCTCCTCCTGACAACACAACAGTGGAATAGGGACATGCTGCTGATAATTTGTGATATTAAGATGAAAAAAATACACCTTTATCCTGATATAATATTAACAGTCTATGGTCCTGACTAGAGCCAATATTACAGAAAGATGTGTATTTGGAGGCATATCTCACTCTTTGCTCTTTTGAATGTCAATGTCAGCTTTAATTTGAATAGAAACACCAGCTGCCCAAAGTGCTTCACATGCACAAAAAGAAAAGAAAACACACAACGACAGATAGTTCTCACAGCTAATCATATTTAATACCATGTTATATACTGTACATGGAATAATAAAACTAACTTCTGACGCATGTCAGATTTATGCAGCTTAAAACCTGGAACAGTCTTCCTGAAAATGTTAAGACAGGCTTCTCACCAGGGGTTGGGTGATTTGGAGAAAAAATATATTTTTTTCAATATATTTACAGGATAAATAACTGCTGTGATTTAGGGCAACACAAGAATACATTTAATTAAAACAGAATTTAATTGCTATATTTTTGTGAATTGTTATTTGAAAAAAAGACAAAAGAAAAACCTGTTTTCTGGGGACACATGTACAAGAAAAAAAATATATATATTTAAATTAAAAAAATATTGCATACTGCCATTTAAAAAAGTTTAGTAAAATCTTGAATGTAATGCCTAGAATTTTAAATATTGAGTATGGGAATAATTGAAAAGTAAATTTAGCTCAATATGAACAATCATTAGTGAAATGATGCGTCCTGTAAAATACTCTATAACAGGGGTCTCCAACCTGTAGCTCGCCAGCCCCTTACAGGTAGTTCACCAAAGGAAATAGAATTTAACAAATACACTTGAATAAATACTTTTTGAGCCCTTACATATATATTATAAGTATAAATATAGGGTTATACAGTATTATGGTGTATTTTGTATGTGTTCTCCATGTTTCGTCGTAAATATTAGATAGATTTTTATTAGGACTGCAAACAGGAGTAGCTCTCTGCCTCTTTGTTTCTATAAAAGTAGCTCTCCGATTGAAAAAGGTTGGAGACCCCTGTTCTATAATATACTGTATATTCAGTTAATGTGATATTAACCCTTATGCACGAGTGACTAGACCCTACACTCTTCCATAAGTGGGTCAAAAATGACCCGTATTAGAATCAATGCGTTTTTAAGGCATTTCTGTGATTTTAATTAAGGTTAATCAATGGTATAAAATTTAGTTTTATAATTGGAACCACACAAGAATGATGTCACGTTTGAAATCTTAATTTTTTTTAACCAAGAACAGCCATAGAAAAATGTGAATATCCATTGTGTGTGTGTATGTTTGTGTGTGTCTGTGTGCGTGTGCTTGTATGTGTGTCTGTGTGTGTGTGCGTATGTGCATGTTTGTGTGTGTATGATTCAGGGTGGCAAAATCCATCATGTTGTACTACAGCACTATGGGCCACCTCTGTGCTTGGTGCTTGCAGGTGTAAGTGCCAACCAGTGGGGGCGGGTCCCGGCTCAAAAACGTCCATGAGCACATGCGCTGACATACTGTACTTGCAATCCTACCCCGGGCCAGTGGGGGTGTATCCAGAAAAAAAAATATCCAATGCTCTATTATGGCGTCTTGTTTCCTCCCGAAAACGTTTTTAATATGGTCCAAAAGTCAGCTCTTGGTCCGAGATAACGCTCCGATGTTATTTTAGTCCCAAAAAAACGCTGAGTTATAAATGTTGAGGAAAGTATATTTGTTGGACCAGTCTAGTTTAGCTGATGTGGACTTCAGAATGCATTCGTCAAATGAATGGGCCTGGTGACGGCTAACGCATGCACAAATGCGTCTTTTCTTATTTTCCATCTATTACATAGGGATGCATGCATCACAAACCCAGAAGATCCCTATAATTTGTACTTGGTGGGCTTGCTTGGCATATAATTCTTACAAGTATTAGCTCTTGCTGTGTAAAATAATCTTCCTGAGAAGTGAAACTTCTGGTATAGTCTGTGTAATCCACATTTGATTCATTCTTGACAGCCACAGTTGATAAGATTTAAAGATTCCTATTGGATTCCATAGAGAATGCATGCATTTTTGACCCACTTATGGAAGCTTGGGGTAGCAATACAAAAACAAAAAAATCTTAAAATATATAAAGAGTAAGTCAAAAATGTAAATGGATTTATATAAAAAACCTGAAATACTTTAAATATGAAATGATAAAAAAATTAATCACAAAGATATTTCAAGAAATCAACCTCACCGGGTCATTTTTGACCAACTTATGCATCTAAGGGTAAAGCTATATTAAAAGAGATGCATAGACTGAACTGATGGAGAAGTAAATACTCAACGCTCGTTCACCTCGTTTGCCATCTCCGGTCCGGAAAGGATTTGGAAACTTCCCGTGAGTGCATTCGGAACAAAATCCAAAGACCTGTGGCTCTGAGACCGAAGTCGGATCGAACCCCTAAAATCAATCAAAACCTTTTCCATTACACTTGTTTTGTTCTTGAATACACATTGTAATTTACTTGAGGTTTCTTATGCGTTTGTTACTTGAAGCTGGAGCTGTGGCTGAGCTGACTCATGGTGCGGGTTTTCGGACCGAGGGGCTCTTCTTGAGATTCTGCCTCTGAAAGAACAGGTCCATAGTTTGAATACTGAGGCGTGTAGATGAGACCAAAGGTAAATGTTCTCAAACACTCACTACAGACATAGACGGGAAATATGTGTGCGCTTCCGGACAGTACAATGAGGATAAGGCGAGTGTGTTTGTTCAGCACAATTCATACACAATGCAACTCAAAGTGCTTCAGAAAAACAAGTGAGAACACATTAAAATCACAAATGACAGCAAAACAGATAACACAAGATAATTACTGTATGAAAGACTTTATGAAGCTGGTTCTGGCTGAATGACCATGGGGAAGTCAGATTTTTCAGATACTTCTTTATCACCGCTGTCTGTGGGACCTTTTGGACGACCATCTTTCCAAAAAAGATGGGAACTAGTCAAAAAAAATCATCTTTTAGCTTCCCTATGGCATAATCACTGTGCCATCTGACTGATGCCGTGATGATGGGTCACTGAACAGAGTGCATGGTATTATAGTTTCTATCTTGTTTGGCTAAGCTCTTTGAGTTACCTTGTGTAGGAACTGTGCTATACAAAGAAAAATTGCCTTTGTGCCGTAACCATATAGTGTAAAAATGCCGTAACAGGGGCAGACGTGTTGCTAACATACATTGTTTGATACAAAAAAAAAAAACTCAAACATTGGACAACATCAGACATGTATCTAAATAGCTTTAAACACTGTCAACGTGATGCCTGTTCCCGGGGCTCTTGGTCTATTGTTCTCTAACTGAATAGGTCGGCACGGTGGCTGAGTGGATAGCACTCGAATCCCGGTCGGAACAGGGCCTTTCTGAGTGGAGTTTGCATGTTCTCCCAGTGTCTGCGTAGGTTTCCTCCGGGTACTCCGGTTTCCCCTACCACTAAAAACATGCACAATAGGTCTGAATGTAAATGAGAGAGTGAATGATGGTGTTGGAGCTGATGGTCCAGTGTGTTCTGGACTCGCTTCTGTCATCATCGTGTGTGGAATGATTGGAACAACATCTGACTCTGAACATTGTAAAGTGCTTTGGGTCTGTACCTTGGTCTGTAAAATGCGCTATATAAATAAACATTACTTACTACTAACTGGGTTAAAGACCAGTTAGTGTCTGTTTGTGTCTGCTTCGCCTTGATATCGTCCGTCTGTGTTCTGTTTTGTACAGTACTTATTCGTTGTATGATTTGTCGTGCAAGGTTTTAAAGTCTTTTGTGTCTATGTTACCTTGGAACCTGCTTTGGGACTACGGCTAAAATGTCCGTAAAAAGTCCGGCGCATTTACACTGACGCTTAAGGCATCAATGTTGATGAACGTGCAATGTCGCAACTCAATAAATAAATAAATGAAAAAAAACATGGTTGCTAAGATAAGCTGGAGTTTCCCATGAGAACAAAGTCATCTGATTACTGAATCCTTATGGGTCGTATCTGGATTCACAAACCCAATATTAAACTAAAACCCCAGAATCATAGAGAGCACTAAACCAAAGGACAAGTTGGCGCTAAACTTCATCCATGAGCACTTTCCTATTGGGCATCACTGAGCTCGCGAGTTAGCATTGTCCATCTCTAAACAGCCTATGGTCTGACCCTCGCTGCTGCTGGACGTGGCCTGGTTTTGCAGCGTCACGAGGGTGAAGTAGACCCCTTTGTTCTGGAGCAGCTGGGCGTGGGTGCCCCTCTCCACCGCCTGGCCGTGGTCGAAGCCGATGACCACGTCTGCGTTCCTGATGGTGGACAGTCTGTGTGCGATGGAGATGGTGGTCCTGCCGTCGCGCACCTGTAAAAACACCACATTCACATCACCGGGACGCGACGCCAGAGCTGAGCGAACATGGTTTTAGGACCTTGTACAAAATCCCCTCACTCACTCCTTGTGTGTAAGTGACTGTAAGCAATATCTTTTATTATCCCTGTCATTTAACCTGATTGATTCCCCCTTTGTAATTCCCAAAACCAAACCACTGATCCACCTTTCCTCTTCTCCACCTCCACTTCTCTCCATATTACTCCATTGTTCCTACCACCAACAAAATGTAAACTGGACTTGAAAACCACACCTGGAATCAGTATCACTAAGGACACTACATATACCCAACATTTACAAGTTTGGCCTTTCCCTTTATTCTTAGATGCTATTGTCTCATGAGGTTGTCTCTGTTTTGTATTCCAAATGGTTTTGAGTGATCCAACTCTGTTTCACATATGTACTGATGTATGTTATTTTCGTTTTATTACACGGCTCCTTACACGCAATTTGTGCTTGTAATTCAGGTGTGTCAGATCACTCCGCATGTAGTCTGGTCACTTCGTCAACGAGCTTTCGGCGACACTACTAATGTCTTTGCGAGAGAAGCTGAGGAATCGCTCCCGAGGTTAACGGAGTCCAGAGATACACCACCATGTCTCATCTCCAACCACACCTTCAACGGGATCGTCCAGTTTAATATCAATAAGTAGCTAGCCTAGCGGTTTCTCGCCTAGGCATGCTATAGTGTAGCCACACATAGATCCAAGGTGTCGCTCCGCTCAATAAACACAAACAACAATCAATCAACACATTTCAGTTTCAATCAAAACAATCAACACATGTCTCCATTGTGAGATCATTAAAGTTTATCTTATCTCATCTTAAATGTTAATCGTATAATACATTTTTTCATATATTTTCTTAATACACATGCACAGAGGTTTTCAGAATTTTAATGCAACAAAATGTGATGGTGGTAAACCTGGAAATAACCATTAACATTGATTTAAAAAATGAGGGCGCTGTCGGTACTTATTTTCCCAGAATGACCTGCGTTCTATACGTTATCCCTTACGTACATGTTTTGGAATCAACAGTGATGAACTAAAAACCAGGGACAGACCAGAGGTGTTTACTGAAGTATGTATCGGCAGAATGAGGGCCAAGCCATTTCATGATTTGATTTGACTGGTGGTGCTTGTGCCAAGGAGAGAAACTATTTGAACATCTAAACATTACTAACACAAAATTGGTCAGGAGTGGTTTTGTGGGCTTCAATTGATCATCATCATCTTCAGCCAGAGACAGGGGCAGAACATGCAAACCTTATCCAGTGCGGCTTGGACCACGGCTTCGCTCTCGTTGTCCAGAGCGGACGTGGCCATGTCCAGCAGCAGGATCTTGGGGTTTCTGATGAGAGCGCGGGCGATGGCGATTCTCTGCTTCTGCCCCCCGCTCATCTGCCCTCCTCCTTCTCCAACCAGAGTGTCAAACGTCTGAACAAACATGAGCAAAGACAGGACTGAATCATAACTCTTGTAGAAGGCAAAGTCAATTCTTGGCTTTCATTAAACTGGCCAGTAGGGGGCGAATGAGCAGAGGTGGGACCACTCAGTTTTGCTCCCATTGAAAACCATGTAAAGTCTGTTTTGAGGCAAAAGGCTCTCCTCCAGTGCGGTGTATGATTATTGGAACAGTCTTAATCGGGGACACCCAATTCCGAAATCAAGACTCCAAAGAGTCTTGATTTCGGGCATTTTTGGAAAGAAAAACAGAGGAAATTGCTGCGTTTCATTGGGATGGCCTGCAGGGGGCGCTTATCTGGGAAAGCCTTGATCCACCTCGCCCGCCTCATTCCAGTGATTTTTTCAAAGTGTCCTCCTTTATATGAGACCACAGTTGGAACATGAACAAACTCTTGTGTTTCTCTCTATTTGTGCGGTTGCTACAAGCGTACACCGCACAAAAAGACGGCATTTTGACAGCTCTTCTTCTTCTACTATATCTGCGTGTATAAACCTGGCAGACTGCACCGCCAGGATACGTCACGTCCTGTCCTACGTTTGTTATTCGCACCACTGCCCTGACGTCATATGAAACCCAAGAAAAAGGAATGTGATGTCACGCAAATCCAGAGCGTTATCTCATATTGATCTTGATATTATGTGTAGGTTGAGTTCACGCTGTAATATTGTGTTTCAGTTAAAGGCAAGTAAGTAGTAGAAAGAAATCGCCTTTCGCAGACCAGAGTCACAAAGTGCTTTAAAATTGTTATGGGCATTTGTCTCCCACTCCACACAGAGAGTGGGGTCGCCAATACAGGAGAAAACCTACACAGACACGGGGAGAACATGCAAACTCCACTCCGCTGTTCTGACTGGGATTCGAACCCAGGGCCTTCTTGCTGTGAAGCGAGAATGCTATCCACTCAGTTAAAAGGGCAGGTGTCAATTCAACTATGTTTGAAATGGAAAATATCAAACTGTTCTGGATCATCATTCATAGTCCTTAGACAAAACCAACTGAAAGAGTCTGGTTCACCTGTGGGAGGTCCATGATGAAATGGTAGGCGTTGGCCTCTCTGGCGGCGTGGATGACCTCGTCCATGGACACGCCCGCTCGGCCGTAGCGGATGTTCTCCGCGATGGTGGTGGCGAACAGAACCGGCTCCTGCTCCACGATCCCCATGAGAGAGCGCAGCCACTGGATGTTCAGGCTGCGGAGGTCGTGGCCGTCCAGCGTCACCTGCACACGCAAACCAGGGTAGATTGATAGAGAGATACTTTGTTGATCCACGAAGGAGAAACTCAGGCGTCCAGTAGCAGCTAACAATAGTAATAATCAGCAACAGCACTTTAGGTCACAGCAGAAGAGGTGGAGTAGCCGCTTGGTTCAGAACATTTTCTCTGCTCTGGTCCAAAGTAAAATGCTAAATGCTTTGTTAGCATTTTTCAAAAAGTTAGCATTTCTCCAGTGGATTCTTGCTTGATCCGTTGGTTTGGACCATGAATCCTCTCTGCTCTGGTCTGGACCAGTGTAAAACCATGAATCCTCTCTCCTCCGATCTGGACCAGCGCAAAACCATGAACATTGAACTGCAGCAACATCTCAAGCAGAACAAAGCAAGAAAAAGAAAAATTGTAAAGCACAAGACAACAAATGTTTAAGAGCGACTTAGGACTTGCTGCCGTTTCCTGCACATTCAAAAGAGTAAGACTGTAACAGGTTCATCTAAACTCAGCTGCTGGAATGTCCACAAAGCAAATTTATGGCTAGTACTTTTGTTTTACCTTTCCTTCAGACGGATCATAGAATCTCTGGATGAGCTGGATGGCCGTACTCTTTCCCATTCCGCTGGGACCAACAAAAGCTGTGGTCTCTCCAGCCTTGATTTCCATGTTCAGGTTATTTAAGATCTAAAAAAAGTTTGTATTATTTATTATTTGACGACGTGACAAGAATATAGTCCTCGTTACCTTCACTTCTGGGCGAGACGGGTAGAAGAAAGTCACATTCTCAAACTGAATGTCCCCTTTAACCTTGTCCAGCTTGTGACCGTCTTCAGACAAACAGTCAATTTCTGGTTCCTGACAAGAGATGAAGACGAAGAGATCCTTTAGTGGTCCCAAAGCGGGCAAATGTCAGTGTTGCATCACCGAACAGAACGGTAGGAATGAGGAGCACACAGCACAAGAGAAATGAACAACTCTATACTAACATGGGATAAAATAAAATCTCCAAATTTAGCATAATAAAGAAGCAAGTATAAAGTCCTTTATATTCTAGTTCAGACGTATATAGTTGTGTGTTTACATCTCAGTGGGGGTGGGTCCCGGCTCAATAATAATAATAATAATAATAATGCATCGGTTTTATACAGCGCTTTTCTGGACACTCAAAAACACTTTACATGTCATTATTTTTTCTCTCCACACACAGTGGTGATAAACTACTACTGTAGCCACAGCTGCCCTGGGGCACACTGACAGAAGCGAGGCAACCAGTTCGTGCCATCGGCCCCTCCGACCACCACCAACCATTCACACACACATCAGACTCATTCTAGGCAATGGGGGTGAAGTGTCTTGCCTAAGGACACAACGGCAGTTTGGCACTTCACAGCCGCAGCCGCCCCACTGTGGCACCTGGTGTTCCCAGAGGTGAAGTGTCTTGTCAAGGACACAACAACAGCAGACAGTGAAAGTCGGGCTCGAACCCACAACCCCCTGGCTCAAAGGCCTATGCCTACCAATTGAGCTACTGTCGCCCAAAATATTATGTCCAAAATGACGTGCGCTGACATACTTGCAATATCACCCCATATTACTATACTCTGAGAGGTATCTTCTTCAAAAACGTCTTTACAGGATGGTCCAAAAGTCGGCTCTTGGCCCAAAGCTACGTTCCACATGTGTGTCAATGCTGAGGGGGGTGGATTTTTCTGAACCAGTCTAGTTTAGTTGCAAATGAATGGGGCTTGTGCAGCTAACGCATGCGCAAATGTGTTTTTTCGCATCCTCGCGGCCATTTTGGAACTGCCCATAGACGGCACAAGTGATAGCCCATTAGTTTCAACAACAGAGATAGGCGTGAATATTTACAGTCTATGTTACATCTGCACATGTTGCAGCGTGAGGCTCTTGGACTCAGCAAAGTGACAGTGACGTGTGAGGTTGGGTCGGCAGTGTTTGTTAGTCCTCATTGTGGAACGTAGCTTTGGGCCAAGAGCCGCCTTCTACTTCCGCCTCCGTCGAGCAAAGACGTGTCTCAGACCGCTCCTGCTTCTGACTGCTTGCTATCTCCTGTTTTTGTCTTTTTCCTGGAGTTTTGCCACAGACAACTTTAACAAAAATGGAAATGATTAACTGGTCCCTCAACGCAATTGATTCTATCTTTTCAACACGTAAGCGTGGGTCTGGAGAGCCCGTGTGCCCGGACGGGACTTCACCGGCGGGGTATACTCTTGACAGCTGGAACAAGTTTCAGCCCCTCTGTCTGTCGACCCTGTCCATTGAAGATTCGGAAGACGTATATATCTTTGGCATTTTGGTGGTGGGAATCCTCCTGTTTGGGTTTGGAGCGATCCTCTTCTACCACAAATTCGGAGGCATGGCAGTTCGCAAGATTCACAACCTGCTGGCCGACAAAATCGATGGGATGTACAAGGAGCTAAGCCGAGTCGTGGTTGAGAGTGCCGTGTCTGGACAAAGGAGAGTGGTTCTGGTGGAACAGTTGATAAAAGACCTCGCAGCTCGTTCACTCGAAGGGAATAAAACTCTGGAGTTGAGATTGAATGACATCGTTTGCCAGGCTTGAACTCTCTGACCCGGCTTGGATTTGCCCCTGTGTACGGAGGTCTGAGGGCGCCGCAATTCGGTTTAATTTGATTTAATAGAATATCTGCCTGCTTTTAACTGCTACATTGCATACAATATTGTCCCTCACAGGCGATGTGTTTTTCTCCTCCTGTGCCTTCTCTCCACTCTTATCTCAAATTCCTTCGGCCAAGGCCATAATAACAAGGTCCCAATCTACAACAATTTCACACTATTCAGTCTCCAGCTCGGATCCCGTTCCCCCGCCTCCCTCTACCTATCCATCTTGCTCCCTCCCTCCCTTCCACTCCTCACTGTGTTTCCGACTCACCCCCTCCCTGACCCCGCCCCCCTCTGACAGCCACATTGGCCGGCTGTCGGAGGTGCTCATCCCGAAAAAAAAATCCGTGGTTTATACAAAGCACAATGTGTCTATCCAACTGTCTGTGAAACTGTATGTTATTGCTCTCTGCTGTTTATTCTACTGTTTGTCGCATGGCGCCGTAAAGATGGCGCCGTGGCAAGAGCTCTGGTGTGTGTCGTCTTCTCTGTCTGGTGCACACCGGGGTAGTCTTGCACAGTTTTTCCAATGTGGTTTTACTGCAAATGGCAAATAAATGAATCTGAATCTGAAATCTGAATCTGAATCTTGTTCGTTGTACAGTTATAATAATGATAATATTAGAATTTTTAGATCATAATTTGTGTGTAATTACTCGGTCTATTGTGTCGAAGATGGTCTTGGCCGCAGCTCGGCCGGAAGCAAACGCCTCGAGACACGGAGAGGCCTGTCCCAGGTTCATGGCAGCCATCAGAACGCCAAAGAACACCTGGAAACACGTCATCATGACTATTTTAGAAATACAATTATTCTTACAATGTATAAGAAATATTATGCATTATTTTTGGCCAGTAAGAAATTATAATTACACTATTTTCTTTGCAATTTCATGTTTTGAAAAATATCCTCAGCATGGTGACAGAAGTATGTCGGGTAAACAATGCTATCTGCCTGCACTACAAGTGGATAAATTACTGTAAATAACATACTTTCATTTGATAAATTGATAAAAACGAATTTAAAGACATAGTACAATAACATTACAGGACTGAGACAGGAGGGTTGGCAGAGATGGGACAGAGATTAGATTAGATTATTGTGCCAGTACTTCCTGATATTAGGGTGGATGGATCGTAAAACAACTCCAGGTCCGAGAGTGATGAGGAAAATGTTTCATGTTCAGATGTTTATTGGATTGTACTTTTCATATTAAGACAATAGTAAATGGAAATACTAAAAATTACCAAAGTGTCATTGTCAACACTTCTCAAAGCTTGGATGTCTTCTGTTCAGAACACGGGAATTTAACATGAGAACTGTATTGTGCATAATATGGAGGCGTTTATCTTTCAGATGAGTTCAAACGTCACCTGTATGAGGGTCCCAGGGGACAGCTCCCTGGTGTCCAGCACCAGTCTGGAGCCGTACCAAAAGGCCAGAGCATAACACAGGAAGATGATGCACCACAGATAGCCCTGGAAGATTCCAATGATGCTGCCTTTTTTCACCCCCCAGGCCTGAGCTTCCTCCAAGTTACGGTCATATCTGCAACGACAAACACCGACTGTACTTTGTAGTTTTTCCTCCCATCTAGTGTTAAGATCATATATTGTAATCTGCGGGACTACGGTAGCTTTGCAGGACATTATGTCGTTTTTGACAGTGGTCCCCCAACTCCCGCTCAATCTCCTTTTTGTCCCTTATCAACCACTGTGTTTCAAGATGGCGCATTGATATGTAGAGTCCTCCAGCCTCATGGACATTTATAAGTCAAATTCTAAGCCTATGACAACAATTCAATAACATGGTGGAGGGGAATATTCCTAAAAAGGTCACATTTGTTGTTTTGTCATTTGAAGCAACTGTAAAAATTACACAAAACAAAAACGTTTTAGCATTTTGACTGTTTTGGCTTTCACCTCTCAGCTTCTTTCTGCTCTCCCCCAAACGCTGCCACGGTCCTGATGGAGGACAGAACCTCGTCAGCCACCGCTCCGGCTTTAGCATACGCCGACAGCTCCCGGCCGGTCAGCCTGGACACGGCCTGGGCACAGGGAATACTGCAGTCAGGAAGTAAGTAATCTAAGTAAGTAATCTTTTATTATTCACAGACCAGAGTCACAAAGAACTTTACAATTGTGGGCACACTCCACACAGAGATGGGAGAGGGGCTGCCAGTACAGGAGGCGCATGCCAGACCTATTGTAGATGTTTTTAATGGTGGGGGAAACAGGAAGTGCTCGTGAATAAAGTTTTGCTCCTACTCGCTTTAAAGATCCAGTCAGTGATTTTATCCTTAAGCCCTAAAAGTAGTAGTTATCAAGTGTTTTCAAATAATAATGGAATTGACCAGATACCTATAGTCTGAAAAAATTATGAAAACACATTTTGGAGCGTTCATCCCCAACAAACCGATGCGTATACCTCCCTTCACCCTTTTCCGGGTTCTCACGAGTGCGCGCACCTGAGTGAACAGAAAAGGCCAATTTCACATTTGCCACCCACTCTGCCTGTTGTGACAAAGAAAAGAAAATGCTGGATGTTTGGTTTGGTGGAGACACAAGGAGAGGAGGGGGAGAGGTTTTGAGTTGGTGCTACGGCTAAGCTAAAAAAATAGCCTAACTTCCATTTTTTTGCGTTCATGCAATTTTAGAAATACAATAAATAAATCTGCTTTTTGGCTCAGAGTTCACATACTTGCTTCATAGCACTGTCTGTTTGATATCGATAACGTCACGGGCAACAAAACTTCTCATTACAAACCTTTCTTTGTTCTCATTACAAAGCAGTCCTTCCTCATTGGCTGAAAGCAAAGGTTTCAGTCTGTTCTTCCTTGAAATCTCAGTTCTCATCGATTCTTTCTCTTTCTAGCTTTGGGATCCATGCACACACTGGTTTGTTTACAACTGCGGGTGCCTGGCGCTCGGCCACGTTGCAGGACATGATGCAAATCTCTGACAGAAATGTTAAAATTGAAATATTCTTATGCACATTTTTACAGCATTGGAAAAACGTTAAGAATTTTTCCTCCTAAAGAAACCACATTAAAACTACAATTAAAATATACCCCTCCCCACCATTTGAAGACCCGCTGGTTGCAGAAACCCAGGCTAACGGGTTAGCATCGTCCATCTAGAGTCCATCCATCCATTTTCTTCCCCTTAATCCAATTCTGGGTTAGGGAGGTGGCAGTCATAGATGCATCCCAAGTCAGACAGCCTTGATCTTTCAAAGGGGAATTCAGGCAAAGTGGGGGTAAAGTGTCTTTCCTAGGGTTGCCAACTCGAGAACAAAAAAATAAGGGACAACCTTTGGGTGGATCGGGTTGAGCACTTTTTAGTCCTAATTTCAATCTACACAGGAATCATGGAATTTCATAATCACAGTTTTTAGAATGTAATTTTTTGGCTACATATAAATTTATTGGCTACATATAAAAATCAAAAAAATTCTTAGGCAAAAAATAAATGTCATAAATAGGTGGAACTCTTTGGCTGGTTAAGGACTTCATGCATTCTTATTAGTAATAAAAAATATAAAAAGACAAACGCTGTAACATACATTATTTATGTATGTTACAGTAAAGACCATTTACTGTAAAAGAAAAAAAGAAAAACATGTATTCATTAAAAAAAACTCACACATGTTGAAATCAAAGTCTGTAGCAGTTAGATATGGTCATTATTTATAGTGTCTGAGAGTTTAGTGCGTGTACATGGCTTCAGTAAAAGCTATTTTTTGTTTACAAAGCTGGTATTGACATTGGTTGACGGTCCCTAAGCGCTTTTCTCGGCGCTTGCAGTGCACTGGATTCAATGGATTTCTCTGCATTAAAAACAGCGCATTGGATTTGAAAAATCAACATAGAGGTGATCATTATAGCAAATTACTTTTGTTTAACAAAGTAACTTCCGTGAGCTATTGACCGCGGAAGTCCGAATCTGGGAATATGACGCTACTTTACCAGACTTCTGCCAGGATGATGCTGCGGGCATGGCCCCATAGATCCATGCACGGCCCACGCTGTCACTTGTCAACAGTAAGGGTAAACCCATGGATGTGATCAAGCCTAAGCCCCCTTTGACACTGTTTGGCCGAAAGGTAGACGCTTAAACTGTGATTACTGTGTGTGCGTGTGTCGCTTGTGTGACATGCAGTGAGTGAGTGATGCATTTAAGGCGACTCTGAAAATACGGGACAAAAGCCGTTCCGTATCAGTTCAATACGGGACGCACATAGTTTTTCTATAATACGGGACAATTCCGTATTTCAAGGGACGGTTGGCAACCCTAGTCTTTCCCAAGGACACAACGACAGCAGACCTGAGTGAGAGTGGGTTGAGAAGTTCTCGTGATGGGCTTGAACCCACGACCTTCAGGCTCAAAGGCCAATGCTCTTCCAACTGAGCTCCTGATACATTATCCATTTCTTATACAAGTCATTTCCATCTGCTGGGTTTTCTGCTTTACTTACCATAGCCATGAGTCCGGCTCCTAAACCAATCAGAGGGCTAACTGCTATCACCACCAACGTCAGCTTCCATCCTCCGATAAAGCCCACCGTGAAGCCAAACACAAACGTGGAAATCCTCTCAATAAAGATGGACACTTGGTCAGCGATGGCGTTGTTGATCTTGTTGATATCACTGCGGAAAATACAGTTCAGTCTGTTAGCATGCATTATTTAGTCTGTTAGCATACGTTACTTAGTCTGTTAGCATATGTTATTTAGTCTGTTAGCATACGTTCTTCAGTCTGTTAGCATGCATTATCTAGTCTGTTAGCATACGTTATTTAGTCTATTGGCATACGTTATTTAGTCTATTAGCAGATGTTATTTAGTCTGTTAGCATACGTTATTTAGTCTGTTAGCATACGTTATTTAGTCTGTTAGCATACGTTATTTAGTCTGTTAGCATACGTTACTTAGTCCGTTAGCATACGTTACTTAGTCTGTTAGCATATGTTATTTAGTCTGTTAGCATACGTTATTTAATCTGTTAGCATATGTTATTTAGTCTGTTAGCAGATGTTATTTCGTCTGTTAGCGTATGTTTAGTCTGTTAGCATACGTTATTTAGTCTGTTAGCGTATGTTATTTAGTCTGTTAGCATACGTTATTTAGTCTGTTAGCATACGTTATTTAGTCTGTTAGTGTTATTTATTTAGTGTAATGCTTATTACTACATTCAAGTTGTATTATAATCCGTAATTTAATTGAAAACTTGAGCTCATTGATTCAGCTTGTGGATGAATTCAGGCCGTGAAAAGTGCTGAGTATAGGCTTGGCGTGACGCCCGCTCTCCTCCAATCACAGAAGGAGGAGCGAACAAGCCGCGTCCTCTAGCCTCTACAGCGCTGGTAAACACTAGGGCTTTGACTTCGAAATTTGATTATAATTATAAAAATTAGGGCCAGGACTTTAACACGTTAATTACGATTAATGAAGCACAATCGCCACAATCTTGACCAGCGATTACATTTGCTAAACATTCCTCTTGCTCCTGCTTCAATTTCTTGATAGAACCAGACCGGATTACTTTACTATCGCATTCTTCGCCATCGCCAAACTACAACCTGCCCGTTCGGCGCAAACTCTTGACGTCACCGGCACCGACCTACAACACCCGCCTTCCGCGCTCTCTGAGTAGTCAGTCGAAATACGACCGATTGTAATCGCTAGACCCAGACGGTTACACACTGTGAAATGATGATTGAACGGAGTGTACGGATGGCTATGGCCAGGCTAATACGGGACAGCTTTTGTCCCGTATTTTCAGAGCCACCTTAAATGCATCACTCCCTCACTGCGTGACACACAGTCATGATCACAGTTAAAGCGTCTACCTTTCGGCCAATCAGTGTCAAAGGGGCGTGGGCTTGATCACAGACGTTGGTTTAATGTTGACAATCGCCAGCGTGGGCCGTGCCCGCAGCATCATCACGGCAGAAGTTTGGTAAAGTAGCGTCATATTCCCAGATTCGGACTCTCGCGGTCAATAGCTCACGAAAGCTACTTTGTTAAACAAAAGTAATTGTGCTAAAATGATCATCTCTACGTTGATTTTACAAATTCAATGCGCTGTTTTAATGCAGAGAAAGCAGAGGTGTGGACTCGAGTCATGTGACTTGGACTCGAGTCAGACTCGAGTCATGATTTTGATGACTTTAGACTCGACTTGACCAAATATAAAAAGACTTGCAACTCGACTTGGACTTTAACATCAATGACTCTGACTTTCACTTGGACTTGCGCCAATTGACTTGCAAAGACTTGCGTAACCCGGGCCATTTTTACCTTTCTCCGCATCTCTCTTTCTATCTATGCCGTCTCTGAAGAAACAAAGCCTCGCGGTAGTTGTAGCGCTCGCGCGAGAGTTCGAACGTGAGTTTCCCGCAGTTCGCGCAGCAACACTTCCCTAAACAAGCGGACTGCATTCACCGGTGGGTGTGTTGTCGTAGGGGAGCTGGAAATGAGCGAGCTGCAGGTATTTATCGCGACCTAACGTCATATTTTGTTCTACAAACCGTAATTGATATGCTTTCACTACAGGCGCCTCATACAATTGAATCGACGCAGTTGTCACACTGTGTGCCGTGTTTTAAAGAGGAACTGGTGAGTCAAACTAGCGCTAGCCTGCGCTGCTCTGTTGGCTCTTTCTTATATTTTTCTGTGTGCGCGCCGAGGCCTATTATTATGAGTATGTTTTTGCTGTGCTCCTCCTGCTAAAGTTTGCATACATTAGATAGTTGTTTTGATTATGTGCACTAAGCTAGATTAATATTTCCACTATTGTTTATGGTTCATTGATATGAGAATCAGTACTTTGACTGATTGAATTAATTTATATGAGACATTTTATTATGTAATGATATATTGGTAATTATGAGATATTACTAATGCTGGCCCAGTTCATACAGGCCAGGTTCCTTCCCCTCCATTGGTCCCTTCAGTCCTTTGGAACAATAACCACTATGGACATTAAACTGATTATATAGATACAGGTCCTAGCCCAATACTCATATTCATATATGCTGCACTTGCTACTTCCCATTAAAAACCCCAAAGATAAAAAGTATGTTGACACGGACTGCTCTGATTTTATGTGTGGTCTGTGCATGTGTAACTGAGCCTGCATCTGGCACAACATAGTTTTGATTTACCAGCAGCCAACCACATGGAACAAACTGTTAGTCCATGGGTCAGAGACCAACGAGAATGCACCAGCAAAACGATTCCTAAGTACGTGGAGACCAACAAGAAACAAATCGCGGTCAAAAAGACTCGAGAGGACTCGAAAGTCAAACCGTAGGACTTGGGACTGACTTGAGATTTGTTGGCCTTTGACTTGGACTCGACTCGGGACTTGCCTGTCTTGACTCGTGACTTGACTCGGGACTTGAGGGCAATGAATTGAGACTGACTTGTGACTTGCTAAACAATGACTTTGTCCCACCTCTGAGAGAAAGCCTCTGAATCCAATGTGCTGCAAGCGCCGAGAAAAGCACTTAGGGACCGTGGGTGCCTGGGTGGCATACTTTAGGAAGTGCTGGATGAACCACTTCACAAATAGTTTGGTGTCCATATATCCTGCTGGTGACTTCCCATAAAGAGCACAGTGTTGCCAACTCCTCAGTAAGGAAAGTAGCTATTGGCTGTCCCAAAAGTCGCTAGAAGTCGCTAAATGACGTCATCGCCTAATTTGCATAATTTGCCATTTGCAAATAACTGTAACGGACGCTGTAGGAGAGAGGAATAAGGTCGTGGGAGAGACAAAAGTGAGTAAAAACACCCTAAATATGTTTAGAACTACAAATGTACAAAAATAATTTCAACATTAACAACATTTAATGATTTTAATGCTTTGTCTAGATCCACATTACACACATCAGTTTTGTCCTGTATTGTTAAATGTTATAACAGCAAATGTAATCAAAAGATTGTTATGTAGGGTGAAATTGCTAGCTCTACAACCAACCCTCCTCCTTTATCCGGAGGATAAAGGAGGAGGGTTGGTTGGTTGGGAGGGTTGGTTGGGAGGAGGGTTGGTTGGTCCATCCAGACCAACCGAAGTTGGTCTGGATGGACCAACTTTTGGTCCATCCAGAGTGTGTCAAAAGACACACTCTGGCAGAGTTACTTAGGTCTATTTTTGTAAGTTTTTTTTTTTTTTTCATAGTTTGGCATAACAAATGATTTAATGTGACCCACTACTGAGATAAAACAGAGTCACGGACAGAGCTGCCGCGGATGGAGTGGGGGGTAGTGGGGGGTGGCGGTGGTAGGAGTGGCCGGGGAGCTTTGGATGTGTGGTGGTGGTGGAGCTGAAGTTCAGTCTGCAGCAGCCTGAAAACTCCCTGTGCTTTTGAGTCTCCTCTCTCTCTCTCTGCTCCGCCCATAGACTGTAGCTGGGACTGCTGCGCAAGGCTACTGTGAGACTGGCCGCCTGTAAGTGCTTTGGGACGGGGGAGGGGCTCACGTTGAGGACAGCAGAACAATACGTGCTTCACGAGTCTCCAAAACACCAGATAAGTCGCCAAAACACCAGATAAGTCGCCAATAACACCAGAAAAAGTCGCTAGATTTGTCGCTAGTCGCTTTTTTGAAAAAAAGTCGCTATAGGGGTCTGAAAAGTCGCTAAATCTAGCGACAAAGTCGCTAAGTTGGCAACACTGAAAGAGCATAGGGGACCCCTTCTTTATTGCAAGGGCCCCCCAGATATCCCCCCTTGTAGATTATGAATGAGGGGATATCCTCCCGAGCCACATTTAAAAAGGCCAGGACTGTGATGTGCTCCCTGGTGCCTGGAGCCTGTCTGTACGCGTGCTTTGTACCCCGGGGCACGACAACTTTCCTCCTCTGGCTGTCCAGCTGAAACTTCGTCTCGTCGCAGTTGTAGATGCAATGGGGTTTCCCTCTCAGCTTGTACCGATCCATCGTCGAGGACAGTAGATAGTCCTCGACAGGCCCCCTCTTTGCGCAGGACGCCCTCCCACGTTCAATAATGTCTGGGGTCCTGGTGGTGAGCCGTTGTTTTTGCCTTTCTCTGAAATTGATCCACCACGTCTGGCTCAGCGCCACATTTGGTGTTTGCGGGTGGCGCCGGTTGAATATTGCCAAAGCGTGGGTCACCACCTGTGCCTTCGTCAGTGGGAATCCAAAGCTTCAGAAGAAGACTTCAGAAGGGCTGTCTTAGCATACGTTATTTAGTCTGTTAGCATACGTTATTTAGTCTGTTAGCATACGTTATCTAGTCCGTTAGCATACATTATTTAGTCTGTTAGCATACGTTATCTAGTCCGTTAGCATACATTATTTAGTATAGATAATAAAGTGTCCAAACATACTCTGAAATCCTGGTGTTGAGCTCCCCGACAGAGGTACAGTCAAACCAGCCGATCTCCATCCTCATGACTTTGCGGAAATACGTCATTCGGATCTTTTGGACTTGCCGGGCAGCTGCCGAGACCCAGAACAGGATCTGAGGACAGAAGTGTGATGGTGTTTTTAAAGCAGTGCTCTGTAACATTCACCAAAACCAAACTTCTGAGCCCATGTTATCAAAACAATATAGTTTATTAATGACAAAAGTGCAGATAAAAAGGATCACAAGAATAGGGCAGTAGTCTTGCACTAGCCTGGTCTTACCACACCATCATACTAACTTCATTTCGTACTAGGGTCTGGATTTTCTCCATTGAGCTCAGTTAACCGGTGGGAGCAGTTTACTCCTTTGATTGAAACGATTGGATCTGAATTTACCAGCATCTAGCCTAGCTTTAGCATATAGCCTAGCTTTAGCCATCTTCTTTGCCACTAACGGAGCCCATGGGGAGTAGAGCCACAACATCTTTAAAGCAATGACATTTGCTAAACATTCCTCTTGCTCCGGCTTCAGTTACTTGATATTTGAAGCCGAACCAGAACAGATTACTTTACTACTGCATTCGCCGCCAAACTACAACCAGTAAATTCGGCGCAAACTCTTGACTCTTGATGGAAACTAAATAACCTTAAGTGAGGTCTGTGTGAGGCTGAATATTGTGCAAACATAACATTGGCGTTAAATGTGTAGGATTTCAGGACTATTGGTCCAGTCGCCCCACCCCTTCTATCTGTACCATAGACTGTATATATTAACGGACAGAGTCACGCCTATCGCCGCGAGTGGTCCCGCCCACAAGAAAATTGTGAAAAAACGCATCTGCTCATGCGTCAGACAGCGCAACTCCATTCATTTGAACGAGAGACTTCAAAAATTCACAGCAAGTAAACTAGAGTGGACCAAAAAAATCCACCCCCCTCAGCATTGACATACATGTGGAACGGAGCTTTGGGCCAAGAGCCAACTTTTGGTCCATCCTGTAAAGACGTTTTTGAGAGGTCTGCCAATGCTATATGTTAGCATTGGCTAATTCTACTTCTGGGTCCACCCCCATCGGCCCGGGGTGGTATTGCAGCATGTCAGCGCACGTCATTTTGGCCACTTTTGAGCTGGGACCCTCCCCCACTGGTTGTGACGCTCCTCTCTCAAACCTGGTACATTATTGTAAATCTAACCACATTAAATCATGCTCAGAGCAGTTTTTGTATTTGCAGTAAAGTCACCTCTGGACTCTGGTGGTGAAAAAGGGAATTACATGCTAAGGCAGCGTATTACCGTTATACATATTTCATCATTAACTGTCAACGTAAAGATTACACTCAGAAACATTCCACAGTCAATCGTCTGCTTATCTTTACGACACTCAGAGTGTAGATTAGAAACAACATGGAAAGTTTTTTGTTTTCAATTCTCAATATGAAGACAAAATATAAAATAATAATAAATAAGTCATGACCAGTCTTTCTTTATTTTGACCAATCAGACCAAACGTTAACTGCGCATCCTGCTTTGTCATTGGTCGGAGCGAGCGAACAAACTCACATGAACAACAGATGTTTTTTGGTTGGAGCAGAGCGTGTTAATGGACCAGCTTCTGTTTTCCTTCAGTCGCAGTCACAGTCATTCACCCTGAACTATTGAACCACCTCTGCTGCTCCACCTCTGTTGCTGCTCCACCTCTGCAGCTACACCACCACCTCTGCGGCTACACCACCACCTCTGCGGCTACACCACCACCTCTGCGGCTACACCACCTCTGTTGCTGCTCCACCTCTGCGGCTACACCACCTCTGTTGCTGCTCCACCTCTGCAGCTACACCACCACCTCTGCGGCTACACCACCTCTGCAGCTACACCACCACCTTTGCGGCTACACCACCTCTGTTGCTGCTCCACCTCTGCAGCTACACCACCACCTCTGCGGCTACACCACCTCTGTTGCTGCTCCACCTCTGCAGCTACACCACCACCTCTGCGGCTACACCACCTCTGTTGCTGCTCCACCTCTGCGGCTACACCACCTCTGTTGCTGCTCCACCTCTGCAGCTACACCACCACCTCTGCAGCTACACCACCACCTCTGCGGCTACACCACCACCTCTGTTGCTGCTCCACCTCTGCAGCTACACCACCACCTCTGCGGCTACACCACCTCTGTTGCTGCTCCACCTCTGCAGCTACACCACCACTTCTGCGGCTACACCACCTCTGTTGCTGCTCCACCTCTGCGGCTACACCACCACCTCTGCGGCTACACCACCTCTGTTGCTGCTCCACCTCTGCAGCTACACCACCACCTCTGTTGCTGCTCCACCTCTGCAGCTACACCACCACCTCTGCGGCTACACCACCACCTCTGCGGCTATACCACCACCTCTGCGGCTACACCACCTGTTGCTGCTCCACCTCTGTTGCTGCTCCACCTCTGCAGCTACACCACCTCTGTTGCTGCTCCACCTCTGCAGCTACACCACCACCTCTGCGGCTACACCACCACCTCTGCGGCTACACCACCACCTCTGCGGCTACACCACCTCTGTTGCTGCTCCACCTCTGCAGCTACACCACCACCTCTGCGGCTACACCACCTCTGCTGCGGCTTCACCACTGCTCTGCTTTTCTTTTTTCTTTTGCTGCTACTACACCACCTCTGCTGTTGCTGCACCACCTGTTGTAGTAGTCTTTTTTTTTGGACCCTCCTGGTTACACTCAGAAAAACCATGTCTGGACATGGAATTGAAGGTTCCCAAAGCTGACCAAGAGGACAATGTCTGAGTTCTGACTAATCTCACATTTGATTCGCTCCACGGCAAACACACATTTTACTTGTGAAAACTTGAAGAACTTACTTGGACATAGCTCAGGATCAGGACACTAGCTCCAATTCCAATGTAGTAATAAGCAAACATGGTTAGCTCCAGCTCGATGTCCACCCTGAAAAACATTGGAACAATTGTTATAGTCCTAAAATCTGGCTTCTATGTGTTTGTTTGTATTTCCAGCATTTGTCTGATCCTCTAATCATTTTTAAAGCTTGGTTAGGTCTGGCGCCCAGCTATATTTGTGAACTTTTAACTGTTCCAAGGTTGAGGTTCATCATCAGTATCCACTTTTAAATCACTTCTTAAAACCCACTTTTATCGAACAGCTTTTAACTGTCGGTTTTAAACTTCACATGTTGTATTTTACTGTCTGCTTTGCCTTTGTTTTGTCTGTCTTCTTGTGTTTCCTCCGTCTGCTTTGTCCTCCTGTAACTTCTACTCTATCTAATTGTTTTGACTTTGTATTCTTATGACTACATGGGCGACAGTAGCTCAGTTGGTAGAGCATTGGCCTTTAGGCCTGAAGGTCGTGGGTTCGAGCCCACCGTAAGACCTACTTCACGACTCCCGCTGATGACTGCTGTCGTTGTGTCCTTGGGCAAGACACTTAACCCTACGTTGCCTGAAGCCCCCACTGAAAGATCTCAGCTCCTGTGGACTCACCACCTGCAGGAGGATCAGTGAGGGGCTGGTGCTAAGTGGACTGGGTGCAGCTCTGACTGCCACCCCCCCGACCCAGAAATGGATTAAGGGGAAGAAAATGGATGGATAGATGGATTCTTATGACTGTTTTTATTGTTTATTATGCTGCTCTGACTGTGCAGAGCTTTGTAAACATTGTTTTTGAAAAGTGCTATACAAATAAAGATGAATTATTATTATTCTGTTGCTGCGTTCTGATCAAAACAGAAGGAAAAACGCAGAAGCTGATAAATAATATTTTTGGCGACTGTTTTGTGCCCCTGTGACCGTGGAAGTTGGACATTACTACATTTGATTTTGGTGAACCAGGTCAGAAAACCCTAATCTCTTATGACAAAATGGACAAAAGTCATTCACCTGAATTAGCCTACACCTGTCGCCATGGTTGCTATTTGGACTTTCTTGAAGTACAGCCTGCGGATTGATGACACTCGGTGTGTTAGGCCTGTTTATAATTCTGCCATGGCTGCGTGCCCAGTCTCTCTCTTCCTCAGGCTACAACAAACAGGAGGACGTTATCTGTCAGTCTGCTCCACCCATGGATCTATAATAATATCTGGATAGAGTATTACTAGCTTATAGCTGTCCCATCGCACAGGTGGCGTCCGCGGTACAGCAGACGAAATTCACTCAATGTAAAGTGACAGCTTGACCTCAGCTGAACCAACAACTTTCAGTCCTTTTAGTATCCTAAATTCTTTTTCTTGTTAATTCCTTCGTTTTTCTATAAATCCACACTTAAATGCAACAAACTGCTCGATTCTCTCCCGCTCTGATCAGCAGCTCTCATGTACAGTACAGACCAAAAGTTTGGAAACACTTTCTCATTCAATGAGTTTCCTTTCTTCTCATGACTATTGACTGCAGACCCACACCAGGCTGAGTAAGAGCTGTTTGACCAATAGGGAGAGAGATGGTGCTGGGCCACATGACCTGGACTCCACAGTCACCGGACCTGAACCCAGTCCAGATGGTTTTGGGGCTGGACCACAGAGTGAAGGGGCCAACAAGTGCTAAGCATCATGGGAACTCCTTCAAGACTGTTGAAGACCATTTCAGGTCCTCTTGAAAATCATCCAGAGAATGCCAAGAGTGAAGCAGTATCAGAGCAAAAGGTGCTACTTTGAAGAACCAGAATATAACACATATTTCAGTTGTTTCAAAACTTTTTTTAGTACGTACATAATTCCACAGGAGTTAATTCATAGTTTTGATGCCTTCAGTGTGAATCTACAATTTTCATAATCATGAAAATAAAAAAAACTCTTTGAATGAGAAGGTGTGTCCAAACTTTTGGTCTGTACTGTACATGCACAGAATCGTTCAGTCCCCATGATGGCACATGAACCACTGAGCACATCTTGGATTACCGAGGCTTGGCTCCACCATCTCTGCTGCTGTGACCTAAAGTGACTATTTTACTAATGTAACTATTAGAACAATGTATTCACTTCTTTGTTTGTGTTTCTAATGCTGGACTCCTGATCTACTTCTACAGGGATCAAAAAAGTACGAGGACCAAAGCGCTTTACAATGTTCAGAGTTCAGATATTTTTCCATTATCTCCACACGGTGATGACGGAAGCGAGACGCCGAACACACTGGAGCATCAAAGCCTCCAATCAACACCATCCATTCACTCACTCGTTACAGATATACCTATTGTACTACATGTTTTTAGTGGTAGGGAAAACCGAAGCAACCGGAGGAAACCTAATCAGACACAAGGAGAACATGCAAACTCCACTCATATAGGCCCTGTTCCGACCGGGATTCGAACCCAGGACCTTCTAACCTGCTAACCACTCCACCGTGCCGCCCATGTGTCATATGAGCCATCGACCCCTCCCACCACACACACACCAGAGTGGACTCACCCACAGGGGACCGTGGCGCCCTCTGAGGTCTCGAACACCGTCCCGTTGGTCCAGTGGATGGACTCGTTGCTGCATGTTTTGTTTGGATCCTTGAGCTGCTGGATCTCGAGCTCGTAGCCCACAAAGGTGTTGGTCATCATGCCGTAGACCAGCAGCATGAGAGGAGCGGCGGCGCCATGGACCAGAGCGCACAGACCGCCCACCACCATCATGGCTACGTCCTTACAGCTGGCGAAGCGGAACTGACACCACACACAAAACAACAACTTCATTTTCTCCACTTATTATTAACTTCACGCTCCTTTTTCTGAACTGAAACTGAAGATTAGATAAAACTTTATTGATCTGACGACGGAGGACTGCACATGTTGCGTTTGGCTTCAATAAGATCTCTCAGTTAAAAAGTAAAACCATGTAAGAAACTAAGCTGAATCAAAATTTATCACAAAGAGCACATTAGAAAATCAGAGATAAACATTAGTCGTCCTAAGTCGCTCTGAAACAGTTTTGTGTTTTACAATTCTTATTTTTCTTTATTTTTTCCTGAGATGTTGCTGCAGTACAGTGTTCATGGTTTTATTCTGGTCCAGACCGGAGCAGAGAAGATTCATGGTCCGAACCAAGAGGATCAGGTGAAAATCCACTGGAGGAATGCTAACTTTTGAAGTTAAATGCTAATGAAGCTAGATTTTTACTTTGGACTAGAGCAGAGAAAATGGTCCAAACCAAGCTGCTCCACCTTGTGTCCTACTCCACCCAGAGGCTGCTCCACCTCTGCTGCTGTGACCTGAAGGGCTGTAGCTTATTATTATTATTGTAAGCTTTTTAGAATGATCAATTTTATTTTTTATTTTTGCTGCTACAGGACACATTTCTGGATCTATCTATCTATCTATCTATCTATCTAGTAAGACTCTAATGCCCAATATGCAGAGTAAGCAATTACTGAGGGCAGATTTAGGGGCTGTAAAACTCATTTTGAAAGTCGAATATCTCGGAACTACTGTTATCAGTTAAAGACGTATTGGAAAAGAGCATGTTTCATGAATGCTTTTTGACAGATTTATGACCCTTTAATGATGGCTCGACATGAAAATCAGACAAATTGCTACTTTAAGCCGAAAGAAATAATATGTTATCCGATAAAAAAGTGAAGCAAATACACATCAAATCATGTAAGCATAAAATCACACAATTGGTTCATATATTTTATATATGAAAATGATAAAATAACTCACCAGCTGGAAATATCCAACGCTGAGATCGTCCTTTTTGTCTGCGTCTCTGTGGAGCGCAACAAACATGGACAAAAACATCAAACTTCAAACTAATAAATTAATTTTTATTTTGGAACTAGTTTAGGACTGTAATGTGTGTGTAGTCACATAAGTCTGGTGTGTGTGTGAACGGTTGGGTTTGTGGGAGATCGGTTGCCTCACTTCTGCCTGTGTGTCCCAGGGCAGCTGCGGCTACAGTAGCAGTTTATCACCACTGTGTTAGGAATGAAAGACAACTGCCATGTGAAGTGTCCAAGTGTATGAAACCAATGCATTGTTATAAATTATAATTGTTTTTTAATATTGCGGAGAGCATGCCTTGTCAGGAGTATTAAAGCTGGGGTACGTAACTTTTTTAGTTCATCAATATCAGATGTTTTTAGCAGATGAACAGATTTGTGTAAGAATAATGTAGTGAACAAACCAAAGTGCATCACGTCTTCACTGTTAAAGCTGTTCCTGAAAACTACAAACTCACTGCATAGATCCTTTAGTGATCCTAACACATCCACTAAATCACAACATATCGTTCTAAAACTTACAAATATTAGTAACAACAATAGTGATAAAGTTTTAAGGTTTAACCGGTAACATAAAAACAATTTGAACATTATCTGCATCTAGTTTTTCACTATTTGTCAAAATGTTGAGTCAAATACATCACGTGAAAACCAGTGAATATTTTTATTTTTGTGGTTTCATATTAACTCTGCCTCTTCAGAATATTTTACATATATTTTCACATTGAAAAGTGAAATTAAGTAACAATTTCACCCAAAAATATGTTGCTAGTACTAATACAGCTTTACTAAGCACCAATCCACCTTGAACATTCATTACAAATGTTTTCAAAGGTAATTTAATGCACTCATTTTTCTGCTTTTGAAAGAAGCATTTTGTTTTCCCTTCAACAGACGATACTTGTGTGTGAACTTTCAGTAAGAATTACAAAAAGAAAACAATCCACTTACTTGTCTTGGCTTTTTTCTGTAAAAAGATAAAAAGAACAAAACTGTTAGTTTAACTATTAGCCATAAATGCCCCAAACAGATCAGATTCAGATTCAGATTCAGTTTATTTGCCATTTGCAGTAAAAAAACCACATTGGAATACATTAGCGAAAAGTCTCCAGTCTGCACAGACAAATACAGACATAAAACAACATTAAAAGACAAAAATAAAACAAATAAAACAGTAAACAAATGTCACTGTGAAATCGATCGACTAAAACAGTTTCAAAACAAGTGCAAATCATTAAAGTGCTCTGTTCACACTGATAACAGCCTGTGGATAAAAACTGTTAGCGTAACGAGATGTCCTGCATCTCAGAGAGCGATATCTTCTGCCAGAGGGAAGAAGCTGGAACATGGCTTTCCCAGGGTGGCCAGAAGAGTCATTGACAATCCTAAGAGCTTTGTTTAAAAGTCCGGATTTATAAAGAACCTCCAGAACAGGAAGCTCACAGCCCACGGTCCTCTTTGCAGAGCGGAGCACCTTGTTTAAAGCTCTCTTTTCTTTATCTGTGATGTTTCCAAACCACACAGACACAGAACCAACAAGTAAACTCTTGTTTTTACACACACGTGTGTAAAAAACAGAGTAATATCAAATACCTTTCTCTTCATCGTGGGCGCTCCGCTTCTTCATGCTGTACGTTCTGACGATTCTCTGAGCTGTGTAAAAAGAATAAATATAAAAAGTATAAAAAGCTTGTGTCAATACTAGTCCTCTGAGCGCAGTAGAGGCAGGTACTATCTCCTCCCAGGTAACCTCTGCCTTTATTATCAGCCTCGTTAGCTGGGCATGTGTGAGCCGTGTGACCCGAGTGGGTGGGCCTAATCTTACGACACATTTAGCACTATTGATAATAACAGGTTATTGATAACATGGAGGTGAACGGCCGCCAGGACAACAGCACTTCTGCACAGCTCATAATAATATTCATGTCAAAGGAAGACTTATGACACAAAGGTAAAAGCAGGTGATTTCTCCTTTGAATTTAAAAGTAAGTTAATAGTCCTGGGTATTGGTAATTTGATGGAATTGAGGTTTGATTCATGTCCCTCTTTTTATTCAAAAGTTGAGGAACATAAGAATCCGTTAATACGTCACATTTATTATGGATTACATGTCATAGAGTCACAGCAATATCATAGACACCTGAGCCCACAGGAAGATGGCTTCTCCGTCAGCGGTGACACAGCCTTGGTCTGGACTGCAGGGGGCTTCAGGCAACGTGGGGTTAAGTGTCTTTCCCAAGGACACAATGACAGCAGACAATAGTGGGAGCAGTTGGACTCTGTCTTGTGGGGAGATAGAACCCACAACCTTCAGGCCCAAAGGCCAATGCTCCACCAACTGAGCCACTGTCGCCCTCACAGGCTTAAAATACTCCTCTTCAGTTTAGCAGATGGTAAGACTCAAGGAAGGCTAAACTCCTCAGACTGTCAGTCCAGCTGCATAGGGAGTCAGTTTGCTGGAGAAGTAACTTGAGCACTATCCTCTCCTCCTTCCAACTGTATCTGTCTGCATTATTAGGATTTGGACTGTAGTCTGTTCATTGCTATTCACCTATTGTCTGTTTCATGGCACAACGATGGGACCTCTGAACCCGGCCCCCTCCATCTCCACCTGTGGAGCGATCCCTCTCTCACTCGCCTCAACAACTGCAACGTAGCATTGGACCAAGAGCGACTTTTGGACCATCCTGTAAAGACGTCTTCCAGAAGAAAGAAGATGCACTACATAAGCATTGAGTAATTCTCTTTCCGGGTACACCCCCCACTCCGGAGTGAGATTGCAACATGTCAGCTCTTCATTTTCGGTTTACTTTTGAATGCGCTGGAAAACGGCTGCTAGTACTAAGTAGCTCTGAAACAGTTGTTGTTTAGTGCTTTATCATTTTTATTTTTATTGCTTTTTCTACCCGAGATGTTGCTGCAGTACAGCGTTCATGGTTTTGCACTGGTCCAGACCAGAGCAGAGTATTCATTGTTTGAACCATGTGAATCAGGTGAAAATCCACTGGAGGAATGCTAACTTTTTGGAAAATGCTAATGAAGCATTTAGCATTTTACTTTGGACTAGAGGAGAGAAAATGGCCAAACCAAGCAGCTACTCCACCTTGTGACCCGTCCTGCGCCATCCAGAGGCTACTCCACCTTGTGACCTGTCCTGCTCCATCCAGAGGCTACTCCACCTTGTGACCTGTCCTGCTCCATCCAGAGGCTACTCCACCTTGTGACCCGTCCTGCGCCATCCAGAGGCTACTCCACCTTGTGACCTGTCCTGCTCCATCCAGAGGCTACTCCATCTCTGCTGCTGTGACCTGAAGGGCTGTTGCTGATTATTACTATTATAAGCTCTTTAGAATTATCAATTTTATTTTTGCTGCTACTGGACACCTGAATTTCTCCTACGAGAATTAATAAAGTATCCATCTATCTATCTTCATGGATCTTTATGAGCGGGGACCCGCCCCCACTCCAAGAAATACAATCGTGTTTGGATGTACTGGTATTTATTGTTTTTTCATACTGTATGTTACAGAATACAACAACACTCTGGTTAATGACTGCTGGTTTATTGTTAATCCTGATACAGAGGCCAATAAATCCATTTGAAAACATAACAGAATGTACTGTGCATCACTACAAACGTGGATCAGGGGCGAGAACTATCCCTGGATACGGTTGGAATGTGGTGGACTGGATCTGATCCAGGACTGGTTCTGGTTCTTGTTCAGGACTGGTTCTGGTCCAAGACTCATCCTGGTCCAGGACTGGTTACTTGTAGAAGCTAGCTTTCTGTTTTTTTCTGTATTCACTGTTTCATTAACCGGTTTTAACACAAAAATCAAAACCATAGAAAGCTGTTGGGCAAAAAAATATTCTTTGGGTAAATTTTACAGAATCCCATTGGTTTGAACGGGAGCAGTCAGAATGGCGGCTCTGGGAATTCAGTGTTAAGAAGGTTGATTTACAGCTAAATTTTTTTGACCAATTATTCTGGGAAGGGTTCATAAAGAAGGAAGAGACCGCAGCACCCTGAGGAAACCCTCCCAGCCACACAAGTGTAAAGTCCAGACCAGTGGGGGCGGGTCCCGGCTCAAAAGGGTCCATGAGCAGGTGCGCTGACATACTGTAATCTGACTCCTTGCCGGTGGGGGTGTACCCGGAAACAGAATTATTATTATTATTCAACGGACGGTCTTAATATTTACATTCTATGGTCCACACACAGCGCACCTCCAGGACCCAGAGTCACACTTAGGGGCCCCTGCGATCAGAGGGCTCGCAATGCGGTCAGGGGCCTCATGATGCGGTCAGAGGCCTCATGATGCAGTCAGGGGCCTCATGATGCAGTCAGGGGCCTCATGATGCGGTCAGGGGCCTCATGATGCGGTCAGGGGCCTCATGATGCGGTCAGAGGCCTCATGATGCGGTCAGAGGCCTCATGATGCGGTCAGAGGCCTCATGATGCGGTCAGGGGCCTCATGATGCGGTCAGAGGCCTCATGATGCGGTCAGAGGCCTCATGATGCATTCAGGGGTCTCATGATGCAGTCAGAGGCCTCATGATGCGGTCAGGGGCCTCATGATGCGGTCAGGGGCCTCATGATGCGGTCAGGGGCCTCATGATGCGGTCAGGGGCCTCATGATGCAGTCAGGGGCCTCATGATGCAGTCAGGGGCCTCATGATGCAGTCAGGGGCCTCATGATGCGGAGGGTGAATGACCGACAGGTGAGAGTTTACTGCATTAGTCACAGATAAATGGTCATAACCTGAGGGTGTTATCGTCTGTTCTGTGAGTGACTGATGATGTCTCTGCAGAGAGAAGACACTTCTTTGAAGAAATATTACACATAGTTTTACTTTGTCATTTCATGTTTTGAATAATAATATTAAGACAATATGCAACCACCAGAGGGAGGAGTTTAATTGTTTTTTTTCTTATTTTTTAGATGTGACTGGTTGTATAAAGAATTTCACCTGAAAAATTGCCAAAATTAATTTTCTGACTGTGACGTCATAGTGGTACAATAACATCATACTTTCAGAGGACAATCTAGTTCATGATATTAGCGTGGATGGATCTAAAATCATCACCAGGTCAGAGCGAGTTGTTGGAAAACTTCCCTGTGAGCTCTTCCCTAAGAACTTCGTGCACATTAGCATAATACTTCCGGTTGCAAAACTCCGGTGTGCTGTCGTAGTCTTGGTTTGTCCTGGACTTATGCCGCAATTACAGTCGAAGAGAAGCTGCCTTCATTAAACTGACAAAGACAAAATATTAAAGTGATCCGGCCTTTTCTAGTGTTACACCTCTCGTGTTTAGGCCCCTGGTGGTCGAGAGGACTGTGGTCGAGGGGCGCAGGGGAGATTTGTCGCTCTAGAACCAAAGAGATGCGGTTCTCCAGGGTATAACTCTTCTGTTTGACCCTCACTGTCAAAGTGTGGTTTCAATAACGCTGTGGACTGTTGCGCAAAATATGGAATTTATCCTGTCAGGTAAAGGCCAACAGAATAAATTTAGCATTTATGTTTCGTGGTGAAATAAGGATCAGTAAGGGGCTGGTGCTCTGTGTACTGGGTGCAGCTCTGACTGCCACCCCCCCGACCCAGAAATGGATTAAGGGGAAGAAAATGGATGGATGGATGGATGGTGAAATAATAATAATTGTCATTATTATTAAAAGCAGTGCGATTTTTGCTGTGCATTCAAGAAGCTGCAATGATTGAATGTGTCCACTAGATGTCAGTGTTACAAGATAGTATGAGCTCAGAGGCTCCGGTCTCTGTGTGTTTCGGGGCTTCAACACTGCAAAGAAGCATCTGAAAACATTTATTTTTGCTCATCTCGACTAAAGTGTTGTACTTTTGAAGGTTTTCCCTCCAGTGTGTGTGTGCGTCTGTCGTCACCTCTGCGCTTGTACCCGGCGTGTTGTCGAGGACACATAAACATCAGTCTTCCTCATGTGTTTGTGTTGTGGCTGAAACGCTGTATTGTACAAACATCAGAAATGTCGCTAATGCGCAACTGGATCAATTAAAGAGCTTTGCTACACAAACTTTACTTTTGTAAACCTACCGTCAAGCATTTGAAAAAACGTAGTTAAGCTAGTAGCGTCGCCGCTACTGCCCTTCACTGATTACCATTTTATTCAGGTCCATTGCAAACTATAGCCTAATATGCGGCAAGCAGAATTTACAGTCTATGGACCAACACGACACAGAGAGATTGAGTTCACAATAACGAGGGAGAGATGACAATGCATTTATGTTATAATTTCTTTATATTATTAATATAGAATGATATAATTGAAAGCAACAGCAACAGAAAAATCTGATCTTCACTTACTTGAAAACCCTTTGGAGGGTACAGTAGCAGAGTGCTTAGCACCCTCACTTCTCAGCAGGATGTGTATGAAACCTGCTCTGTGTGGAGTTTCCATGTTCTCGCCATGTCTGAGAAGGTTTTCTCCAGGTGCTTCGGTTTCCTCTACCACTGAAAACAAGTGAAATCTCAGCGGGACTTTCCTTAAATAAATGTCAATTACATCAAAATAAACTCTGGGACAATCAGGTGAATTTCCTTAAGAATCAATCTGAGGTGATGTTTCATTCTTCAGAACTCTTCTTGTAAAG